AGCCTCCTGAGTAGCTGGGATTACAGGCATATACCACCATGCCTGGCTAATTTTTGTATTTTTAGTAGAGATGGGGTTTCACCATGTTGGCCACACTGGTCTTGAACTCCTGACCTCAGGTGATCCACCTGCCTCGGCCTCTCAAAGTGCTGGGATTACAGGCATGAGCTACCACACCTGGCCTAAAAATCACATTTTCAAAAAGCATTACAATTGATGCAAGAAAGGCAATTGGCAATATCCAATATCACTTCACAATAAAAACTCAACAAGTTAAAAACAGAAGGGAATTTCCTTGGCATAGTAAAGAACGTCCAGAAGAAATCCACAGCTAACATGATACTGAATGGTGAAAGACCAGATGTTTTCCTTGTATAACGGGGACAAGACAAGGATGTCAGCTCTTGACACTTTCATTCAACATTGTACTGAAGGTTTTAGCCTGGGCAATTAATCAAGAAAATAAAATGAAAAGGCATCCAATATGTAAGATATAGGGAAAAAGTGGCTTTTCCCTCTACTCACACAGCACTCAATACAATACATCTGATACCGGATGTGTGAAGCTCATTTCCCCAGACATCAAGCAATTCTGCAGTGGGCATTAGGGGTCCTCTAATTCGATTCCATTCTGATACTATCTAGTTGGAGACAGGCTGAGGGCCCAGTCCCACAAGACTGCCCTCCACTTTCAGATGCCAATAGCGAGTAGTACTTGAGAAACTTTAGATGCCGGTGGTGAACATTCTTGAGAAACTGGCTTTAAATCAGGGTTCCCATAACTTCCTAGTCGGGTTTTATTAATTTGCTAGAGCAGCTCACAGAACTCAGGGAAACACTTTACTTACATTTACTTGTTTATTAATAAAGGATACACATGAACAACCAGATGGAGGCGATTTTTAGGGCAAGGAATGGGAGAAGGGGCACGGAGCTTCCATGATCTTGCTGGGCGTGCCTCCCTCCGGGAATCTCCATGTGGCCAGCTATCTGGAAATTCCCAGAACCCTGTGCTTTGGAGTTTTATGGATGCTGCATTACATAGGCATGATTGACTAAATAACTGATCATTGGTCATTGGTTGATAACTTAGTTAGCAACTCCTTGGGGTTTGGGGCTGAGGGTCTCAGTCCTCTAACCATGCCTTGACCTTTCTGTTGACCAGCCCCTGCCCTGAAGCTGTCTAGGGGTCCCCAGCCACCAGCCATCTCATTAGCATACAAAAGACACTCTTATCACTCCAGAGATTCTAAGGGTTTTAGGAGCTGCACATCAGAACATGGGGAAGAAAACCAAACATGTATTTCACTATGTCACAGGTGCCAAGAAAATTTATGGGGGAAAGATCAGTATTTTCAAGAAGTGGTGCTGGAACAACTGGTAGCCAAATGCAAAAGAATAAAGCTGAACACTTACCGCTATGTACAAAATTAACTTAAAATGGATCAAAGACCTAAGTAGAAGAGTTAAAACTATACAACTCTAGGCTGGGCGTGGTGGCTCACGCCTGTAATCCCAGCACTTTGGGAGGCTGAGGCAGGTGGATTATTTGAGGTCAGGAGTTCGAGACCAGCCTGGCCAACATGGTGAAATCCTATCTCTACTAAAAATACAAAAATTAGCTGGGCAGTAGTGGTGCATGCCTGTAGTCCCAGCTACTCAGGGGGCTGAGGCAGGAGAATTGCTTGAACCAGGGAGGAGGAGGTTGCGGTGAATCACACCACTGCACTCCAGTCTGGGCGAGAGAGTGAGACCTTGTCTCAAAAAAGAACAAACAAACAAATAAAACAACTATACAGCTCTTAGAAAACAGCAGTAAATCTTTGTGACTTTGGATTAGGCAATGGAGTCTTAGATATAACACCAAAAGCACAAGCAACCCAAGAAATAATAAACTGGACTTCCTCAGAATTAAAAACTTTTGTATATCAAAGGACATTATCAAGAAAGTTAATTATAACTGATCTAGAGATAATTTTTTAAGTGAAAACAACATACAATTGGGAGAAAATGTTTGCAAATGTCTGATAAGGGTCCAGGGGCTTGAATATATAAAGAACTCTAACAACTCAATAATAAAAGTAATCTAATTAAAAATTTGATAAAGAAATTGAATACATTTCTCCAGAGAAGATATTCAAATGACCAATAAGCATATGAAAAGATACTCAACATCATTAGTCACCACAAATGCAAATTAAGACTATAATGAGATACAACTTCACACCCACTGGGATGGTTATCATCCAAAAGTCAGATAATAACAAGTTTTGGCAAATGATGTGGAGAAATCAGAGCCTTTATATACTGCCAAGACTGATATAAAGTGATACAGCTACTTTGGGAAACAGTCTGGCACTTTCTCAAAAAGTTAAGCATACAGTTACTTTTTTTTTTTTTTTCTTTTTGGAGACAGAGTCTCGCTCTGTTGCCCAGGCTGGAGTGCAATGGCATGATCTTGGCTCACTGCAACCTCCCCTTCCTGGGCTCAAGCAATTCTCATGGCTCAGCCTTCCAAGCAGTGGGACTACAGGCATGTGCCACCACCCCTGGCTAATTTGTGTATTTTCATTTGACAGGTTTCACCATGCTGGCCAGGCTGGTCTCTTAACTCCTGATCTCAAACAATCCACCCACCTCAGCCTCCCAAAGTGCTGGGATGACAAGTGTGAGCCACTGTGCCCAGCCTAGAGTTACTTTTTGACCTAGTGATTGGTATATACCCAAGAGAAATGAAAATATGCATCCACACAAAACCTTGTTCATGACTGCTCATAGGAGCGCTAATTTTTAGGCAATGGAGTCTTAGATATAACAGCACTATTTTTCAGTGCTGCTATGGGCAGTCATGAACATGTTTTTGTGTAGATCTATAGTAGCCAAAAGGTAGACAAAGTGGCATTGGGTTCCTTCAGTACTTGTCAAGCTGGGCCTCTAAGGGGGTCCCTGGAGTATGGGTATAGGGGTGATTAGAGTCCAGTCTCACTCACTATTAGAAAAGTGATTTAGATATGTTTTCTCACCAACCAAACCAGCAAAAAATGTCCCCCAAATGCTGAAACTAGAATCCTTGGTGTGGATGAGGAAATTGGGCAATGGGTATTGCTTAGTGGTGGGAGGGGGTGGCCTGTTTCCCTGGAGGGTGACTTGGCACCATGTCCACAGCTGCCACCCTCTGATTAAGGAATGATTCCAGATGTGTACAAAGAGCTAGTGTGGGAGGATGTCATTTCTGCCTTCTTTGTAGGAGCCTTGCATGGGACATCCTCACCCTTGTCCGACAGAGGCTATCTGGTTCTCCCGGCAGTGGGAGCACTCTGCAGCTGTTTAAAAGATAGTGTCCTACACTGCAATCAAGGCCCCTTCATGGGCCATAAACTGAGTTAGTGGACCGGGCTAGGATTTAAAAAGCAGGGAGAAAATATTAGAAAGCAGTCTTCCTAGTAAGGTTAAGTGCTGTCCTGTGACCTGTTGGTCCCAAGTTGTGTATGTGTGCAAGGACCCTGTGTTTAGAACATGTTTATACAGTGGTTCAGAGGCAGAAAAGTATGAAAACCAATGGTGTAAATAAATCCTTAAGGATATGGCATAGGGTTTATCTAGTTAAAATTTACCAAGCAGTCTATGCAACCTAATGCACGTTATGATTCCATTTTGTAAAAATAACTCACATACATGGAAAGATGCTATGGACAGTGGCTCTCTCTAGATACCAGGATTTTATTGTTTATTTATTTGTTTATTTGAGACAGAGTCTCATTCTGTTGCCCAGGCCAGAGTGAAGTGGCATGATCTTGGCTCACTGCAACTGCCACCTCCTGGGTTCAAGCGATTCTCATGCCTCAGCCTCCCCAGTAGCTGGGATTACAGGTGTGCGCCACCATGCCTGGCTAACTTTTTGTACTTTTCGTAGATACGGGGTTTCACCATGTTGCCTTGGCTGGTCCCGAACTCCTGAGGTCAAGTGATCTGCTTGCCTTGGCCTCCCAAAGTGCTAGGATTACAGGCATGAGCCACTGTGCCGGCTCAGGATTTTAAAGTTATCCTGTTGCTGCTTTCATAAATTCTTTTTTCTACAATGTGCATATATTCCTTTTGGAATAATAAGCAATGAAAGGTAGCACATTGGGGTGGGGGTTGGGGGAGCACAGAAAAGAACAGGAGATTGCTTTTGCCTTAATGGAAGGGGACTCCTCACTCTCCTGGCTTCAGTGCACAAAGGCTACCAAGCTAACGAAGCAGGGTCTTACTGGGTGGCGCAGACCAGGAGAGCAGGGTGAGTGTCCCCAGGTGAGGGAACTGCACTCAGAGGGTCACACAGCTGTCAGGGGCTGGAAATTTAGGGGCTGGGGCCTCCTAGGCCTGTGGCTGAGGAAGCCTGTCCAGATGACACACACAGCTACTGACAAACGAAACCTGTATGCTCAGGCCATGTAATCAAAGAAGAGAAAGTTGATGAGCAAGATGCCGGCAGGCTGGAGGACTCCAAGAGAATGATCTGAGCATCACAGGACTAAAGAGGCCTGGAAGATTTTTTTTTTTTCTCCAAAATATTGCAATTTGCTTAGGCAAATTGTGGCACAAATACCAATCAACATTGGATTAGTTCTTTGTTGGGTCTAGGAACCAGTGCAGAGTTGCAGTTATAACCCATACTTGTTTAATCTGTTAAATTAAAATAACGTTTACCCATGACCTTTAATTATTTCATTTTTCAAGATGGTGTGCCCTGCCCAGCATGCTATTTGGAGGTGATGTCCTGTGAAGTTCTGGTGTCTATTTTAAGTGACTGATTCCTGGTACTTACCCTCCTTGCTAACCATGTGGACCTCCCCTTTCATGCTTGCCTTCCTCATGGGAAGTGGGCTCCACGTGGGCAGGGACCATGCTATGTCCTGTTTGCTGGTAAAGCTACAGTGTCCGGCACAGAGCAGGGGTGGAGGGATGAAGGGAGGGAGGGATGAATGGAAAGTAGGTAGGCAGGTAGATGGACAGGGAAGGAGTCTGCATAAGAAAGCATTTATTCATGGTGGGGTGGAGGGTCACACATACAGGCCCTGGATGGTGTGTAGGGACTGCTTCCAGCTGTCCTTCCAGCGCTGAGCCTCCTTCATCTGAAATGTGCAGTCATCCTGGATCCTCTTCCGCTCCTCCTCAAATGATGCTAAATATTTCTAGAAGGAAGGTAGCAGGAGGGGTCCACATGAGGAGAGACATCTGGACCCTCTCCCCTAGGGCAATGCTATAACTTGCTGGCAGGTGACTTTTAACCCATTCCAGGCACTGGCAAGAGTTCCCCAAGTCACTTCTCAGGTAGAAACCAGGTAGGCCTAGTTGTTTCCCCCATTTTACAAGACAGGGAAACTGAGGCTCAGAGCCTGGCCTGGGGTCACCCAGCTAGGAGGAGGCTGATCAAGGACTAGGACCTGTGTCTATCTGACTCTAGGCTCAGCACTCCTTCCTGAGCTCTATCCCACACTGTGGCCTCTCGGGAGCTCAGGGCTCCCAGTTTTTGGGTAGGCTGGACCTCCCAGGCCTCCCACCCTCACTGAACTCAGCAGGCCAAGCTGTACCCTCTGCCTGGGGCTTGGAGGGAAGCTTGGGGAGGGCTGACCCCGGGCACCTCAGCCTCTCTCAATAAGGGGGCCAGCTGGTCTCTGGGCAGGACAAGGTTTCTCTCTGGGCATCAGGACCAAAAGTCCACAGATCTTCAGAGCCAAGAGGTCCCTCAGGTGGCATCTGGGTGTAGCCTCCTCATCAGGCTGTCCCCAGGGGGTCTGACAGGCACTGGAATCAAATCCTGGCTCTGCCACTCTGTAGTGGCATAGAGGGGACAAGTTTCTTTAAGCCTCAGTGTCCTCATCAGTGAAATGAGGATAATAATTTTACCTCCCTTGTGGAGGTGTTAGGAGGATTCATGTCAAGAGAAGCAGCTCCCAGTAAGCACTTCCCAGTGAGTTCTCAGGAGCTGTGACCACTCCTGCTGCTGTGCCCCCTCCGAGCCTACTGCCACTATTGCTTCCGTGCCTGGTGACAACATTCCCTAGCTGTGACCCCACTGTGCCTTTGGAAAGCCTTTCTTCACCCCCAGTCTGGGTGGGATGTCCCTCAGCTGGGCTCTCGCAGCATTGGGATCATGCCTCAGACCCACACTCGCACTGGGATGGGAGATGACCCACAGCGGCGGTGTCCTCGTGCCTGTGAACAGCGACCATCCTGAGTGTTGAGACCTGCAGCTCTGGGGTGCACTGACATGTGTTGCCTGCTGCACCAACCAAATGTTGGGATGCCGGGTAATGGGAAGCTCCCCCTTCCCAAGGCAGCCAACCTGAGCTGTGCTCCCCGGGACACACCCACTCCACCCCATCTCACCAGGTACACAGCATCTCGGGCTTCCACGGCTGCCAGGTGGCCCAGGGTGGTTTTGGTGGTGGATATCGATGATGTTGGCCGGAGAAGAATCTTGTTTTGGATGGTGACTTCGGTGGGTTTGATTCCTGGCCACTTCCTACAAACAAATGTGTGAAAATCTCACAGACTTGTCTTCATCTTTCATAATCCACCTACCATCCCTGTTGGAAAAGCTTAGCATTTCTTTGAGAAAATTATCATGGCTTTAAATATCTTAATGAAAATTAAAAACATACTGAGTGTGAATGCTGCACTTGTTCAAGCTGCTTCATATTAGCCCACACTGGTCTCATCGCTGTGCACGGTCTGGGGTTCTGGTGGGGAAGGGGAGGGCCACAGCTCAAGTTGCTTCCCCTTTCTGAGCCTCAGTTTACTCACTGATCTGCCAGCCAGGTGGTGGCCACCAGTGCCTGGTATGCTTTTCCTATGATGCTCTAAAGACCACTTCTGAGAACATAGCTGGGCATATCACTGTTCTGCTTCTTCTTGCAGAGTCACACTCTTGGGCACAGGGGACAGGCACATTGCCAGCTCTCTTCACTCATGACAGCTGGAGGGGCTCACAATGCCAGCAGTGACCCAAGAATATGTCTCCCACTGAGCCAGGCCTCCCTTTCATCGTGGGACCCTTTGGTGGGTCCTTATCATGTGAACTAATAGCTGTTGAGCTGTTCATATGTGCTGGGGCACCTCATGTACTACCTCATCTAACTTTCTCTTGATCAAGGTAGGTGGCCATGCCCATTTCATAGATGAGGAAACCTAAGGCTCAGGACACAATGCCTTTCCCAGGTCTGTCTGACTTCAGAGCCCAAGCCCCTAACCATTACCCTGCACCACCCCCCAGCAGATACAGCCATTTACAGTAGTCCTTGCTGCTCTTGGCTCTCACCTGCTTCCACGTTCAATCAGGGGTTTCTCACTCTCTTCCTTCAGGGAGAGCCCAGCGAGTTTCCTTCGTATGAGCATTGATAATTTCTGTTTGGGGGGCTCCATCCCTAGAGGCAAGAGACAGGATAGTGACTGCAGCCACACCGACAGCCTGAGATCGAGGGATTTCCCTGGCATTACACTTAGAGGCGGGAGGACTGGCGCCCCTCCTCCCCACTCGGAGTTATGGCAGGCTGAGCCCTCGCCATGGAGAAGCTGAATGCACCAGCCACACAGCTCGGGGCGGTGGCAGAGGCAGGGGGTCATGGCTGGAGGAATTTGAGCAGTGGTGTGGGTGCTGTTCCCAGCTCCAAGCCCGAGCTTGATGCTCTGACCTTCCTGCAGTTTCCATGAGTCCCAGGATATGCTTCATAGAGCCTTCTTTGGCTTAGGCTAGCTCATACGGGTTCCAGACTAAGAACCTCCCCTGGAACAAACACGTTCAAGGTTGTCCCTTGACTATCTAGCTCAATAAGCCAATCTTTGATGCTCTGATGTTCTTTCTAGATCAGGGGGTGAGAGGGTGCAGGGCTCTGTGTGCAGAGAACCAGCAGGCAACCTGTACACTCCTCTGCCATGAATGGCAAGGCCAGGTGGCCTGGCTCAGAAGCTGAGTTACAGAGCAGGCAGAGGCCTCCTAGGGCCTGGTGCAGGGAGTCTTCCTGGCTCAGGGGTTCCTTGCAAGGGACTGTGATCGGCTCCACTACCAGCTCACCTGCCTGTTCTCTCTGGGGTCTCGACCCCAGCATCTCTGCAAGGCCCTGATTTCCCAAACGAGGCTCACCCTTGACAGAGACCTCTGATATAGAAAAGTGACCAACACTTCAAAAATGTGTACACGCTTTGATCCAGACGCCGCACTTCTAGGAGTCTGTTGCCCTAGAGATGCATGGATGCAGAGATTCTCTTCAGTATAATTACAGGGGTGGGAAACTGGAAATGGTTCAAAGTTCAATAGCAAAGGGACTAATTAGTAAGTTACAGTGCTTATTAAATTATGGTGTGCAACAACTGAAAACGCTGAAGAAGAGAAGTGTTGACTGGCCAGCCGGGTCAAGGTTCACCTGCAGGGAAATCAGGTCACAAAAGTGTCCAAGCCCTGTAATCTTCCCCAGCCACCCTGACACACAGGCCTGTGCCCAAAGGGAAAGGTCTGGCAGGATGAACAGCAAGTGCAAAGGGTGCTGCTTTCAGGGCGGAAGGACTGTGTTCTTCACTTGCTTCTTGGTTCATACTGATTTTCTTGTTTTACCGGAATGAACGTTTATTGTTTTTGTAATAAAAACCTTTACAAATAAAAAGGATATATTTTAATTACTTTATAGATCAGTGATAAATGGATAACATTTAATGTATGATTTTAATCTTATAGCTATAAAAGTAATATGTACATTATTAAAAACGTAAACATCACTTCGTGATGGAAAAAAAAAAGGTTTTAGGGATCTCTCTCAATCCCACCCAGTAGAGGTGATCATCAGCAGTTTGGTACCAGTCTCTGTCTCTGTCTCTCACACAGATTCATTTAAACAGATGTGAGTATGCATGTTGATATCATGCATGTGTTTTAAAAGATGGGATCATAGACGTGTTCTGTTTGTCCATTTGTTTTTTCACACAACAGCCCTCCTTCATGTCTTTCCGTGTCAGCACATGCAGACCTAGTGTAACAGCTGCATGGTATTTACCTGCACATCTGGCACCCTCATTGATGCATCCAATTTTCTTTTCTTTTTTTTTTTTTTTTGAGTCAGGGTCTTGCTCTGTCACCAGGCTGGAGTGCAGTGGTGTGATCAAGGCTCATGGCAGCTTCGACTTCCCAGACTTAAGCCATCTTCCCACCTCAGCACCCTCCCAACCGCCCTCCACCTCCAGGAGCTGGAGCTGGAACTACACGTGCACACCACCACACCGAGCTAATCTTTAAATTTTTAGTAGAGATGCGGTTTTGCCATGTTGCCCTGGCTTGTCTCAAACTCCTGGGCTCAAGAGATCCACCCGCCTCAGCCTCTCAAGTGCTGGGACTACAGGTGTGGGCCACTGTGCCTGGCCCATTGAATTTTCTGTATATCGATGTTAGTGTTGCTTCCAATTCTTTGCCATTTCAAACAGTGCTGTGAATATTTTTGAACATATACCTTTGAAAAAGTGTCCAAGTATTTCTTTCAGATAAATTCCTAGAATTAGACATGCTAGGCCAAATGTCTAAACGCTCAGAATTTTGACAGGGACTGACAAATTGTTCTCTATGACAGCGGTATCCATGTATGCTCTACCAAGAGCCTCTGCGGAGTCTCTGTTTCTTGACATTCTTTTACGTTGTTACCAAATGTAAAAACTTTGCCAGGCTATTGGTGAGAAATGATATCTAAATAATATTTAGATTTTCATTTTTCATCATCAGTGAAGTTGAGCATCTTTTACAGTGACTAGCCATAGGAACTGCTTCTCTTTTGAAGAGCATGGGTTTGTCCTTTGTCTTTTTAAAAATTTGACCTGTGAGAGTTCTTTGTACCATAGGGATATTAACCCTTTCTCTGATCTATAAGTTGTGAGGAATACTTTTCCGGTTTGTGGTTTATCTTTCCATCTATTGACATGTTTCTGTTTTTGTTTTGGCTACAAAGAGCCAGCCATTCCCTCTATGGCTTCTAGCTCTCCTGTCATACTTAGAAAAGCTGTCCCTAACCCCAAGAATATGGAAATGTTTACTCAATAGGGTTTCATTTTTTATATATAAACATTGGGCCATCTGGCATTTGCTTTTTAATCAAAAAATTATTTTTAAGGAAAACAAAAATTAATCAGTTCCCTCAATGGATCACCTGTTTTCACTCTGATAGAGTTGGGGAAAGCAGACCCCTGCCCAACCTAGCCCTCACTAGCCCCCCGGGGCCAGGACACAAGGCTGGTGGTGCCTCTTACTTGCAACCTGGACGTCGTCAATGGTGACCACCTCATCCAACTGCAGTAGGAACTTCTCGGTGAAGGCAGCCAAGTTGGTTATGAAAACCTGGCCATTCCTTCTGGTACATTCCTGGAAAAAACATGGCGAGAACAGTGCTGCTGGGAGAGGATCATCCCTCCAAGGCCAGCTGAAGAGGGGATGGGTGAACTCTGCAGGGAGATCTGGGGACCCAAGCCATTATAGCCACTATGTCCAAGTAACCAGCATCTGGCCCTCAGCCAGGAGGCCTCTCCCAAGACGTGATCTGGTTTAAACATAAGAAATGATTCAGAAATGGACAAGGGACACAGACAATTCACAGATGAGGAAATAAAACTAGACATGGATCACAAAATAAAAGTTATCATTAGTAATTTTATAATTAATTAATTTAGAAGTCAAAAAGAATACAAGTTAAAACACCAATAATGGCCATTTTTACCTACAAAACCTAACCACGATCATGCCTGCTTTGGCCAAGATATCAACAAAGGGCTGCACCTGGTGCTGTCAGTGGCTGTCCAATGAGCTATTTTTGGAGCGTGTCTGGACTGGGGAATAATAGTATCACTGACCTACCTCCAGCTTCTCCCTGTTCATCCTAATCATGCTGTCCAGCTCTTCCTGCCTTTTGTCTTCACTTAAGTGTAGAGACTCCATTTCTTGGAAATGTATGGGGTGTCCAAGATTTAGATGGAGCTTCTGGGCATTTTTGTCCTTTAATCAAACAATCCAGAATTCAGCGGTGATGTTAACCCACCAAAAGTCACTGACCTGTGTCTTCTGTCAATTATGATTATGGCCAGACTCATGTGTCCTCTGACCTGGGTGTATGGGGGTGATGGGTGGGCAGAAGAGTGGCAGAGGGGTTAAGAGGGGGGCATGGCTGGAGCTGACTCAAGGGGTTTGGAAGAGAAAAGGCTGAGCATCTGTCCAGCACAATCAGAGCTTTAGTCCAGTGAAATCAGTAGCACCCGTGTTCCACAGCTCCAAAGACCAGTGTGGACAATTATTGTTATCTCAATGAGTACAGCCCCATGGAACCCAGCACACCCACCCACTATAGCCAACAAGGAGTTTACTGAACACCTTCTATGTAGAAGCTGTTGGCTCAGTTCTTATTTTGCCAATGGCTCCTGTCCCTCAGACCCCATCCAAAAATCCCAAGCCCAGCTCACCTTCTTCCCTTGGACTTGGCCCTTCCCACAACCTGCCACCATTTCTGAACTCCCAGTTTCCCTGGTCCTGGAGTGGAAGGGCTCATCCTAAGGCCCTCACCTTTCTTTTCTCCAGCTGCTTCTGCTGTCCCTCAAACTGTCCTCGGATCTCCTTTACGGAGGTGCAAAACATTTTCCAGTGGTGCTCCTTGAAATTCTCCATCACCAGCCAACACACTTGGGGCAGCAGCTCCTCAAATCTCCTCATCTGGATCCGTAATTCTGCCAGAATTGTGGGTAAGAGGCCAAGGGAGGGAACAGATTAGAATCAAGTTGCAGAGGTGATCTCTACAACGAGGCCCAAAGCAGCTTCCCAAAGACAAAATATTGGTCTCCAATGTGGTAACAGCTATTCCATTGAAAGGGGTCCTGAGATCAAACCAGTATAGAAAATACAGGGTTAGCCAGTTGCAGTGGCTTACACCTGTAATCCCGGCACTTTGGGAGGCTGAGGTGTGAGGATTGCTAGAGACCAGGAGTTTAAGACCAGCTTGGGCGACATAGCAAGACCCTATCTCTAAAAAAAAATTTAAACATTAGCCAGGCATGGTGGTACATGCCAGCTACTCAGGAGGCTAAAGTGGGAAGATTGCTTGAGCCCAGGAGTTTGAGGCTATGGTGAACTATAATTGCACCACACTGTAGTCTGGTCCACAGAGTGAGACCCTCTCTTTAAAATAAAATAAAATAAAAATAAAATAAAATAAAATAAAATAAAGGCTTAAATAAATTCAAAGGGCTTCTCCTATATACTCTGCAGACTTCTCATCTCATTTAAAATGCATGGTGTCTCTTGGCATTTTTGGCAAGTTCTCATCCATTATTTTGACTATTGCCTTGATTCTAGGTCTTCTTCTTTCTCTGTATCTCCAAATGGCTGTATGTTAGACCTGCTCTTTCATTCACGTCTCTTTACCTCTCTCCCATATTTTCATCTCTTTATCTTTCTGTGTTATATTCTGGTTATTTTCTTTGGATTTGTCTTCCAGTTCACCAACTCTACTTTCAGCTATATGTAACCTCGTAGTAAAGTAATGCATAGTTTTAAAATTTCAACTCTTAATTTTTCCTTCATAAAAGTTCTATTTTATTCTCTTTTATAGCTACTTGGTCACTTTCATAGTCTCTTGCTTCTTATTCATGTTTCCAATTCCCCTTTTATTTGACTAGAAGTGTATTATTTTATGTTCTGTGTCCAATACTTATAATATCTGAAGTCTTTGCTGGTCTCCTGCTGCCTCTTTCTCAAGGCATTTTATTTCCTTGTGTTTATGGGGATTTTGTTGCTCTTTGTTTATTACTGTGAGCTCTTATTCTGGGCATTTTATTTGTGGGAATCCTTTGAGGCCTGAACTGAAGGTAAGTTTTCCTAGAGAGAATTTGTTATATCTCCAACAAACAAGCTTCTGAACACCAAAAACTCAAGATCATTTTAAGCTCAGTTATTAGCTTGAGATCTTTTGGATGAGCCACAAAAGCAAAATTGAATTCATGTTTAGATAAGTGTGAATTATCTAAACATAAATTTAGAAACCACACAGGTACTGGCATATAGTTCTGGATTTCTCTTTGGAGTTTTTTTTTTCTTCACCCAGTACCATGGTTTTTGATAAAACAGTTTCCTTCTCATTGCTGGAGGGACAGAGGGAGGAGCTTGGTTTCCGTCTCATTTGCCTTACTCTGGAAGCCCTGTTGGGTTCCAGCTTTAGGTGGCTTGCTCCTTTTAGACTTCCCACTTTGGAGGTCTGTGGATTTGTCTCTTGTTCCCAATACCCTGGAGGCCATGAAAATAGAGGCTCAAGTTCACCTGGGAGTCAGCAAATGCCCCTAGGGCAATAACCAGGGTTACTACTCAATTTTTCACTCAGAGTTTATATTTTCACTTAATTTTTGGCTTTTGTGTGTTTCTCACTTTACAGATAGATTTCTAATGCATTTAAAAGATTTTGTTACAAAAATATCTTATGCAGCATTTTACATGTTTTTAGTGGGAGACTGAATCCCCCATTAGCCTGCCAAGCTGCAGGAAATAGAAGTCTTCACTAGTTGTGAGTTTACCAGAGAGGGATGCAGTCTGCAGCATTTTCCAACCCCATTTGACCACGGAACCCTTGTTTTGAGGACGATCAGGTAGGATGGGATCCCCCAGAGTTCACATGGGGGAAATTCTGAGCTAGAGAAACACAACAATGCCTACAGTTTCAATTCCAGTCATTCAACAACCACAGCTACGAACACTATCACTGCTTAATTTCCTGCACATGCCAAGTCTGTGTGAGGGACTTAATCCTTCTGTGGTGGGTGTTATTAATATCTGCAGTCCACAGACAAGAAAACTGAGGCTTTGGCTGGGCGCAGTGGCTCATGTCTGTAATCCCAGCACTTTGGGAGGCCAAGGCAGGCAGACCATTGGAGGTCAGGAGTTCGAGATCAGCCTGGTCAATGTGGTGAAACCCTATCTTTACTAAAAATACAAAAATTGGCCAGGTATGGTGACATGTGCCCGTAGTCCCAGCTACTCAGGAGGCTGGGGCAGGAGAGTCTCTTGAACCCAGGAGACGGAGGTTACAGTGAGCCGAGATTGCGGATCACGCCACTGCACTCCAGCCTGGGCAACAGAGTGAGACTCTCCCTAAAAAAAAAAAAAAAAAGAAAGAAAGAAAACTGAGGCTCAAGAGGTGAGATCATTTGGCCAAGGTAATACAGCTGGGAAGTGGCAGTGCTGGGTCGTGGCCCAGGTTTGGGTATCCCCTGAACTCTCCTCCTTCTACCCAGAGGGCCTCTGAAACTGCACAGTAGACCACAGCAAAGTGTGACAGATTCATACAATGGAATATTATTCATGGATAAAAAGAAATGAAGTACTAGCACCATCTACAACATGCATAAACCTTGAAATATTATGCAAAATGAGATAAGCCAGTCCCAAAGACTACGTACTATACAATTCTATTCTCATAAAAGTAAAGAATAAGGAAGTCTATAGAGACAGAAAGTAGATTAGTGGTTGCTTTAGGCTGGGGAGGGGCTGAGAGATGGGGTTTCTAAAATTGATAGTAGCGGTGCCTGCATAACTGTAAATAAACTAAAAACCACACTGAGTATACTACGCGGGTAAATTTTATGGTATGCAAGTATCTCAGTAAAGCTGTCAAAAATATCTGTAGAAGAAACAAGATATTTTTAGAGGTACAAATCACCATATTTCTCAAGAAAAGTCAACTTTTTTCTTGCGTGGTTGCATTTCCCCAGTAAAATCTGGTTATTGTTTTTACCTAATTTTAAGAGGTCAGCTTTTCACAGGGAAGCTCCTCTGCCTGCCCTAGAGGGGAGGATCCAGGCCACAAGGCCAAGGCTGAGCTCCATCACTGGCTTCACACCCTACCCGGCTCTCCATGCCTACCTGCTGCCTATACTCACCTATGAGGCAGGAGTTGTGGTACTTATTTGCCTGGCTCTGGTAATCCAGGATCTTTTTGCCGATGTTCTCGGCGCACTGGTCAAAGGTGTCATACATGCAATCAGGCCTGGTGACCGGGCGTTTTTCTTTACGGTAGAACTCCTGCCAGAGAGGGTGACCATGTGTGCGTGAGGACCCCATGGGACTCTGGCTCTTGCTCCTGGGATCCACCAGCCTGCCCTCACCTCCACACTCCCTAGCCTTTGCTCGTGGCTTCCCCTGTGGAGGTGACACAGGCAGACACTCCTTCTTCCCTGTCCGCACGTGTTGCCTCCCTGGGCCCACCTGGAGTGAGTGGGGCCATGGCCAGCCCTTGTTATTTCCTGAGTGACTGGCGAGAATCCTATTTATTCTTCAAGACCCAAATCAATGGAATCTCAAATTGGTGACCAGGTTGGGAGCTTACAAGGAAGTGCCAAGCTGGGTATAGGCTGCAGGCCACAAAGATGCGTGAGCCAGGGACCCTGCCCTGAAGGAGGCAGACAGACCCGTGGGAGGCAGAAAGGAGAACTCACCCACACCACGGTGCAGGGTGTGCGGGAACAGGGCACTGGGCAGCTTGTCTGGTGCCTGCTCCCACTGCCCCACCTCCTTCTGTGTCCCTGCCACATCTGTCAGCTTCCCACGGGGCCTGGGTGCCTTGGGGACAGAGGGTGGGCTTGTTCCTCTTGGCACACACAGTACCTGACATGCAGTTGGTGTCTTAAGAAATGTTTGGTGATCAATTAGATGAATGAATGAGGTTTGGTTTCTAGAAGGAAAAAAACTCATAGGGAGGTGACAGAAGCTGGGGAGCTGTGGTCATGGCGGGGATGGAATCCTCTCTTCCTCATTTTCCCCCAAGTGGCCATGATCAGCAGACTGCAGAAGGTAGCGGTGGCTTCCAGGGCGGGCACAGGCCATGGGTGGTAGTCCTCACCTCTGCAACCGCCAGCAGGTTCTCATTGCTTTCCCAGAGGAGGGTCAAGATGATCCCCTTAAAATCCCTGCAACACACAGGAGACAGATACCTGAGGGGCCTGGTCTAGACACACCAACATGGACAAAACCAAACGAGCAGAACTTTCCAAGTCCTCTGTTTTGGCCATGACACTCCTTGAAATTACTCACTGCTGCCCCAGGACCTCTGCACACTCTGATTCCACTCCATAACAGCAGCTAACTTTCTTCTCTTCTTGGTTGCATTTGTTCCTGCCCTTCCTCAGACCCCAGCTCAGCAGCAATTTCTGACCACCTGGTTTTAATGATCTTGGATTAATGCCCCCTCAGCCTTATGACGCATGCCAATCAGGTGGATTTGGGATTGATTTATGTGACTGGCTGATTAACCTCCATCTCTCCCAGCAGACTGTGAAGGCCACCAGGTGTTTAAGATCATAAACGGGAGGCCATCAGGCCGAAACGGTTCCAGTGCCTGGAGTTTCTCGCTAGAAAACAAACCCAACTCAGAATGAATGGTCATCATCTAGGAAAATGAAATATAAGCTTAACCAATCAGAAACAGCCAACTAGGAACTTCTCACTTTAACCAAACAAATATTTTCTTTGCCTTCCTTCTATGAACACCTTATAAAAGGTTTCCCCTGGTGTTCCCTGAATCGCTTGGGGTCTGGCACTGCCCAATTCATGAATTACTGACTGTTCAAATAAACTCACCAACATTTTAATGTGCTTGAGTTTATCTTTTGACACAGGACATGGACCTGTCTGTACTTGTTCACCATGGAATCCCCGGCCCCATTGCAGTGCCTGCACCGGGCAGCGCCTCGATTAGCTGAAAGAATGATTACTCATAAATAGTAATCAAATGAACAGGACTTCATGCAGGACCAAACCTCCTCCTGCATCGAGCTATAAAAATTAGAGAGCCGAAGTATTCACGGTGCAGGAGCGTCCTTGGGTGTGGGACAAGGAAACTGTCTACCTGCCAGCTGGAGGCCACACCTGGGCTGCCTGATGTCACAGCCATCCTCTGCAAAGTTCATGACCCCAGAGATGAGGGTCCCAGGGTGAAAGGGCGGATGAGAGGGGGCCACTGTTTGGGGGGATCTCTAATACAGGGGGACAGGGAGCTCCTTTGTGGAACTTGACTTTCTTCGAAGGCTTTTCGTTTTCTGAACTTGGAATTTTGCTTGTTTGCTTGCAATGAAGCTCTACTAAGTTTAACTGCTTTTGTTTTCATCACTGGAGTTACAATAAAGGAAAAGAGAAATGGGGGAAAGTACTGAAAAAAAGTACAAAAAAAAAAAGCTCAGACCTCGAACGGGGTCTGCTGCCCTACCACCAGGGAATGCTTGTTAGCTTGGAAAATGTGAGATGTTGATGAAAATGTTTCTCAACAAATTCAGGTGAAATGGGCTGAGACAAACTGACCTTGACCTTTGCTATCCCCCCTCACCCCTCCTCTGCTTGGACCTGCCGTTCCCCTTTCTGATTTTTCCCCTCAGCTGAGTCACATTTGCTGCCCCTCCCAACCTAAAACAGGTTAAATGTAGTCAAAAGGAAAGGTGTTGTTACTCACTCAGCAGCAGGAGGAGGCTTGTCCCCAAGCACCTGGTACTTTCTCTCCATTTTGTTGAGCTTGGGGTGCCGTGTGAAGCTGTGGGACAAAGGTGGGTGGGTGGTCTGGAGGCCGTGGACAGACGCAAGGCAGGTCTGAGCCTGCAGGATCCCTGCCTGGGTTTCTGGAGGCATGGGGCCTGCCCGTGGGCAACCGGACTCCCATTTCTAGGTCCCAGCCCTTTGAGACGTATCCCTTCTTAACAGCTGTGAGTCTACCTTACCGTGGGTTGAAACCTTAACCACCTTAACTGCTGAAAGCCAACCACAGCTGCTGTGAGAGGGCGAGGGGCGGAGGTGCTCAGGCCCAGAAATTTGCATTCTTGCTTCCCCGTGATGAGGACCCAAAGGAAAAAAACATTGAGTCACAGGTAGGGTTGCTAGATTTAGCCATAACAATACAGTGCGCCCATTTAAATTTGAATTTCATATAAACAGAGTAATTTTCAGTATTAGTGTATCACGTGCAGCATTTGGGACATACTTATGCTAAAAAAATTAGGTGGTGTTGATCTGAAATTCCAGTGTAGATGGGCACCCTCTCTTTTATCTGGCAGCCCTAGTGACATGGACTTCGTTTTGTAACCTCTGAGAGACTGAACATGGAAACAGGTCATGGCCGGATCATATAAAAAACAGAGCTCTGTCCCGTGATGTGCAGCAACCTAACCAGGAGGCCGCCCCGCCTTAGCTACAAGAAACCCCCCAGGAAGTCAGCCTGCTCTAAGTCAGATTTGCAGGAAGTGAGATTGTCAACCCTGGGGATGGTCCAGGAAGCTACAGTATCACCTATAATAGTAGGCCCCAAACGGCCAGGACTTAATAAATGACAGCTTCCCTAATGTTTGTCCTCATTTCCAACTTTGGGTCAACCAGAGAAAGCCAAACATGTTCCCTAACCAATCACATGGGATGCCCTGCTTTCGGTGGGCAGCCTCCAGCTTCCCCATGCTAGCATCCCCTAACCAGCGCACAGCTAGAGAGGAGGGTAATGCTTCCCACTCCTCTGCCTGCCCTGGGAGCTCTACTGAAACGCCCTGGATGGTGGCTGACTCTCTGCTGCGGTCAGGTCTGAGCCAATAGCCTTTGCTCTTCTCATATGGCTGGTCTTTGTTTCTTTCCTCATTGCACACAGCACGCATGCTCAAAAAGACCTTCTGGAAGGAAAGGCAAAGCAGGGATTCCCCTTGCCTTCTCAAAACCAGGAACGAACCCATGTCAACCAGGTTGACACAAAGAGCTAGCAAGTCTACTCAGCCACGGGGCTTCTGATATGCACCTTCCATAAAATCTGCATGTGGGGTAAACTTTGAGTCTAACGACCCCACTGAGACTTGGTGGGCAGGGTGCCAAGGACCAGAACCCTTTCTGCTCTGTGATGTCCCTCCAGGAAAGCCATCTGCCCTGTCTTTCTAACCATGACCATGTGTGGAAGGTGGCAGGGCTGAGATCCATCAGCACCATGGACAACCAGCAAACCAAGGATGGCGCCTGACTAAAGCCGGCATCAGAGCTCACCCCTCGCTGCACCCTGTGGAGTCCCAGAGCTGTGAGCACTGTGGTGCCTTCTCAGGTAAAGCCTGGGAAAGCCATAGGTCGTCTCCTGCCTTTGTGTGGGGGGATGAACTGGGAAGGGGCGATTCTGGCTGCCCTGTGTCCTACCTGCTTGCAGAGGTGCCACTGGCGCTGGGCACAGCCTTCTTCCCAGAGTTTTCTGGCCGGCACCGATGTCGCTTGAAGCCTTTGGGTGACGAGGGCCCAGGACAGGAGCAGAGGACAGGAGGTGAGAATGGGCCACACAGTACCACCAGCCCCCGCCTCACTGCTGCCCTGAGACCCACAGGCCTGTGTGCCTCTACCTGTCTGGGACCGATCTTTGTCACAATGGTGGGTTGGCCATTTTGTGTTGGGAAGTCTGAAACCAAAGGAAAGGGTGTGAGCTCTTCTATGGTGACCATGGGGACAGCTCAGGCCGGGCTCTGAGCAGCATTCCAGTTAGTCCTCAGCACCACGTCAGTCAGTCCTGTCACGAGCCCCATTTCAGATGAGGAACTGGGGCTCTGGGTGGGTAAGCCCTTTGCCTGAGGTCACAGGCTCTCAGGGGTGGACTCACGTGGGAACCCCAGTGTGTGGGGCCCCAAAGCTGGTCCCTGAAGGTCCAGGGCCAGGGCAGGGGTGGCAGGGCCTCAGGTGCACCCTGGGGCCACTCACTGTAGGATCTTCCTGATCACATCCACAGCTGGGTCTTCAATCAGGGGCTTCCCCATGCGGCTCAGCTGGGCGAAGGACTCAGGGGTGACCACATCCGGCTTGGCCTCCTCCTCAAGGGCTTCTGAAGATGTCAGGATGTCACTCTCTTGCTCCAGGTCCTTCAGGATGGTATTCTGCAGGCCAGAGAGAAGGGTCTGAGTGTGTAAGGACTGGCCCAGGTGCCAGCGAGGCAGCAGGTCGAATTCATGTTCCCTCCCACCCTGCCTCAGTGGAGTGGCTGCAGGCAAACTGACTGACCTCATTGAGCCACTGTTTTCTCCTCTGTAAAGTGATCTCCCTTACAAAGCCATTAATTCATTCATCCGTTTATTCATGCCTTTAGAAATGTTTCCCGGGTGCCTGCTCTTCACAAGCCTCTGCCCGTATTCTAGGAACACAGGGGCCAGGAGGCCATATATGACCCCTCCCGTCTCAGAGTTTGTGGTTTAGTCAGAAAAGACAGACATTTAACTTGCACTCATACCAATAAATGCTTCTCCAAAACTGGGACCAGTGCTGTGAAAGAAAAGTTCCAGTATCTTCTGTGAGATTGAAGTTAGACCTGCAGATGTGCCTGGTCAATGTTTTTGACCAAATGGATGAGGGAATGAATGCCAGGCTGAGTGAGTGGCAACTCCCCTTGAGCAGGCTCCTAGAGAAAGTGTGGAATTGGTGCGTGCGGTGAGCACCTAGGCTGTTCTCTCTTTCATTCTGAGTCTCTTCTTAGCAATGGCCTGTCAGTCCCTTGAGTGAAGGTCCTGGGAGACCTTCACTCAAGGTCTCCTAGTCACTCAATACCTTCATGCTAGACCCTTGGAGCCCCATTGCACCAGAGGTAGATGGATGCCTGGTGCTGGCTGCATGGTGGGAAGGGCCTCCCCATGGAAGGAAGGCTGGTTAAGGATTGGCAGTGAGAACAGGGCCTAGCATTGCTCTACTCTGCAGACATTGGTTCTCGGGCCCTTCCCTGGAAGTTGGCTGAGCATCTCAGCCCATTGTGAGGTGTGGGCAGGAGTGGGGGTGATGCAGGCTCTGCCCATAGAGGCTTGCAGTCTCAGGACAGACAGCCTCCGAAATGGAGACTCCACCGTGTGGTCTGCAGGCTGTTGGGGAAGTGGGAGGTACTATGGGCTAGGAGACCCCGACCCAGACCAGGGGGTGAGAGGAGGCTTGGTGGGGAGTGACATCTTAGGCAGAGTGAGAGGGATGAAGAGGCATGGAGGACAAGCCACAGAGGCTGCTGTGTGTCCAGTGAAAGGGTTTGGACTTTGCCCCAAGGGTAGGGGAGTGACATGGTCAGACCAGCCTCTTCCGGCCATATTCGGGGAACAGACCATGGGAGATGTGAGAGGATGTGGGCATCAGGCAGGCAAGAGGCAGGGGTCTGGATGAGGTGTTGGGGATGCCATGGGGAGAAGCCAGGGCTGCCCCTGGGTGCAGGAGGGAAGGAAGAGGCTGAGAGGTGGGACTGGCTTGAGATTCCGTGGATAGGGTGAGTGAGGGTCCTGATGGAGCAGGGGAGGTAGTGCCAGGAGCTGAGGGGTCTCCTCCGAGACCAATGCAAGGAAGTGGCCCATTGGGGACTCGAATCCAGCTCTGACTTCACAGCTTGTGATCTTTCCATGGCATCTCAGGAAGCCTGATGTCCTGCGGAGGCCTGGGATTCCCCTGTTCCCTTCAGCTCTGCTGAGCCCTGCAGGTCTCCTGGGAGCCCAGACAACAGCTCACCCACCCTTTCCTGCCACCCCATCCCATTCCTTACTGTAAAGACCAGTTCAGTCATGGACACCTTGTCCAGGCTGCAGTTAAGGTACTGAATCCTCTGGCTCAGTTTTTCTTTCCAAGTTTGGACGAAGCCGAGGAGTTCTTCTGTGGTCGCTGTCTAGTGAGAACAGGGAGGAAGAAAGCCCCAAGGAAGCAGACCGCAGGAGGGTGGGCAGACTCTGTGGGAAGTGCGGGAACAGGGGCTGGGCTGGTGAGGATGCCTCTTGGCTTGATGGAGGCTCCTCACATGCAGGGAGGGCCCTTGGGGATTGGGGAAGGCTGGGCTGGCTCTGCTAGGTGGCCTTCACTTCACAGTGAAGGACAGCACACCCTTCACTGATGGGGACATCAGGAGTTCTCTTCCTGGATCTATAGGTTCAACTCTGGGCAAACAACTTAAACTTGCTCAGCTTGGTCTCCCCATCTATAAGATGGGGACACAAAATATTCCCTAGGATCTCCTCTGGCTCTCACATTCTATGTTTAGAAGGAAACATTTGACCCAGGTGGCAAGGGCATGCAGGAGTGTGTAGGAGAGTGATCTGGCCATCTCCATGGCAATGTCTAACACTCCCTTGGAGCAGCACCCCACAGGTGTGCAGGAATGCGACTGCGAGGATCTTCCCTCTTGCCACACATTCAAGGCACACTCTTGTCCCCTAATCACCCCTCTGCAGACTGTCCAGCCAGCCTCCTCCGTCAACACAGGAATGCCCGCACACCCATGCCCACATGCTCCTCACCTGGCTGGGAGGCTGGGCAAGCCCCTGGCACCCACCTAACACCCTAACAGGAGAGGACAGAGCAGGGGGTGGGAGGTGAGGATGTGAGAGACTGGATCTTTCTGTTCTGGAGAGGTGGAGCTGCCTTAGAGAGCCTGTTGAAGAGTTACAGCTGATTAACCTCATCTTCCCCCTGCTTCCCATTAGAGGGCTCATAAGGGACATCAGGCAAGTCACAGGCAAAATATAGGAGCCACCTTTGCTCTGCACATCTGCACTGCAGGGCAAGTAATCTCAGTGGATGTGTGGAAACAAGTGCATGCATATACATAACAGGGTTTAGAGTGCCTCTGTGCAAAATGAGAATAGCGAGAGGGACATTTATTCTGCAAACTATGCTTTGTGGGTGTTTACGTTTCTTTAAAGAGTCATGCAATATACTATATAAGAAAAAGCAATAAAGACAGAAAAATGTCCTCTCAGTGCTAATAATACAACTGCAACTCTGAGTCACTGAAATGGTAGAGAAGACAGAGAATGGTGAAGAGAAAGCTTCCCACTGCAGAGCCTTCAGGCTGGGGTGTCTGGTTCTGGGAGCACCTGGTTGGGCTGTTAAGGAAAGGTTCCCTGGTGTGGCCTGGGCGACAGGCCAGGAAGGATCGAGTTGAGCAACTTTAAGTCATTTGCCCGGAGTTGAACCCGTAGATCCAGGAAGAGAACTCCCGATGTCCCCTGTCATTGAAGGGTGCACTGTCCTTCACTGTGCAGACTCGGGGACACAGTCGGGCACTCATGGCAGAAAAACAGGCACGTAGACATCCAGAGACCTGCTCTGAGGATCAGGGCCAGGCAGATGCTTGGAACCACACTCCTCGCAAACTCTGCTTCAATTCATACTTTAAACAGAGAAAACCAGTTTCTGTGCTATGATCAAAAGAAGCAAGTGAGGCCGGGTGCGGTGGCTCACACCTGAAATCCCAGCACTTTGGGAGGCTGATGTGGGCGGATCAATTGCGGTCAGGAGTTTTGAGACCAGCCTGGCCAATATGGTGAAACCCTGTCTCTACTAAAAATACAAAAATTAGCCGGGCATGGTGGCGGTGCCTGTAGTCCCAGCTACTTGGGATACGGAGGCAGGAGAATCACTTGAACCCGGGAGACAGAGGTTGCAGTGAGCTGAGACTGCGCCACTGCACTACAGCCTGGGTGACAGAGTGAGACTTCATCTCAAAAAAAAAAAAAAAAAAAAAAAGAAAAGAAAAGTGGAAAGTCAAACAAAAAGTGGTTGTTCAGGGGGCAGGGCCCTGCTTCTGTTATACTTCTGGGACTGAGTTCTCCTTATAGCAAGGGACACCTGGTGACATCCCAAGGGAGTGAGGTCAGAAGAAGGCAGACTCAGGCCTCCCCCAACTCTAGACACTGCTCCATGCTTGCCTGGGAGGGCCTGGGGGTGGAGAACAGTGGCTGCTTTCTCTTCTGTTCCTTTCTTCATTCCATGAAACAGGGGTTAAGTAGGAAGGCTCAGAGATGTCCCCCCATCCCACCTTGTGCTGGAGAAATGCTACACACACATATAAGTTTATTTCACATTTATGATTCTAGCATGATATATCTTTATTATTCACACGCAGAATCTATTGAACACTTACGGTTTTCTCTCCCCTGGACTCTTGACAAGTTTTTATCTTGTTCTGAAGCTGTTGCAGAGAGAAATTTAATCCATTTGTTTGTGAATTGGATTTTGCCACCTAGAAAACCAGAGGTTCCGAGATTTTGTTTCTAGAATACATATTGTGATCTGGGAAATGTTCTGTGAAACATACCATCTGAGAAACTGATTAAGCACGGAAAAAAATGAAATCAGGGGAAAATATGCAGCTTTACCAGACACTAGATTGATACAAATTACAAAGATTTTTTTTCCTCTCTCAAGTAAGCTTCAAGCAAAATTGGCACCCCAGAGTGTGGTGAGGGAGTTGGGAGGGCAGGCTCCGCTTTAGCAGTGCAGGGCCAAGACTGTAGAGACTCCCTGGAAAGCTTCGAGAGCCACAGAAAGGTCATGCTCTGACCCAGGACTGTGGCTTCCAGGAGGCGCCCTAACGATGCAGTCAGATTGTCCTGGCAAGTGCACAGGCTCTGCTCCAGCAGTGCAGGGCCAAGGCTGGAAAAACTCCCTGGAAAGCTTACAGAGCCATAGAAAGGTCATGCTCTGACCAGGACTGTGGCTTCCAGGAGGCGTCCTAAGGATGTGGTCAGACCGTCCTGGCTAGTGCACTTCTCATAGCATCACCTTTCATAACAAGAAGCGAAATTCACCAAATGTTCCTCCAGAAAGGAATGCTTAAGTAAAATGTCAACACATCCATGACAGAGACGCCATCAAAATAGTGTCTTTGCGGAATATTTAAAGATTATACAGCTTATAAAACTGGTATAGATAGCAAGCAGCCAATTATGGCATATCCCCATCTTTTCATGTATAGAAAAAAAGCTTAAAAAATAAATTGAAATCTTAAACAGGGGTTATGCTGTGTGGCAGAATTATGGTTTACTCTCTGTTTTGTATTTGTTCTATATTCCCAGTATTGTCCATGATGGAAATGTATTTTGTTTATCACAGGTGTTAGATATTTTGAAATGCAACCCCTGTACACCATGAACAGTCCCCAAATATCAACTCAGAAAAAAGAATCAGTGCCAGCACCAGCTGGAGGCCCATTAGGAATATGCTCCTCAAACAAGAGTGTGGTGACATGCCCTGGAGCCGTGGGCTCTGCTGCCTGCAGCTGCCTCCTGCTCCTTCTGGAATGACTGGAAGCCGGTCCTGAGAGGTTCATCTGGGACCTCCACCAGAGCCTGCCTTTATTAAGGATTCACTGTGCTCCAGGGACTATGTCATGAGTTTAGCACATATCAGCTCCTTTATCGGTGCCATAATATTAGGAATTGCTTTTATGATTCCCATTTCACAGATGGATGAATTAAATGCTTCTTGGGGTGAAAGGGGCAGGAAGCTGGGTCTGGAGTCCCTATCTCAGAGCCTGGGATGCCAGCAAACCCTTCTTTTATCGAACTGTACTTGCCACTCCCAAAAGACAAGGCTGTCCTCCTCACCTCCGCTTGTCCTAGCCCTAGTGGGTCCTCAAACATTGTTCCCTGAGTGGGCATTGACCTATGCCGATAACCCAGGCCCTTCATTTCCAGTGTACCCCAAGTCCCTCCCATCCCACTTCCACTCAGCTCTGGAATCAAAATGTGTCCCTGCGGACATTGTGCCCAGGCCATGAGTCTCTCTCCCTCAGCCTCGCACTTCTGCCTCACTCCTACCCACCTCCAGCCTTTCTGTGGTCAGCAGCCAGGACCCCCACCCTCCAAGTTTAGCCCCGAGCATGCAGCCCCACCTGAACCCTTCCCAGGCCCCCACTGCCTCCCCACTGGTGCTCTCCAACCACAGAGCTCCCTACTCTCTCCCTCGCACTCTTGCAGTCCTGGGCTCCAGCCCCCTGGACTTTCTCCAGCATCTCTCCAGAACGCTTCACTCCTCACCGCCTACCTGGCTGGTTCCTACTTCTCCCTCAAGCCTCTGGAAGCCCCACTTTCTTAGCCCAGGTTAAGTTCTCTGGCCCCTCAATCCCCACGCAGCCACCTTCTTCTGTTGCACGCGTGGCCTGTTTGTGGTTAAGGCCGTAAGCTCTGGTGTCGGTCAAACCTGGGTTCACATTTTGACTTTACCCTTTAAGAGCTCTGTATTCCTACCTAAGTCACTAAAATGCTGCCTCAGTTTATCTCTAAAATGGGGATAAAAACAGTACTTGCCTCCTATAGTTCTTGTGAGGACTAACACAGCTAATCAAAGCAAGTTGCTCAGCAGGATGAATGGTGCTCAATAACTAGTAAACGTTAGTGGTTATTAAGATTTCATTTTTGGCCAGGCACAGTGGCTCATGTTTGTAATCCCATCACTTCGGGAGGTTGAGGCAGGAGGATCGCTTGAGCCCAGGAATTCGAGACCAGCCTGGGCAACATAGGAAGACTCCATCTCTACAAAAAATAGAAAAAATTAGCTGGGCATGGTGGCATGTGCCTGTAGTCCCAGCTACTTGTGGGACTGAGGTTGGAGGATTGCTTGAGCCCAGGAAGTTGAGGCTACAGTGAGCTGTGTTCACGCGACTGCACTCCAGTCTGGGTGACAAAGCAAGACCCTGTCTCAAAAAAAAAAAAAGATTGTTTCTGTCTTCCTAGCTGGAGAGCAAGTCCCACGCACAGGACAGAGACCACACTGGCCTTCCAGCACTGGGGACAGTGCCTGGTGTGCAGGTGTGTGTGATAAAGATCCTTGATGAAGAATGAACCTATCCTACCTGGCACTTGATGTGCACTTGCAGATTCGTCAGCAACCGCTGGATTTTCTCTATGAAAATAAGGTCCACAGACAGGTTATGGAATTTGCTTTCAAACTTGTTGATGACATCATTGGCCTGCACAGAGAGATAAAGGGTAAAGGACAGGGGCTTAATCTGGACCTTTTGGACTCTGAAAGAGGAGGGGGACAGGCCCAGTGAATGGTTGGATGGAGGGCTTAGCCCTCCCTTCAGAGGGAGTTGAGCAAGGGATACTGTGGAACCGGTTGGCCTGGGGCCTGGCTGGGGGCCCCACCTGGTCCAGGTACTCGTTCTCCATCTTCTCCATGTTGAGCATGATGACACTGTCAACCAACTCTATCCGGGCAGCTTCCTTCTCCAGTCGGTGACACAGTGAATTGATTTCTTTAGGAGAAAAGTTGCCTCCCTCTGAAAACAATCTGAAAATAATCAGAGAGAAATAAAAGCCACGGATCAGACCTGAGAGTTCTCATCTATCCCAAATACTGTGGCTGACACACACTTTTAATCTAGGCTTCCGGTTAGAGTTCCAGATGTGGCAAAACGAATGCAGATAGCTTAAGGACAGGAGTAGGATTCATAAATGGTGCAGAATTTCCATTTTTGTCAGTTCATCAGGTTGGAGACCCTAACAGACCCAACTGAAACAAAATTCAAAATAAAAATAGCTTTCTTGGAACTGTGTAAAGGTAAGAATTCCACATAAACTTGCCAGGCGTGGTGGCTCATGTCTGTATTGCCAGAATTTTGGGACACTGAGGCAGGAAAATCACTTGAGGCCAGGAGTTCAAGATTAGCCTGGGCAACATAGCATGACCCTGTCTCTACAAAAAGCAAAAAAATTAGCCGGGTGTGGTGGCATGTACCTGTGATTCCAGCTACTTGGGAGGCTGAGGTGGAAGGATTTCTTGAGCCTAGGAGGGAGAAGTTGCAGTGAGCCGAGATTGCGCCACTGCACTCCAGCCTGGCTGACAGAGTAAGATTCTACCTCAAAAAAATAAAATAAAATAAAAAATTTCAGATGAAGTGACACTAGAAGGGAGCTTGGGATGTGGGCAGCACCAGAAGCCAAGACTTTGCACCAGAGCCTTGGAGTTTCAGTCTTGATGACTGCACAGGTGAAGGGATAGCCTAGAGCAGGATCCAGAGGACAACCCTTGCATTATAAGACTGAGGAAGGAACAAATCCACCAGATACCAGGACTCTCACCTGTCTAGATCCAAGGGCAAAGAGGACAGAAAAGATCTCTCTCCCCTGAAAATTAATCACACAAACTAGACTTCACATACATTTACAAAATGAATTCATGTTCTCTGGAGTGACCCAAAAAACCTCAAGCAGAGAATTCTAATTGGTCCTGGGTAGGTAATGCTCCCTGGCTACCCAGCAGAAACAAATAAGGATTCTCTCTGAAGGAATGCAATGCCCAGTCCAGGCCTCAAAGAATGCCACAGATAAAGTCCCAAGGAAAATGAGTGACTCGTAGCTTAAAAAATTGATAAGGAATCAAGATACAAGATACCATGCATGAAAAACAGTGAAACAATAGAGAACAGAAACTGACCTCCCCCAAACCCTCAGATATTAGAAATATCAGATATAGACTATAAAATAACGAGGCTTAAGATGTTTAAAGGAATAAAAAGTAAGCTTCAAAATATGAACAAGCAGCAGGCAGTTTTGAAAAAGTATCAAATATAATTATAAATGGGCAGAGAGTGGTGGCTTACACCTGTAATCTCAGCACTTTGGGAGGCAGAGGCGGGTGCGTCACTTGAGGTCAGGCATTCAAGACCAGCCTGGCCACTATGGTGAAACCCTGTCTCTACTAAAAATACAAAAATTAGCTGGGCATCGTGGCACATGCCTGTAGTCCCAGCTACTCGGGATGCTGAGGCAGGACAATCACTTGAACCCAGGAGGTGGAGGTTGCAGTGAGTGGGGACTGTGCCACTGCACTCCAGTCTGGGTGAGAGAGTAAGACTCTGTCTCAAAAAAAAAAAAAAACAAAAAAAAAACACCATATATATATATATATATATATATATATATATATATATATACACACACACACACACACATACACATATATACACATATATGTATGTATCTACAAATGGAAGCTATAATAATTAAAATTGAAAACTCAATGAACAGATTTGCAGGAGGTTCAACACAGTCACAGAGTGAATCAGTGACTAGGAAAAATAATACAAAGAAATTAGCTAGAATGAAGCTAAAATATGCAAGACGGATGCAGAGATAGGCAAGGTAGAGATGATTAACATGTCAAATTATAGTTCTAGTTTTTGCTACTTTCCAAATTTTCTTTAAAAATTCTATTTTTATAATCAGAAAAATCTTAATATTTAAAACAAATGCAAGCTTTGTAGATACTGACACGGAAGGTGCCCACTGGTGGGGCTCAGAAAATGATACCAAAAATGTGCTACTTTGAACTTAAAACTGAGAGTACTTGGGGAGCAGCAAACGCAGGGAAGAGCTTTCTCTAAAGTTCACCTATCTACCTAAAGGCTGGATTCTCCAGAAGATACTCAACTGTTGTGAATCCCTTCCCCAGATAACTCATCAACCAGGAGAAACTGATGCATAGTTGTAGGAAGGAAGACTGGAGTTGACACCACACCCAGAGCCCATACAGAATTGGTCCCAGGCTATTGTCTGTTCTTTGGGCCCATTAATCTCCCCTAAACATCATTTACCCTTCCACTAAAATTTCCTACATCTCCCATTTCTCACTCTCCTTTGAAGAGGATATTTAAGATTCAACCACTTGGCCTTTGTTTGAGTTTCAAACTTTGTGTGACACTTGCACGTTAATAAATTGGTGTGTCTTTTTCCCATTAATCTGTTTATCGTCTTTATTGTTTTATTGTTTGTTTGTTTGTTGTTGATGTTGTTGTTGTTTTGAGATGAAGTCTCGCTCTGTCTCCCAGGCTGGAGTGCAGTGGTGCGATCTCAGCTCACAGCAACCTCCGCCTCCCAGGTTCAAGCAATTCTCCTACCTCAGCCTCCCAAGTAGCTGGGATTATAGGCGCCTGCCACCACGCCCAGCTAATTGTTGTATTTTCAGTAGAGACGGGGTTTCTCCATGTTGGCAAGACTGGTCTCGAACTCCTGACCTCAGGTGATCCACCCGCCTCAGAATCCCAAAATGCTGGGATTACAGGCGTGAACCACTGTGCCTGGCCTTGTTTTATTGGCTCAAATTGTTGAAACTTCAGGGGTGGAAAGAAAGTTCCTTTACTCCCTACATCACCATGATTTGGTGATGGTGGTAGTGGGGGGCTGTGGGTCAGCGTGTGTACTAGTATTCCATTTCTGTACAAAACTAATAATGTTTTGCTCATGTATACATAAGTACAGGCACATAGAAAATATATTTTTGGAGGGCTTGCACTTTGTACTTTATATACAATCTGTGTTTGATTATGCTGTAATGATTAAAATATTTGTGATTTTTAAAATAGCATAAGCCTTAAAAAATAAATATAGCCTTTCAAAAATGTCAAAGACTAAATCTAGGATTACTTTCATCCAGGATTCAGATTGCAGGGGTAAAAATAAGGGGAAAGAATGGCCAATAAACACATGGAAAGGTTAACATCATTAATTGTCAGGGAAATGCAAATCAAAACCACAACATAGAAACACCTCACACCCATTAACAGGTCTATTATAAAAAACAAAAAACACCAGAAAGTAACAAGCGTTGGTGATAATGTAGAGAAATTGGAACCCTTGTGCATTGCTGGTGAGAATGAATATGGCGCAGCTGCTGTGGAAATAGTATGAGGGTTCCTCTCAAAGTTAAACATAGAATTACTGTTTAATCCAGCAATTCCACTTCTAGGAAATAACCAAAATAATTAAAACCAGGACCTTCAACAGGTATTTGTACACCAATGTTCCCACCACCATTATTCACAATAGCCAAAAGATGGAACCAACCCAAATGCCCATCAAAGATGAATGGGTAAACAAAATGTGATCTATACACACAATGGAACATTAGTCAGCCTTAAAAAGGAATGATTTTGTGACACATGATACATGATACATGGATGAACCATGATACATGGATGACACATGATTTTGTGATACATGACACATGATACATGGATGAACCTTGAAGACAATATGCTAAATGAAATGAGCCAGACAAGAAAAGGACAAATATATGATTCCACTTATATGAAGTACCTAGAGTTTTCAAATTCATAGAAACAGAAAGTAGGGTGGTGGTTGCCAGGGGCTGTGGGGAGGGAGGAATGGGGAGTTCTTGTTTAATGGTACAGAGTTTCAGTTTGGGAAGATGAAAAAGTTCTGGTGACCAATGGTGGTGATGGTAGCACAACGACCAGGATATCCTTAATGCCACTGATCTGTGCACCTAAAAATGGTTAAGAGTTAAGTTTGATGTTATGTATATTTTGTCAAAACTAAAAATTAAGGGGGAAACAAGACCACATTCCAATAGAGAAACTCAGGTGGCCTGAACAGGCCCTGGACACTGGCTCCCACCTGCAGTGTTTGATGAACTCAATATTTGAGTAGCGGAGTTTGCCCAGACTCTCCTCCAAGTACTGCCGGAAGCTGCGCAGGGACACCTGGGTGACGTCAACATAGCTAAGCAACTCCTGGTGCAGTGTGTTGCTGAGAATGACCAGCCTGTGGGAGACAGAGGAGGAACAGGACAGTGATGGGGGACAACCCTGGGGGACAAGGGAGGGGCAGGTGGTGATGATCAGCCTAGGGGATGTGGGAGGGGCAGGTGGTGATGATGACCAGCTTGGGGACACAGGAGGGACAGGTGGTGATGGTGAGCATCCTGAAGACATGGGAGGGGAAGGTGGTGATAGGTGACCTTCCTGGGGACACAGCGCTGATGGGTGACCAGTTTGGGGGGCATGAGAGGGAAGGGTGGTGGCCTGGGCCTGAAAGGAGGACATCCTGGGAGTCTATTTGGGCTCCACAAGCTGTGCCCAGCTGCCCAGCTTCTCTGGGTAGCAAAGGGGGCAGTAGAAGAAAGTTCAAAATTCTAGTGTCTGTAGGACACACTCTGGGTGTGCTGGATCAGAGGGCATCCTTCTCTCTCTGACCCTTGCAATCAAATTGGTGAAAGAATCCCAGAAGATGCTACTGGATCTTTGTCTCTGCTCCAGTGGGCTGTGTCTGGCCCCCAGCAAGGTGGCTCCTGCACCCATGATCCCCTAAAAGAGTGCCCTGAGAGTGTCCTCTTTACAACCAAGTCCACCAGAACCAGCTGTCCCTCATGTGCCTGATGGCTGCGTAGACACTTGCCAGTCTCCTCCCTGGGACCTGCCTGAGGCCTCCATCTCATATCCCAAATGGCCTCTCTGGAGCCCCTTGCTCTGCCCTGAGCACACTCCTACACTGAGCTGAGCCAGTGCTCTTTCAGTGATTGTGGAACGCAACCCTCTCCCATCTTTCTCCATTCAGGGCTCTTCTGAGTTCATATTCAATGCTGCCTCCTGCAGGAAGCCCTCCCTGATTTTTCCTGAGGGAAAGTGGTCTTCCCCACCACTGATATTTCATAGTACTTGGTTTGCACCCTTGCATGCTGCCTGTGTGTATTCTTTGCTCTCTGGCTGCTCACTCCCTGCCCTCCCACACAATATTCCACACAGAGTTTGACTTGACTCTCTTGAAGAGTTTAACTCGAAAGAAGGCTCTGGAGGTGCCTTCTGCTCTTGTGTCTACAGGGAGTGGGGCCCCTTTGAAAGGACCAGCCAAACTGAGATTCCAGAGCCACATGACTGGGGTGGAGACTCCCAGGAGCCCTTACTTTTGGCTTCTGGTGGCATTCAAGAAGATGTGCTCCATGTCATAGATCTTGAGGCGGAAGTTTTTGCTCCTCACATTTTGCTCTTCTTGGAACTGGCAGAACATCAGCCGCTCCTTCTTCAGCGTCTCGGTCACCCCAGCACAGTGGCTGTCCAACCGCTCTTGATGAAGTAAGAGCTCCGCTGAAAAAGCATTAAGAGAGCTGGGGTCCCTGGGACCCGACTTACCTCAGCATGTTGCTTTCCTGGAACAAGGCCCGTCTGCTGCCTCTCCCAGGCCAGCTGCAGAACAGGAACGATTCAGGTCAAGGCCCCTTGTCCTGCCCCTGTTGCCTTCATCAGGGCTTGGGCTGGAGACGAGGCCTGGCCATGAGCAGGGAGCTCCTGTTGGTGGAGACACCCTGCCCGGAGCAGAGGGAACACAGCCAGGAAGATGGAGAGTCTGGGGAGCAGCTGAGTAGCAGGCAGGATGGGCAGGGGGTGCTGGGGAGGGCTGAGATCTAGGTGAGAGGGTCTGGGGGAGGGTAACAACAAGTACAGCACTGAGCAGTCTGGGTTTGCTCCTTAACATCAGCAGATCCTTATGTCCAGTGAGCCTGAATTCCAACTGTCTTCCAAGGTGGAGTGGCAAGAACAAGGACTGGGCTTCCAGGGATCCATCATAGGCCTTTAGGTGAGCAGAGAGTCCCTAGAGCCCCCAACCCTGACCACCTCCCATCTGACCCCACTATCATCTGAAGTGGTGGAAGTGCTGTGGTCCCAGCTCTGCCAAAATGACTGGTGAGATGCTAGGACTTCGCTTCTCTCGCCTTGTTTTCCACACTGTGTATTGGCTCAGGTGGCCTGGGAACGAAAGGGAGCCAGCCTTCAGGGAGCTTCTACTCAGTGCATGTAGAATCCTTTTTATTCCTCAGTGCATTTAGCACACACATTTTCCAGATGAGAACAATGAGGTTCCAAGTGCCACACAAGTTGCCTGAGCCCGCAAGCACTGGGATTCAAGGCCAGTTGTCAGCTCGCACAACTCCTTCCCCGCTCCAGGAATAGGAGTTTGTGTGGGTTAGTGACGGGGCTCTCTGATAGCTCTAAAGGGCTTTGAAGGAGCTGGGGTATCATTTGGGTGAAAAACCAACAGTCATTGAAGAATCCTACTGAAAACATCCCCCCCGCTCCCCGCCACATTAACAGAGCCCACCACGTAGGTGTGAAATGCATGTATTTTTAAGTATGATAAATGATAAAGTAGAAATAATGGCTATCACTTTTGGAGGCTGTATCTTGTACCAGGTGCTCATGATTCCTTACTATACCATTTAAAAAGGGTTTATTACCACCTCCTTAACGCCTCCATCAACCCCTTCTGCAGGTGAGAGAGGGATCAGAGAGGTCAGGTAACCTGTACAGGGTCGCACAGTCACAGGAGTTGAAACTGAAAGCTCTAATTCCTGAGCTATGGGCTTGCCTCTAGAATACCCACTATGCAGGTGTGTATCTGACAGGTGTATGAGGAGATCTGGCATTCAAGAGCTAAAACAGTACAACACTCTTTGTTTTCAACTCTAACAGCCTCTTGGAAAAAAATGGAAATGAGAAAAAAATCTCGCAGGAGGATTCTGAGTACCACCTTTTTCTGCAAGCCTCGGAGATGTGAACCCTCGTGCGCATCTTCCATGGTGTGATGAGAACATGCTAAACGTTGCATGGTACAAACTGGGACAGCTAATGGACATGGAGCCACAGTGGAGCAGACATTGAAGGAGGGGCTGGGGGCAGGGCAGACATTCCCAGGCAGTATCTGTACCTGCCCTGACGTTGTGGATGTCTTTTTCAATCTGCTGGGCTCTTGGCTGGTGCAGGTGCAGATGCAGCTCCAGTTCTGAATCCAGCTCATTGACTTTGGTGGCCACGGTGACCCGGGTGTTGAGGGAACACTGGTCAAACCACTTCTCGAGGTGCTCGAAGAAGCCAGCTCGAAGTCTGAGGGAGAGACCAGCCAGGGTCAGCCCTGCCAGCAATCATGTCCTATGAGAGGTCTTTCCATATGGAGCCCAAAGGGCTTCCCCGCTTCACTCCTTTCCCTCATTTCATTTCCCAGCTACATTGCATTTCATTGTGCAAATGGACCATTACTCGTTTAACCATACCACTGCTGGAGGACATTACGTATGTCAGATGTAGAAGTGTTTCTTTGGATAAATGACCTTGAACTGTAGTTGCTGAATCAAAGGTTAAAACACATTTGTGGTTTTGGCAGATATGGCCAAACTGTTTCCACTAGAAGTCAACTTGTATTCTCATCAGCGATGTTCCTATTTCTCCACAGTCTCAGAGTGTATTGTCAGATGTCTAAGTTTGACAATTTTGTCATATTATGATTGAGACTGAGCATATTTTCATGTGTTTAAGATTATTTAGGCTGGGCACTGTGGTTCATGCTTATGATCCCAGCACTTTGGGAGACTGAAGCAGGAGGATTGCTTGAACCTAGGAGTTAGAGACCAGTCTGGGCAACATGGTGAGACCCCATCTCTACAAAATATTTACAAAATTAGCTGGTCATGGTGACATGCGCCTATGGTCCCATCTACTCAGGAGGTTAAGGCTGCAGTGAGTCATGCCACTGAACTCCAGCCTAGGTGACAGAGTGAGACCCTGCCTCAAAAAAACCCAAGAGTATTTAGTTTCTCTTTCTGTGTACTGTCCATGAATGTCTTTTGCCCAATTCTCTGTTGTGAATAGCGGTTCTTTTTTACAAATCAATTTCTAGGGGCTCCTCATATACTGGGGACATGAGGGTCATTGACTTTGATGTGAGTTGCAAATGTTGCTTCTCAGCTTATCATTTCTTCCTTTTTAAAATTTATGATGCTTTTTTGGCCATGTATTGTTAAGATGTCAGTTTCCAAAAACTGACCTACAGATTCAATGCAATAACAAGAAACAACATTGCAGCAGACGTCTTATGGAAACTTGAGCTAATTTAAAAAATTATGTAGAAATACAAAGGGCCAAGAATAATGGAGGGAGAAGACTAAAGTTGGAGGACTTACACTATCAGATTTAATTAAGACTTAGTGCAAAGCTGTAGTAATCAAGCAGCGTGAAGTCATTGGATAGGCACACAGAGAACTAGAAAAGACACGTGGCAGAGCAGTGGGGGAGAGGAGAGTCTCTTCATTAAATGACCCAGGATCAACTGGTTATCTATATGGGAAAGAAATGAATCTTGACCCCTATTTCACACCATAAACAAAAATCAGTTCAAGGTGGATTTTAGATGTTAATATGGAAGTTGAAAACAATCACATTTTAAATATGTAACATTGGAGAACATCTCCATGTCCTTGGGGGTAAGACACAAAGTAAATTAACCTTAATTAAAAAATTGATGAATTTGACCTTATTAGAAATAAGAACTTCTGTTCATCAAAAGATATAACTTGAAAGAGAGTAAAAAAGGCAAGTGCAGAGAGGGGATGAATATTTGCCATTTATTTATCTGACAAAGCCTTATATAGAATACATAATTTAATTTTTTTTTGAGATGGAGTCTCACTCTGTCTCCCAGTCTGGAGTGTAGCAGCACTCTCTCGGTTCACTGTAACCTCCGCCTCCCAGCTTCAGGCGATTCTCCTGCCTCAGTCTCCTGAGTAGCTGGAATTACAGGCGTACACCACCACGCCTGGCTATAGAATACATAATTAATTCCCATAAATTAATAAGAAAAAAGACAGAAAATCGACCAGAAAAATAATAGGCAAAAGATTTTGCTAGGCATTTCACAAAAAGATAACCAAATGGCCCAACGAGTATTTTAAAAAGAATACAATATCATACTCATCAGGAGAATACATACTAAAACCACAATGAAACGCCACTATAACCATACCAGAATGGCTAAGATAAAAACCACTAACAATGCCACTGAGGTTGTGGAGCAGTTGAAGTTCTCATATGCTGTTGTAAGCTGTAAAACTATTAAAAACCACTTTTGAAAACTCCTTGGTAATATCTTTTGGCCGTATCTCCTACAGATGGATATGGACACACACTCTGTGAGTCAGCAGTTCCACTCTTAGTTCTATATGTAACAGAAACGTATACATATATTCACCAGAAGACTTGTACAAGAGTGTTCGGAGCAACATTATTGGTATATTGGAAAGACCAAATGTGTATCGGTAAAATGAATTAATAAAATGGATTATATTTTTTTATAATGGGACACTATACAGAAATAAAAACTGAACTCTAGCCACATTCAATTATATATGTCTCATAAACATAATAAAAGAGTGAGTTCTGTATGACTTAATTTAGATAAAGTTAAAAAATAAGCAAAATGAACTCAGAAGTTATAATATTTGTTATCTTTGGGGAAGACAGAGCGGTGGCTTGGGATGGGTATACAAAGTGGGTTCCTGAAGGGTTGGTAATTGTTCTATTTCTTGTGGGCTTTGGGTGTCAACTGTGTCATATTTGGGCAATTCATTGAGCTATACACTTATGACTTTCATACTTTCATGAAGGCATGTTATCCTTCAGTATGCAAACCCAATCAGTCGGACAGATAATTCTTTTCTGGTTAGTCATAAGGCCAGATAGCATAGTGGTTGGTGCAAGATTCTGGAGTTACAGGGTCTGTCTGGATTCATATCTTGGATCAAACTGCTTTCTGTCATGGAGATCTAGGCCAAATGACTAACTCTCGGAGCCTCAGTTTCTTCAACTGTAAAATGGAGTTAATTATGGTACCTCTCTCACATTTATTAAGGGGATTAAATACACTCGGTAAATAATAGCTCCTGTGATAGTCCTTGCTGACCTTTGTCCTATCTGCTATGGAGAGGGCAGATGATGGCCTCTGGTAGATTGAGAGGGATGATGTTTGAGTCAAGAGACATTTCCAAGGTGAGATGCCGCTGAGGTGTAGGAGAAAAAGCCCAAAGGCCTGATTGTACTCCTTTCATTCCTTATCTCCAGCCTCCTGCCCATGTTACATATGGGAGGTGAACGAACCAGGAGATCTCTAGCTGATGAGTCCTCCTACGACATTGTAGAGGCAGGAGGACAATGAGAATGCCATCCAAAAGGCAAACACAAATGTCCACATTTGATTCAAACTCAAACACAAAGGCCCAGAAACTTGGGAGTTAGGGGAAGTAAATTCCCCTGGGTGGGAATTTACTTGGGGTTATGGGTCATTTCTCTATTCTTCATTTTTCTTATATTTTCTGCAACGAAACTCTTTGGTAATATCTTTTGGCCATGTCTTCTAGCAATGGACATGGATATACTCTATAAGTGAATAGTTCCATTCTTATATTTTGCACATATTGAGTACAAAATGCCATACATGAGATATTTATATTTATGGTGTATATCTGTAGAATTAAAATAGAAAAAGAAAAGAAACCTTACGATTACAGATGTACCAGGAAATAGAACCCAAAAGTATCTGGCAGGGAAAACACTGTATCTTATGTTCAAGGCCCAAGCCAGCAGACAGCCTCCTGAGGTGGGTGCAGGGGGTCACTCTCACAGAAGATATCTGTGACTGCAAACAATTCCTGGATTTTGCCATTTTTTAATTGTGTTTCTCACCCCTACCTTCCTTCAGTTACCTATATTTTTTTCCTTATCCAACTGATACCAGTCCAATCCTTTTCTTTTCTTTTCTTTTTTTTTTTTTTTAACATTTCACCTTGTTAACAAAACTCAGAACAACAGGATGAGAATAAAGTATTTTTTTACTCACTGTTTCTTAATTTCTAAAATTAGTCTCGATGGAATTGTCACTTGTTCTATGAACTTGGCACTGGAAGTGTCGCTGATGAACATGGCTGAGAAGGTGGAATGGGACTTCCTGCAATGCTCTTCTTCTTCCAGGGGTACGAAGACAAAATATGTGTTTCCACTGGAGATTGTGAAGGACTCCATGTCCTCATAGTATATCTCCTCCAGATCCTCTTCCTTGTCTTCTTCCTAAGCAGGTAACAAGACTAAAGTTGACTTGATATCATCAAACGGACTTGGGAATGCCAACCATAGGTTCCTTGATATCAGAGGTTGTAAACCAAATTTTGGGCCAAGATTATGGCTGAATCTTGCCTAGGTTCCACACCCCTGCAACACACAGCGCTTTTAAAATTGGGAAGTTCTACATAAAAATCTAGGTTTTAAAATATCAGAAAATATGTCAATTCTGAACCTGCATTCCCACATGGCATCTTTAGTTGGAGTTGAGTAATATCTGATGCACAGTCTTCATCATTTGTCATTATTTTACACTTGGTCTCCAGCCCTCTTTTCTATTACATGCCTGTAGGAATGTGAGTTTGGGATTCCTGCTCAAAAAGAAGTCTACGATACCAATTTTTCCACAACAATATAGGACATGATTCTTCTGCAATTCTATGATTATGAAATTCAAGTTATTGTTCTGTGATTTTGAATGTGTTTTGAGGACAAGATTTACTTTATGAGAGTTACTTCCCTGCACTCAAAGGAGAGCTCTGTCTGCCAGCTTGGATATGGAGCTTTTGAGAATAGGAAGAGAGAAGAAATAAACAGACCAAGGTGAAGCAAGAGAGTCTAAGTTGATCTATTCAATAAGGAGGAATTGAGAAGGAGAGAGAATCAGCAAGGGATAAGGAAAGCCAAACAGTTGAAGAGTGACTTTAGAGTAGGTTGCAGGGAAATGAGGAGAGGAAAGTGAATTTTAGAAAGCATTGCTATGGCTGGATGCAGTGGCTTACACTGGTACTCCCAGCACTTTGGGAGGCTGAGGCGGCAGATCATTTGAGGTGATGAGTTTGAGACCAGCCTGGGCAACATGGTGAAACCCTGTCTCTACTAAAAATACAAAAATTAGAGGTTGATTCCAAGATGGCTGAATAGGAAGAGCTCCGGTCTGCAGCTCCCAGCATGATCGATGCAGAAGATGGGTGATTTCTGCATTTCCAACTGAGATACCTGGTTCATCTCAGTGGGAGTGGTCAGAAAGTGGGTGCAGCCCACAGAGGGCGAGCCAAAGCAGGGCGGGGCATCACCTCACCTGGGAAGCACAAGGGGTCAGGGGATTTCCCTTTCTTAGCCAAGGGAAGCGGTGACAGACTGTACCAGGAAAATCAGGACACTGCCACTTAAACACTGAGCTTTTCAAACGGTCTTAGCAAATGGCACACCAGGAGAATATATCCCACGCCTGGCTCAGCAGGTCCCACACCCATGGAGCCTTGCTCACTGCTAGTCCAAAATCAAACTGTGAGGCGGAAAGCCTGACTGGGTGGGGGGACGTCTGCCATTGCTAACAATTGACTAGGTAAACAAAGCAGCCAGGAAGCTCAAACTGGGTGGAGCCCACCTCAGTTCAATGAGGCCTGCCTGCCTCTGTAGACTCCACCTCTGGGGGCAGGGCATAGCTGAACAAAAGGCAGCAAAAACTTCTGCAGACTTAAACGTCCCTGTCTGACAGCTCTGAAGAGACAAGTGGTTCTCCCAGCAAAGTGTTTGAGCTCTGAGAATGGACAGACCACCTCCTCAAGTGGGTCCCTGACCCCCATGTAGCCTAACTTGGAGACACCTCTCAGTAGGGGCTGACTGACACCTCATATAGCCAGGTACCCCTCTGAGATGAAGCTTCCAAAGCAAGGATCAGGCAGCAATATTTGCTGTTCTGTAATATTTGCTGTTCTGCAGCCTTCACTGGTGAAACCCAGGCAAACAGGGTCTGGAGTGGATCTCCAGCAAACTCCAACAGACCTGTAGCTGAGAGACCTGACTGTTAGAAGGAAAACTAACAAACAGAAAGGAATAGCATCAATATCAACAAAAAGGACATCCACACCAAAACCCCATCTGTAGGTCAGCATCATCAAAGACCAAAGGTAGATAAAAACCACAAAGATGGGGAGAAACCAGAGCAGAAAAGCTAAAAATTCTAAAAACCAGAGCACCTCTTCTTCTCCAAAGGATCACAGCTCCTTGCCAGCAACAGAACAAAGCAGGATGGAGAATGACTTTGATGAGTTGACAGAAGTAGGCTTCAGAAAGTCGGTAATAACAAACTTCTCTGAGCTAAAGGAGGATGTTCGAACCCATCGCAAGGAAGCTAAAAACCACGAAAAAAGATTAAATGAATGGCTAACTAGAATAAACAGTGTAAGGAAGACCTTAAATGACCTGATGGAGCTGAAAACCATGGCATGAGAACTATGTGACGCATGCACAAGCTTCAGTAGCTGATTCAATCAATGGAAGAAAGGGTATCAGTGATTGAAGATCAAATTAATAAAATAAAGCGAGAAGAGAAGTTTAGAGAAAAAGAGTAAAAAGAAACAAACAAAGCCTCCAAGAAATATGGGACTATGTGAAAAGACTAAATCTACGTTTGATTGGTGTACCTGAAAGTGACGGGGAGAATGGAACCAAGCTAGAAAACACTCTTCAGTATATTATCCAGGATAACTTCCCCAACCTAGCAAGGCAGGCCAGCATTCAAATTCAGGAAATACAGAGAACACCACAAAGATACTCCTCAAGAAGAACAACCCCAAGACACATAATTGTCAGATTCACTAAGGTTGAAACGAAGGAAAAAATACTAAGAGCAACCAGAGAGAAAGGTCAGGTTACCCACAATGGGAAGCCCATCAGACTAACAGCAGATCTCTTAGTAGAAACCCTGCAAGCCAGAGGAGAGTGGGGGCCAATATTCAACATTCTTAAAGAAAAGAATTTTCAACTCAGAATTTCATATCCAGCCAAACTAAGCTTCATAAGTGAAGGAGAAATAAAATCCTTTACAGACAAGCAAATGCTGAGAGATTTTGTCACCACCAGGCCTGCCTTACAAGAGCTCCTGAAGAAAGCACTAAACATGGAAAGGAAGAACCGGCACCAGCCACTGCAAAAACATGCCAAATTGTAAAGACCATTGATGCTAAGAAGAAACTGCATCAACTAAAGGGCAAAATAACCAGCTAACATCATAATGACAGGATCAAATTCACACATAACAATATTAACCTTAAATGTAAAGGGGCTAAATGCCCTAGTTAAAAGACACAGACTGGCAAATTGGATACAGTCAAGACTCATCAGTGTGCTGTATTCAGGAGATCCATCTCATGTGCAGAGACACACATAGGCTCAAAATAAAGGGATGGAGGAAGATCTTCCAAGCAAATGGAAAGCAATAAATAAATAAATAAATAAATAAATAAAAGCAGGGGTTGCAATCCTAGTCTCTGATAAAACAGACTTTAAACCAACAAAGATCAAAAGAGACAAAGAAGGTCACTACATAATGGTAAGGGATCAATTCAACAAGAAGAGCTAACTATCTTAAATATATATGCACCCAATACAGGAGCACCTAGATTCATAAAGCAAGTCCTGAGAGACCTACAAAGAGACTTAGACTCCCACACAATAATAATGGGAAACTTTAACACCCCACTGTCAATATTAGACAGATCAACGAGACAGAAAGTTAACAAGGATATCCAGGAATTGAAGGCTCTGCACCAAGCAGACCTAATAGACATCTACAGAACTCTTCACCCCAAATCAACAGAATATACATTCTTCTCAGCACCACATCACACTTATTCCAAAATCGACCACATCATTGGAAGTAAAGCACTCCTCAGCAAATGTAAAAGAACAGAAATCACAACAAACTGTCTCTCAGACCACAGTACAATCAAATTAGAACTCAGGATTAAAAAACTCACTCAAAACCACACAACTACATGGAAACTGAACGACCTGCTCCTTAATGACTACCAGGTAAATAATGAAATGAAGGTAAAAATAAAGATGTCCTTTGAAACCAATGAGAACAAAGACACAATGTACCAGAATCTCTGGGACACATTTAAAGCAGTGTGTAGAGGGAAATTTATAGCACTAAATGCCCACAAGAGAAAGCAGGAAAGATCTAAAACCGACATCCTAACATCACAATTAAAAGAACTAGAGAAACAAGAATAAACAAATTCAAAAGCTAGCTGAAGGCAAGAAATAACTAAGATCAGAGCAGAACAGAAGGAGATAGAGACACCAAAAAACCCTTCAAAAAATCAATGAATCCAGAAGCTGGCTTTTTGAAAAAGATCAGCAAAATTGATAGACTGCTAGCAAGACTAATAAAGAAGAAAAGAGAGAAGAATCAAATAGACGCAATTAAAAAAATGATAAAGGGGATATCATCACTGATCCCACAGAAATACAAACTACCATCAGAGAATACTATAAACACCTCTACGCAAATAAACTAGAAAATCTAGAAGAAATGGATAAATTCCTGGACACATACACCCTCCAAAGACTAAACCAGGAAGAAATGGAATCTCTGAATAGACCAATAATAGGCTCTGAAATGAAGGCAATAATTAATAGCCTACCAACCAAAAAAAGTCCAGGACCAGACGGATTCACAGCCAAATTCTACCAGAGGTACAAAGAGAAGCTGGTACCATTCCTTCTGAAACTATTCCAATCAATAGAAAAACAGGGAATCCTCCCGAACTCATTTTACGAGGCCAGCATCATCCTGACACCAAAGCCTGGCAGAGACATGACAAAAAAAGAGAATTTTAGACCAATATCCCTGATGAACATCGATGCAAAAATACTCAATAAAACACTGGCAAACCGAATCCAGCAGTACATCAAAAAGCTTATCCACCACAATCAAGTTGATTTCATCCCTGGGATGCAAGGCTGGTTCAGCATACTCAAATCAATAAACGTAATCCATCACATAAACAGAACCAAAGACAAAAACCACAAGATTATCTCAATAGCTGCAGAAAAGGCCTTTGACAAAATTCAACAGCCCTTCATGCTAAAAACTCTCAATAAAATAGGTATTGATGGAACATATTTCAAAATAATAAGACCTATTTATGACAAACCCACAGCCAGTATCATACTTAAGGGCAAAAACTGGAAGCATTTCCTTTGAAAACTGGCACAAGACAGGGATGCCCTCTCTCACCACTCCTGTTCAACATAGTGTTGGAATTTCTGGCCAGGGCAATCAGGCAAGAGAAAGAAATAAAGGGTATTCAATTAGGAAAAGAGGAAGTCAAATTGTCCCTGTTTGCAGATGACATGATTGTACATTTAGAAAACCCCATCATCTCAGCCCAAAATCTCCTTAAGCTGAGAAGCAACTTCAGCAAAGTCTCACCGGGCGTGGTGGCTCAAGCCTGTAATCCCAGCACTTTGGGAGGCCGAGACGGGTGGATCACAAGGTCAGGAGATCGAGACCATCCTGGCTAACACGGTGAAACCCCGTCTCTACTAAAAAATACAAAAAACTAGCCAGGCGAGGTGGCGGTGCCTGTAGTCCCAGCTACTCGGGAGGCTGAGGCAGGAGAATGGCAGGAACCCGGGAGGCAGAGCTTGCAGTGAGCTGAGATCCAGCCACTGCACTCCAGCCTGGGGGACAGAGCGAGACTCTGTCTCAAAAAAAAAAAAAAAAAAAAAAAAAAATCAATGTGCAAAAATCACAAGCATTATACACCAATAACAGACAGAGAGCCAAATCATGAGTACACTCCCATTCACAATTGCTACATAGAGAATAAAATACCTAGGAATCCAGCTTACAAGGGATGTGAAGGACCTTTTCAAGGAGAACTACAAACCACTGCTCAATGAAATAAAAGAGGACACAAACAAATGGAAGAACATTCCATGCTCACAGATAGGAAGAATCAATATCATGAAAATGGCCATACTGCTCAATGTAATTTATAGATTCAATGACATCCCCATCAAGCTACCAATGACTTTCTTCACAGAACTGGAAAAAACTACTTTAAAGTTTACATAGAACCAAAAAAGAGCCTGCATTGCCAAGACAATCCTAAGCAAAAAGAATAAACTTGGAGGCATCACGCTACCTGACTTCAAACTATACTACAAGGCTACCGTAAACAAAACAGCATGGTTTTGGTTGTACCATGGTACTTGTACCAAAACAGAGATATAGACCAATGGAACAGAACAGAGGCCTCAGAAATAACACCATACATCTACAACCATCTGATCTTCAATAAACCTGACAAAAACAAGTAATGGGGAAAGGATCTCCTATTCAGTAAATGATGCTGGGAAAACTGGCTAGTCATATATAGAAAGCTGAAACTGGATCCCTTCCTTACACCTTATACAAAAATTAATTCAAGATGGATTAAAGACTTAAGTGTTAGACCTAAAACCATAAAAACCCTAGAAGAAAACCTAGGCAATATCATTCAGGACATAGGCATGGGCAAGGACTTCATGACTAAAACACCAAAAGTAATGGCAACCAAAGTCAAAATAGACAAATGGGATATAATTAAACTAAAGAGCTTCTGCACAGCAAAAGAAACTACCATCAGAGTGAACAGGCAACCCACAGAATAGGAGAAAATTTTTGCAACCTACCCATCTGGCAAAGAGCCAATATCCAGAATCTACAAAGAACTTAAACAAATTTACAAGAAAAAAATCAAACAACCCCATCAAAAAGTGGGCAAAGGATATGAACAGACACTTTTCAAAAGAAGAGATTTATGCAGCCGACAGACACATGAAAAAATGCTCATCATCACTGGTCGTCAGAGAAATGCAAATGAAAACCACAATGAGATACCATCTCACACCAGTTAGAATGGCGATCATTAAAAAGTTGGGAAACAACAGATGCTAGAGAGGATGTGGAGAAATAGGAATGCTTTTATACTGTTGGTGGGAGTGTAAATTAGTTCAACCATTGTGGAAGACAGTGTGGCGATTCCTCAGGGATCTAGAACTAGAAATACCATTTGACCCAGCAATACCATTATTGGGTATATACCATAAACCATAAACATCTCATGTTCATGGATAGGAAGAGTCAGTATCTTTAAAATGGCCATACTGCTCAGAGCAATTTACAGATTCAATGCTGTTCCTATCAAACTACTAATGACATTCTTCACAGAATCAGAAAATCTATTTTAAAATTTATATGCAACAAAGAAAGAGCCTGAATAGCAAAGGCAATCCTAAATAAAGAGAGCACAGCTGGAGGTATCATGTTACCTGACTTCAAACTATACTACAGGTCTACAGTAATCAAAACAGCATGATACAGGTACAAAAACAGACACACAGACCAATGGAGTAGAATGCCTCACACCTAAACCATCTGATCTTCAACAAAGCTGACAAAAACAAGCAATGAGGAAAGGACTACCCATTTAACAAATGGTGCTGGGATAACTGGGTAGCCATATGCAGAAGATTGAAACTGGACCCCTACCTTATACCACATACAAAAATCAACTCAAGATGGATTAAAGACTTAAATGTAAAGCTTAAAGCTATAAAAACCCTGGAAGATAAAATAAGAAATACCATTCTGGACATAGGACTTGGCAAAGATTTCATGATGAAGATGCCAAAAGCAATTGCAACAAAAACAAAAATTGACAAATGGACCTAATTAAACTAAAGAGCTTCTTCACAGCAAAAGAAACTATCAACAGAGTAAACAGACAACCTACAGAATGGGAGAAAATAATTGCAAACTATGCATCTGAAAAGGTCTAATATCCAGAATCTATAAAGAATTTAAATTAACAAGCAAAAACCAAACAACCCTATTCAAAAGTGGGCAAAGGACACAAACAGACACTTTTCAAAAGTAGACATATATGTGGCCAACCAGTATATGAAAAGGTGCTCAACATCACTAATCATTGGAGAATGTAAATCAAAACCACAATGAGATACCATCTCATAACAGTCAGAATGAATATTATTAAAAAGTCAAAAAACAACAGATGCTGGCAAGATTGCAGAGAAAAGGGTATGCTTATTCACTGCTGGTGGAAGTGTATTCCAGTGTGGCAATTTCTCCAAGAACTTAAAACAGAACTACCATTTGACCCCACAGTCCCATTATTGGGTATACACCCAGAGGAATGTAAATCATTCTACCATAAAGACACATGCATGCATATATATTCATTGCAGCACTATTCACAATAGCTAAGACATGGAATCAACCTAAATGCCCATTGACAATAGACTGGGTAAATAAAATGTGGTACATATAAACCATGGGATACTATGCAACCATAAAAAGAATGAGATCATGTCCTTTGCAACAACATGGATGGAGACAACATGGATGGAGCTGGAGGCCATTATCCTAAGCAAACTAACAAAGGAAAAGAAAACAAATACTGCATGTTCTCACTTTTAAGTGGGAGCTAAACAAAGAACACATGGATACTAGGAGGGGAACAACAGATACTGGGGCCTATTTGAGGGTAAAGGTGGGGAGCAGGGAGAGGATCAGAAAAAAAAAAAAAACTATCGGGTACTATGCTTATTACCCTGCTGACAAAATTATCTGTAAATCAAACCCTCATGACACATAATTTACCTAAATAACAAACTTGCACATGTACCCCTGAACCTAAAATAAAATTTTTTAAAAGTATGAATATTTTTGTAATTCTCTTTCTGCACCTCTATGGAGACTGGGCCACTGAAGACCCCAGCTTACACTAGGGATAAACACAAAATGAGCATAGCAAACTTTCTCTATGCCCACGAATGAATCAGTTGCTGGCTTACCTCACCCACAGATAAACTCTCTTGCTCTTCCTGTGCCTCCTTCTCCTCCTTCTCTTCCTCCAGTTTATCTTCCTCCTCCTCCTCTTCCTCCAGTTTATCCTCCTCCTCCTCCTCTTCCTCCTTCTCATCTTCTTCCTGTGACTCCTCCTTCTCTTCTCCTTGACCCTTCACATTCTCCTCATTCAGGGATGGGTTTAAGGAGCTCTCTCTTTCAACCTGCATTTCTTCTAATCCCTGAATAGAGCCTTCTTTGGACTCATCCATCTCAGCATGCAGTGGAGATTTTTTCTGCTGCCCCAGCACCTCTTCAGTTATAAAGGACTCCATTTCTTGATCATTTTCTTCTTCCATCTCTTCTACTGATGTGGCAGCACTTGTCCCACTACTTATGCTTTCCTCACTTCTGCTCATGTCCTCTTTAGACCCTTGCTTCTTCCTCAGTTTCCTCATTCTCTTCTGGAAGGATTTTTCATGTGCTTCTGTTGATGATAAACACCAAAGCACAAGGAGAGACAATTTACTGATGCTGCCTGCATTGGGCCTCCCAACCCACAAACGCATAAAAGTGAAGTCTGGGAGAATAAGACTTGAACTGAAAAAGTGTTACCTGGTTGCCTGAATTTGAAAATGACTTCTCCAGCCAAGTTCTATAGGAAAAAACCACAAGTCACTGAAGGACCTGCACTGCCTTTCCTCAGAGTGCCACTGTTTTTTTTTTTTTTTTTTTTTTTTGAGAGGAGTCTTGCACGGGAGTGCAGTGGCCCGATCTTGGCTCACTGCAAGCTCCGCCTCCCAGGTTCACACCATTCTCCCGCCTCAGCCTCCCCAGTAGCTGGGACTATAGGCATCCGCCACCATGCCTGGCTAATTTTTTGTATTTTTGGTAGAGATGGGGTTTCACCGTGTTAACCAGGATAGTCTTGATCTCCTGACTTCATGATCCGCCCACCTTGGCCTCCCAAAGTGCTGGGATTACAGGCATGAGCCACGGCGCCCGGCCCAGAGTGCCACTTTTAAGTGCATCTCTTTTAAGTAGAAGTACTCATCCCTCCCCTTTGATATCTGATGCAGGCCTTGACCAACTTAGTTCCCTGGGATAACTGGGTTGTTCTCAATCCAGGGAACCAGTTTTTCTTAATTCCAAGAAGGCTAGCAAACCCTTATAGCACACAATGGGTAGACATGGAATAAAAGCTCATTATGATATATTTTTTGGCAGTGATCTGGAGCAAAAGGCAAGAAAAATATAAACTGAGGGATGCAAACGAAGGGCAGAAATCTGCTGCATTCTGTGCTAAATGGAACAGATACAATGGGCATGATTTACATGATCTTGAGAGCCCCCTTGTAAGCCCTGCAAATTTCCTGTTTCACAGGCTCTGGGTGAAGTTTTGGATATTCTGTGTTATGCATAACAGTGTAGGCTGTGGAGTTTGCAGGTCTGGATTTGATTCCTGGCTTCTGACAAGCTAAGTGATCTTGGGCAGGTCCTCTAAACCCTATGGGGCTTATTGTTATCCTCCATGAAATGGAGATCATAATAGTGCCTCTACCTTTAACCCAGGTGACCCAAATGATATCAAAGGGCAGGCAATGAGCTCACCATCCTATAGCTTGAGCTTTCCCTTCAACCTAGGTGGCAGAGGGAGCATCTAGTAGCAATCTAAACAGGAATCTCTTCTGGGAGGAGAGATTCTCAGGGAAGCAGCCAGGTGTCCTGTATACATGGGAAACCTTTGGCCAGGTTCAGTGCCAACCACAAGCATTTCCATTCAGGCCAGGCAGGACTATGGCTGGTGTGTGGGAAAAGAGCCAAGCACTGGGGGATTCAAACCAGGGAATCCCAGGTATTCATGCATTTACCCAGAGAGCATTTAATGTGTCTGAATTATGTGCAAGATCTTGTGCTAATGGCAATCAAAGTTGAAAAAAAATTAAGGCATACTTGCCCTTTAAGAAATACATTATAGTTGGGTGCTCCAGACCCCTGTATTCGACAGCAACCAAGCAAAAAATAGTTCAGAGCCCTGAGAGGTGGCAGGGGCTGAGCAAGGTGAGACGAAGGGTCAGGTGGAATGAGTGGGAGCCTTTCTCTTGGTAGTGAACTGGAGGTATGGGTGGGTTTGGGATATATGGAGACAGAGGGGCCCCAGCAGAGGGAACATCATGAGGAAAGGCAGCAGGTAGGCGGCACATGCCAGAAAAGGGATGAGTCTGCTGGACCAGGGAGAGTCAAGGTGGAAAGCAGAGAGAGTGGGGCCTTTGTGGTTATCTAGGGACTGTAAGTTGGATCTGGTGGGGGCTGCACAGTTGGGGAGGGATTTTACAGGAGAGTAGGTGGGTCAAAGCTATATTTTAGGAGAATTATGTGGCAGTGGTAGGTATGATAAATGGAATTCCAAGCACCATATAAATTAACCTTTTCATTATAAGTCCATTCAGGCTTGAGCTCTGATTTCTGAACCCCTCAGCCCCTTTCATACTGAGAAAGAGATGGTCTCTTTAGAGATTTTCAGCTTCTTTCTTCTTGCACTGATTTGAACTCTGCAGGGTTAGGGATGGCTTTCAAAGTCTAGGCAGATCATAACAAGAAGTCAGCCTCTCCCTTAGTTTCTTCATGAGTGAATGGGTGTATCATTGCCCTCTCCATACCTGCTCAAATATTTCACGCACAAAGAAGTATTGGCTGAGGTTGGAGCTGTAGGAGTTGAGTTCTTTCAGTATGATTGCTGGGTACTCCATCACTTCCTTTGTCAGGAGGGTGTGAAAATATTCATACCTGGGAGGGAGGTAGGTAAGACAGGAGACCCCAGCCAGGGACCACACCCATGACCCCAAGGAGATGGGCTGCAATCTGGCACATAGCTCTGTGTAGAGCTGCTGTGTGGCTGCTCTTTTCTAGCAGCAGTCCTTGGCTATGCTATTTTTCTGATCATACAAGAAATACACACTTTTTGTAGAAAGTTTGGAAAACACATACAAGAGACTTTTCTGCTTGTAACATGAGCTCCCTTTCCCTGTCCAGGTCCTAACCCTGTTTTTGGTCTTAACGCTGTCCTTGAACTTGATGATACCTACATTATTCCACCAAACTCCCAAATGCCCCAAGGTCCAGACTTCTGTTTCTCAGATAGGAGACCAAGGGCTCATGGGGTTACTTATTTGCCTAAAGTAATCAGAATTGCCTTCTGAATCTAAGTACTGCAATCAATTGGCAGTGTCATTCCATTTCTGTGAACAATCCTTATAGAATCAGTTGTACAAAGTCATAAGGATGGAAGAAAGTTCACAGAGAACAGCTTGCCATATTGAGAAATTGGAACCAATAGAAAACAGCTAATCAATTGAGGGATTGCTAAACCATTATGAAGTATCTACATTAATGAATGCTACATGACATTTAAAAATGGAAGTATATCTGTAGTTACAGAACAATTTGCATAGTATAATCCAACCTTTATTTTTAAAACACTATATATGTGTATATATTCATATATATAAATGTATATGTCCATAAAAAAGGAAAAGTGGGCAGGAATGAGGGGAAAAAAATCTCTATATGTTTGCAGTGGTTAACTTCTTTTTCCTCCTTTAACAAGAATGTACATGTTTAAATTTTTTTTTTTTTTTTTGAGACAGCATCTCACTCTGTCACCCAGGCTGAAGGGCAATGGCATGATCTCCACTCACTGCAACCTCCGTCTCCTGGGTTCAAGTGATTCTCCTGCCTCAGCCTCCCAAGTAGCTAGGATTACAGGCACCTGCCACCATGCCTGGCTAATTCTTGTATTTTTAGTAGAGGTGGGGTTTCACCATGTTGGCCAGGCTGGTCTTGAACTCCTGTCCTCAGGTGATCCACCCACATCTTTAAATTTTTAAAAGAAGGCCCCATGTTCTTGAACTGAAGCCACATTGCTTTGAAACCTCCCTCCACAAACTTTTAAAAATTTTCCCTGGAAGCTTCTTTATTGGCTGAGAGCAGAGCTGCAGAGGGCTACAATGCTTTCTAAGGTGAGAGGCACAATTTTCATCTTAAGCCTGCCAGTAGGCTCCTGGGCTCTTGGGCAGGCTGCCCTTGACCTTGAAGATGAATTTCTGACCATCCCCTCCTGCCTTTTGGAGTCTGGTTGGCCTACCTGGATTTCATGTTCTTCAGATAATCTTTGACCTTTTCCAGGTGAAACGCCAGTGTTTCTTTGTCGCTCTGCTGCCTCAGTTGGTCCAAGAGCCTATCAAGGTGGGCCTCCTGGACCTGGAAGCCACCCCCAAAACAAGAGAAGCAGATGTGACCTCCAGTGCTCACAGAGTGTAAGTGACCTGCAGGGACCCTGCTGCTAGAACTGAGGCCCAGGTGCCTCGGCAGATCCAGGACTCCCTTTCTACAAATGGGGCACCTAATCTGCCACCGCCCTCCCTCTCTCCACTATAGGCCTCTAGACTTTTTTCTGCCTGCAATGTTCTTCCCTGCCTACATCATACCCCCCGGGGGAGCCAGCTCAGATGGGACCCCCGGAGACAGGGCCCTCACACCCACCCACCTGGTCAGGCCTGCACTACACCTGCTCCTCGCTCTCCTTCTCACCAGTCGTGCTTGAAATCAGAAGCTGAGTTTGTCCCCCCACCTCCTGGACTGTGTGAGAGCAGGCAGAGCAGGGGCCAGCTGACCTCCTGTGCAGGCAGGAGATTGCCCCAGTTATAGAGCGTTGAAATGACTCCCAACATGTGCACAGTTTGCTATGTGATTGACACGTTTGTCTGTAATAACTTGGGGTGTCTTCCCCTTTTTCTTTCAGAATATGATGTCTTATCAGACCCCATATATGAGAACTTGGAGCTATTCCCCCCTTCACCTTGGGAATGTGATGTCACCCTTATCAATCCCCCATATGTGAGTTACTGACGTTAACTACTGTACTTCAAAATACTCAAGAGTTTGACACTTCGAGAGCTTAGGCTGAGGCAGGTTTCACTCTGGCAGTGGCTTATTTGAACGAGAGAGAGCTCAGGCTGTGACAGGCACTGGGGCTATGAAGTCACGCCACCAGCACCGGCACTACCCTCTGGCTTCCAGGGACCTATGAGCCATCACAGATGTCCACTGTGTTAGCTTGCAAGCCAGTTTCTCTGGAGAAACGGCACATAGAAAGGCACACCTGAAGCTTTTATTAGACTTTACTTCCCATGGAAGCCTGCTTCCATCCTAATTGAACAACTAGACTTTAATAGCTTTGCAGCTTACAAAGTGCCTAATGTACCTGGTTTACTCCCTGCGGATGTATTCCTTTTGAGGTTGGTTCACGTTATTCTCCCCCTCTTTAAGCATTGTGAACCTATGAAAAAATTCTCTTTGAATGGCAATGAAGTGTGTGATTTCGTGATACCATCCTTTAATCATCTCCTTATTTGAACCATCTGACTGTCTCTCATGCAAACTCTTAGAGACATTTGGTTCCAGATTTCTGCTACTCCCATCTGATCCCATGACCAATGTAAGCCTTAATGTCCCCATCTGCCCAAATTTCATAGCTAAAGGTTCTCCATTTGGGTCAAGGAGCTGTTTGAGTTCATTGCTGTTTGTGGTGTGAAAAATGGAGCCCTGGATGTGGGCCTCACCTGGCTCTCCAGGCTGTGCTTCTGCTGGTGCTGCTCCATCCTCTTCTCCAGCTCCAGCTCCTGCACCAACAGCTTGCTCTGGTGTGCCTCCCACAGTTGTACCGCCTCCTGGAAGTACCTGAAGAGGTTCGAACTCTGCCACTCTGTCTGATCTGCCAGGGTCTCGAAGGATTTCTGCAGTGGCAGAGCCCAGAGAAGGGACTTGAGGGCTGAAAGTCCCAGGGCCAGGAAGAGGGCCCACCTGTGGGGCCCCCTGTCTCTAATGACTGAACAGCATTGCCCAGACACCATCCCTCAAGGTCAACTTCTAGGCTACACTGGGGCTCTTGGTCCTCCCTCCCTGGGACAGTGTTTTGGGTCTGCCCAAGGCCCTGCCCTTAGTCTTGTTGACTCTCAAGTCCCATCTCTAGACATATCCTATGTTCCACAAAAGTCTCTGACAGGAAGAAGATGGAGTGTGGGCCATTCCTAAAAAACAGGCTGGGCACTCAGAAGGCCACAGCAACGCTGGCCTGGGCATCTTTCCTTCTCTGGAGTTCTCTTACTCATGGCATCTGGGCCAAACACCACACCTGCTGTGAAATCCTCACACACCACCCACCTTTTTAAAAAGGCATGTGTCTTACACCCTCATCTGGGCGAGGGCTGGGCAAGCTGCTGCCTGTAGACTAAATCTGGCCCTCTACCTGTTTTTGTTTGATCCTGTGAGCTACACACAGATATTTCAGTTTTAAAGTGGCTGGAAAATAATCAAAAGAAGATATTTAATGAGATGAAAATTACATACAATTCCAATTTCAGTGTCTGTCAATAAAGTTATTGGAACACAGTCATGTCATTTGTTTCTGCATTGCCTAGGGCTGCTTTTGTGTGGCACTGGTGGAGTTGACAAGGTGCGTCAGAGACCTGATGGCCCACAGAGCCTAAAATAGTCACCATCTGGCCGTTCACAGAAAACATGAGCCAACCCCGGTTCAAGATACCACGTGTCTTGGGCTGAGGGCTTATTGTGCCTCCACAGCCCTTCAGTACCCAGGGTCAGCAATGGCCGGGGAGCGCTCATGGCCTGGAGTTCTGCACAGCACCCATGTCAGTGGGTGGCTGGGAGGAGTCAGGTGGGTGAGCTTGCAGTGGCCAGCATAAGGGGGCTGCTCTGAGAGGGTCTGACAAGGGTGAGTGGACACACTAGGAACATGCAAGTTGGAGCTCTTGGGTTCTTCTTACAGCCAGCACCCCGCGGACCCCCAACCCCACCTCAGCTCCCCAGTGGAACAGTCCCCAGCACGCACGTCCAAGAGCTCCAGGTCCTCCTCCACCTTGCCCTGGAGTGCTCCCACCGTCTGGAAGAAGAACTGGTTCACCAGGGTCTCTGCCTCCTCCTCAGTGAAGGCTTTCCAGTCCAGCAGCTGCTTCTGGAGTGTGTGGGACAAGGCAGAACCTGGTTTAGGACTGAGGTCCCCACAGGCATCAACTCCATCCTACAGGCCTCAGTGTTGCTCAAGCCAGACCTGAGCTCCAGGTGAGGGCCCTGCACCCCATGAATTCTGTTCCCCTTAGGGTCTGGAGGGCTGGGTGCAAATTGGCTGGAGAGGCATGCAGGAGCTCTTGTGAGGCTCCCCAAGGGGGACCCTCAGCTCGAACACACTTCACAACAGTTAAGCTTTGGGGGTGGAGGTGTTGCTTACAATCTTACCAAGGAGGCAGGAAGGGACATTCTGACTCCATAGTTCCCCTATCCTAGAGAACAAGTCACAGTTGTGCTTGGGTTTGGGAGCGAGTTTACTGTCTCACTCTGTTATGCAGTGGGCAGGGTGGAGGGGAAAGTGGGGCCAGGCCTATCTACGAAGGGGGCGCATTGCAATAACCCCCAGAACACAACCTCCATTCATAAACAACGCCCAGTGCTGTGCATGACATAGAGTCAAGTGTGAAGTCTGAGGTGATCTGAGAGTGCACACTTCACCTTACATGGGCTTCCTGGAGGAGGTGATGGGCTAAAACCTGAGAGATGGCAGGGATAGCTAGGGAGGGGATCTGGGCAGAAGGAACAGCTTCAGAATGCCCAGAGGCCAGTGAGCACCAGGCACTGGGGCTAGGAAGCCACTCCATTTTCTTCTGTGAGGAAGAAAAGCCTGGATGGAGGCTAAAGGGTGTGTGGGAGTGAGGTGGGGACATAGCTGGGGAGGGGAAGGTAGTGGGGATGGGGCCAGGGAAGGCACTTCAGGTCCCGCCCAGGCATTCCTCTTCTCAGGCCTGCAGGAAGGGTGCCCACCTTACAATTCTGCACAAGCATCAGGCACTCCTGCCACGTCTTCTCATACAGCAGGCGGATCCGCATCATGCAGTCCACATGGTAGGTGTCTCCATGGGCAGAAAACAAAGCAAATCAGTCCACCAGGAAGAGAGGATTAGAAAGGGGAGTGTCCCCTCTGCAAAGGAGCAAAGTGCCTCCACAGCAACATTTATTTAGGTGAAGATCAGTGGTCCCGATTCAGATCAGGGGCTGGTGTCCCCTTACAAAGGCCCCAACACCCCAAGATAAGGATCTCACATGAAGAGCTTGTCTATCTGTTCTGAATCCATTCTGGCCCTGACTCTTGACTCGGTTTCAGGGCTGGTGAAATTCCTTTTGGGAAGCTGCACCAAGTTGTAAACCAGTAATGAGAATGGAGATCAATGAGCATTTACTGATCCTATCTGTGTTCATCCCTGAAAAACTGAAGGCACTAGCAGAACGCGCGGAAGCTTGCTTTTTTATTTATTTTCTCTATTTCTCCTCTCTTCAGTTTCCCAGCTTATAATAAACTCAGTGTGACTCTGATGTCCAGGATAAGCAACTCTGGTTTAGTGCTGTTGGCAATTTCTAGAAACTGAAAGACCACACAGAGATTTGGTGGTGGTTTTTCTTTGTCCAGGGCTGGGGAGAAGGGCAGGGGGATGGCAGCTGGGTGTAGATTTAGGATATCTGGGAGGGTTGACAGATGCTAGAACTGACGAGAAGAAACTCTAAATCTGCTTCTTCCTGTCCCCAGGCTAGTTCCTAGGCCAAGGTGTCCACACCCTTCCGTGAGGCCGCTTTGATGGGCTCTCCCACATCCCCCTGCTTCCACTCCTGCATCCCTCTGGGCCATTTGCACCCCCTGACATCATCACCCCCAGCTCAGAACCTTCCACTGAGTTCCCACTGCCCTCAGGATAAAGCCCAGACTTCCACGTGCAGCCCACATGGCCAGCAGAGTCCGGCTGCTTTGCATCTTCCAACCTCCCCTCCCTGTTTCCAAAGGCCCCAGTCCTGTCTTGCCTCCAGGGCACCCTACACTGTATCCCTGCCTGGAATGCTGCCTCCCTCTTGGGTGACTTTTACCTCCCTTGCAGTTCTCAACCACATGATCATTTCCTTGTCAATGTCTTCCGTGACCCTGAACCAGCTGTGTCCCTGACTATGGCTCCCACGGCTGGGAACCTGTCCATTCCCTGCTTGCTCTGACCTCTGCTCTGGACTGGAAGTGCCCGAGGGCAGAGCCAGCTACTGAATGCCAGGGCTCAGCACAATGCCTGTCTGTAGGAGGCACTGAATGAATGGTAGCCATTGCTATTATATAGAGTCTTGTGGCTCACACAGAAACACCCTTAGTATTATAAACCTGAGAGCCCTAGAAGCAATGGCGTGTACTACTAGCTGAAGTACCCAAGCTAAGTCCAGCTGTGACACTTCATTGGCTGTGTGACCTTGGGCAGGATACTTCACCTCTCTGTGCCACTAAACCCTTCTCTTACTACAAGAGGACAATGATACCACTGACCTCACTAGGTTGCTATGATCCTCTAAGGAGATGAAAAACTTATTACATATCTTCTAGAGCAAGTCGTGTCAAACCTTTTCTATAGAGGGCTAGAGAGTAAACTGTTTTAGCTTTGCAGTCATACAGTCTCTGTTGTAACTACAGATGTTCCTTTATTTACAATGGGGTTACGTCCTAATAAACCCACCATAAGTTGAAAATATTTTCAGTTGAAAATGCATTTAATATACCTAACCTACTGAACATCATGGCTTAGCCTAGTCTATCTTAAATGTGCTCAGAAAACATACATGAGCCTACAGTTTGGCAAAATCATCTGGCAACAGAGTACACTAGTTTACCCTCATGATCACAGGGCTGACTGGGAGCTGCAGCTTGTCACCGTTGCCCAGCATTGCCAGGGAGTATCCCACTACGTATCCAGGCACGACAGCCCCCAGGAAAAGAGCAAAATTCAAAATCTGAAGTACAGTTTCTGCTGAATGTGTACCACTTTCACACTACTGTAAAGTCGAAAAGTCCTAAGTTGAACCATCCTAAGTCAGCGGCCATCTGCATTCACTTCTGCCATTTAGAGTGAAAGCAGCCAGACAATACGTCAACAAATGAGGCAGTTGGGGGGTCTAACAACACTTAGTTCCAAAACCAGCAGTCAGCACACAGTTTACAGCCTGACTGCCCTTATTATAGAGCATTTTGAAACATCACCATTTGTGATTGAGGACTCTGTATAAGCCAGGCACTGGACTACCACTGGCCATCCACCCCACAAGCAGGGACCATTATTACTCTTCTTGCCATCCCTATTTTACAGAGGAGGACATTGAGGCCACCGGAGGCCCTGATTTTCCCAAGGTCACACAGCCCGGGAGGAGCAGAGCTGGGCATCAAGACCATGTGCTCCACCTCACACTCTTGGGGCATGCTCCTGGGCCTTCCTCAAGGAGGGCATCAGAGCCATCTCTCTGTCTCCATGCTTGGGTCAGGGGTCAGGGGTCAGGGGTCAGAGGGTGTGGCTAGTGTAGCTGCAGGCTAGGCAGTGAGGAAGGGAGGTCTTGGGAAAGGAGGAGGGGCCTTTTAAGCTCTCAGAGCTCACTCTTCCTGCCACACCCCCATCCCTCCTCCCAACGATGGTCGTACCACTCACTTGAATGAGCTTCAGCAAAGCAACTGCTTGAACAGAGTTCTGGAAAAATGCAGGTGGAGTCCCACAGACGTCACTCACCTAGCTCCTTGTTCATGGAGTTGAGGGAAGAATGCCACTCAGTCAGCTGAGTTTTGCTGTAATTGGGGGGCAGGAGGTCACTGGGAAGGAAGATACGGCAAGTAAGTCACACAGGAACAAAAGTTTACTAACCAAAATGGGTAGTATCTTCAAGAAACATAGCTCCAGAAAATCGTCGATTTAAATACTGAAGAACAAAGGGAACTGCTGGGGATTTCCTGGTGTTCAAACATGACCCGGTTGAAAGGTCTTTTAATTAACAAATTCTAAGTAACAAACTTGTTACTTAGAAAAGAAAAGAACATAATTTTTCCAGTGGAAAAAACAAACTGTTCCCATCCCTTGACCAAGGAAGCCTCCTTCTGGGACTTAATCTGAGATGGCATTATAGAATGCATGTAAAGTTTATGTATTAAGATGTTCACTTAACAATGCTGTTCATAAACACACATGATGATTAAAAAACCTTCACATCAACAGTAGAAAACTGTCTAAATAAAGTACAGCAAATCCTCTTCTGAAGTCATTAAATATAGTGTCATAAAAAAGAATGAGATCATGGCCTTTGCAGCAGCATGGATGGAGCTGGAGGCTGTCCTCCTACATGAACTGACACAGGAACAGGAAACCAAATACCGCAGGTTCTCACAAGTGGGAGCTAAACTTTGAATACATATGGGCATAAAGAAGAAAACAGACACCAGGGCCTACTTGAGGGTGGAGGGTGGAAGGAGGGAGAGGATGGAGAAGCTACCTATAGTTTATTATGCTTATTACCTGGGTGACAGAATAATCTGTACACCAAAACCCCACAACACGCGATTTGCCTAGGTAACAAACCTGCACATGTATCCCTGAATCTAAAATAAAAGTTGAGAAAAAGATACCAAATTCTTTTTTAAATTTTTGTTTTTAAGTTCCAGGGTACGTGTGCAGGATGTGCAGGTTTGTTACATAGGTAAACGCGTGCCACGGTGATTTCCTGCACCTATTAACCCATCACCTAAGTATTAAGCCCAGCATGCATTAGCTATTTTTCCTAATGCGCTCCTTCCCCCTACCTCACCCCCAACAGGCCCCGGTGTGTGTTGTTCCCTTCCCTGTGTCCATGTGTTCTCATCATTCAGCCCCCACTTTTAAGTGAGAACACGCGGCATTTGGTTTTCTTTTCTTTTTTTTTTTTTTTTTTTTTGAGACGGAGTCTCCCTCTGCCACCCAGGCTGGAGTGCAGTGGCCGGATCTCAGCTCACTGCAAGCTCCGCCTCCCGGGTTCACGCCATTCTCCGGCCTCAGCCTCCCGAGTAGCTGGGACTACAGGCGCCCGCCACCTCGCCCGGCTAGTTTTTTGTATTTCTTAATAGAGTCGGGGTTTCACCGTGTTAGCCAGGATGGTCTCGATCTCCTGACCTCGTGATCCGCCCGTCTCGGCCTCCCAAAGTGCTGGGATTACAGGCTTGAGCCACCGCGCCCGGCCGGCATTTGGTTTTCTGTTCCTGTGTTAGTTTGCTGAGGATAATGGCTTCCAGCTCCATCCATGACCCTACAAAGGACATGATCTCATTTTTTAATGGTTGCATCGTATTTCACGGCGTATATGTACCACATTTTCTTTATCTGATTAGACATCTAAGTTAAAAAAAAATAGTGTGGCAGATTAAAAAATGGTCAGCTCCCTCCCATGGGGGAGGTAGAGTCTATTTCTCCAGTCCTGTAATCTGGGTGTGGCTATGTAACTGGCCTTAGCCAATGGGACATTAGCAAATACAACCTAGCAGAGGCTTGGGAAGGGCTGTGCATGGATTTGTCCTCTCCTGCTGCAGGGACCTTCTGCCACCCACTGTGTGTAGGATCCCAGGTTGGCCTCCTGGAAGCTAAGAAAGTATATGGAGAGAGGACCCAGCTGACCCAGCAGAGACTCCAGACACACAGGTGAGGCCATCCTAGACCTTCCAACCCTGGCCAAGCCAGCCCACACAGGGGGAACCACCCAGCTGACTTACAGAATTATGAAAAACTAGACATGATTGTTGTTTAAAGACGCTAAAAATTGGATGATGTTTAACGGTGTGGAAGAGGTGTATTGCTAGAGGGATCCTATGATTTATTGTCTAAACCAGGACATTTTTGACAGTGAAAGAGGTCACTATGAATGATTATGCCAGAACAAGATGTGTCACCCAGTATGGTCTTGGGCAAACAGGGATTCAGGTAACCCTACTCATAAATGGACAGTAAAGAGCAAAAGGTAGGTACAAGAGTATGCATAGCACTATCTCAACTCTAAGCATTACACTAAATGTAATGTGGTCTCCTGGAACAGAAGAAGGACACCAGTGGAAAAACAGGTGAAATGCAGATGAAATCTGGTGTTTAGTTAACAGAAATGCATCAAAATGAATTTGTCACTTTTGATGAATGTCCAGTGGCATATAGAATGGCAGCATTAAGGGAAACTGGGTGAAGAGTTAGGGTTAGGAATTCTGTGTGCTATCTTTGTAACTTTTCTAGAAATTGAACATAACTCCAAAATACAAATTTTATTTTTTGAAAAAAAAAATTTTTAAATCATATGCACATATACTTATTGGGGCCAAGAAAACTCACGGGAATTCTCCCAGGTGTTTGGATATCTCCCCGTCAAGGCCTTGGGGAATGTTAGCTAGACTTTCCCCTCTGCCATCACTACCACACGCTCCCAGCAGACCCTGTGTTTGAGTAGCAAGGATCTCCGCCAAGTTTCTGGAGATTAGGGGGTTCCAGAAGAAGGGCCTAAAACTGTGGGCCAGGATGGTGTGTGGGATCCCCACACTGCCCTATGAGGCAGTCCCCTTGGGACAGCTCCTCGAGCTTGATTAGAAGGCTCTTCACTGCCTGACAGATCAGGGAGGAAGAGAGGGTCATCTACACAGTGGGTTTTCTGGGTGCTATCAAGGCCCCAAGACCCAGCCTTCTCTACTGATGTTCACTTGAATCTATGACCAAGGTTTTACAACTTTACCTTTAGACCTGTGTGCTCCAGACTTGTGTTCACAGGACACACTTCTGGATGCCAGAATTGTGTCCTGACCTCACCTCTCTACATACTTCCACTGCAAAGGAGTTTCGTGGTCCTGCCAACACCCACTCTCCCCCTGATTTGCAGAGTTGTCCCACCTTCCTTCAGGCCAGGTCTCACGGCCTGCCCGCTCCCCCTGCAGACACTGCCATTGCACAGTGTCTCCAAGCTGTGGCCAGAAACGTCTATGGGTACATTTTTTTCTCCTTGTGTTTGATCCTGTCCCTCTCTTCCATTCAGACAGGTGACCAACCAATCCACATTGACATCCTGTGAGAGGGATGTGGCAGGGCAGCCCAGAAATGTTTCTGGCTTTCATTCTCAAAAGCCTAATTTCTTGGGAGAGTCTAGTGCATTGGTGAGAAGGTGCTTGTGGCAGCAGGCTGAGAGCCCAGGGGACCAGGTATTTCCTCAACCCCTATACAAAGAGGCTGTGGGGGAAACGCAAACAGAGCAAGACAGGCAGCTGCCTGGCAGTGGCAGCCTGGATTCTGCTTCCTGGTGGCACTATGGGAGCATCTGCAAGACCTAGGGCCCTGGAGAGAAACCACTGCCTGTGCGTGAAGACTCAGGGGCTCAGAGCGGCCTCCTTGAGGAGGTTCCTATGTCCACTTGTCTGGAGGCAGTAGGAGCCCAGTGGCATTGGGGTGAACTATAACTGAGAACCAGACATCCCAACAGCAGCCCTGGCATTGCATGAAATTCTAGAACTTTGCCTCAAGGGATATGACTCCCAGAAAGACCAAGTTCTATCCAACTTAAAGAACAGGGGCTCAGAGTTGGAAAGAAGTTGAATTATAGAAAAGAACACAAGTACTTTCCCTGTTCTGAGATGTGTATCCATCTTGTTAATTTTACACCTGGATCAAAATGTAACTGTACAAAATGTCAAACACAAGGAGAAAAACTGGGCCGGGTGCAGTGGCGCACACCTGTAATCCCAGCACTTTGGGAGACCGAAGTGGGTGGATTGCTTGAGCTCAGGAGTTCGAGGCCACCCTGGCCAATATGAAGAAAGCCCACGTCTACTAAAACTTCAAAAATTAACTGGGCGTGGTGGCTCATGGCTATAGTCCCAGTTACTCTGGAGGCTGAGATGGGAGGATCGCCTAAGCCAGGAGGCAGAGGTTACAGTGAGCCGAGAATGCACCACTGCACTCCAGCCTAGGCAACGGAGTGAGACCTTGTCTCAAAAAAAAGAAATTAACTGTCCATGGGGTAGGAGGTGCCTGCCTAGGGGCAGGCCCTCTAGCTCAAGCCATGTGGAGCCTTACTAGTCTTTTACATCCTAGGAGAAGTTAGGACCTGGGGGTGCAGAGATGAGAAGAATCTGTGTCCCAGGTTACTAGAGAACATTTCCACAACACACGGCACCTCCACTTTGCAGTACCAGGAAAGCTCCATCCTGCTTCTGAGAGTGGAGGCTACGAACTCCCTGGACAGTGGATTCTAGGATCTAGAACACTCAGTGGGCACCCCACTGAATAGCTTTCTCATGAAACTGAAATCAGGGCTGGGTGGACCCACATCTGAGGAGAGCTTCCACAGCCTCTGACAGGTGCCTCCAGCCTCCAGTGTCAGATGCCTGATACACACCTCCAAACTGCAAAGCTCATGGAGCCACTCCGCTCCCCAGTGCCCTCAGAAAAAGGTCCAAACCCCTCCACCTGGCCACAGGCCCTGCGTGCTCTGATCTGTGCCTCCTCCTCCCTCACCCCCGTTCATTGCTTCTTTCAAGCTGTTTGGCAGCTACACCAAGCTTCTTCCTGCAGCAAATGGGCCATGCCCTTTCTTGTGAGTGGGGCTGAAATGGCCTAGGCGGCCAGCCCAGGGCCAGAGAGCTGGGAGTTGGCCTACTTAGTCTGAAGGATGTCTTGGGGGACAGGTTGTAGGCCACTTCTGCCTCCCCCACTGAACCCCAAGAAGCACCCCTCCCGGGCCACCCCTCCTGCCCATACCAGATGGTGCAGAGGTGCTTCAGCCGCCTTTGCTGCAGAACGTTCTGGGTCTTCAGCATGACCTCTAGCTCCTTCACCACAGCCTGGGGAGTATGGATACTCTCACTGGCCATGAACTCACTGGTGATCAGACATTTTGGCACCATAAAGGGGAGAGAAGGAGCAGGGCAGGAGTGAGAGAGGGAAGAGAACCACGGTGAGAGCATTCAGAGCCCCAGCACTCCTTCCCTAACACCACCCCAGCCCCTTCCTCCCCAGCCTTTGCCTCTCCTCTAGCACCCTAAAGAAAGGAGAGAGAGAGGGTGGGAGGGAGAAATGGGGGAGGGAGAAATGGAGGAAAGAATGGAGGGATAGTCAGGTCAGTGGAGCTCTGGCACCAACAGCATGAGACCAGCAGGCTCAGATTTGGTGGGCTCCTGACCGCCTCCTGCCTGCTCTGTAACTTTGGTCAAGTCCTTCTCCTACTCTGAGCCGCAGTTCCTTCTTCTGTAAAATGGAACTCATGATGGTGCCTTTCTCATTGGCACTTGTGCGCACTCAGTAAAATGATGCAAGCAAGGCCCCTAGCACTGCGCTTGGCTCATGGGAAATGCCCAGTAAACGGCAGCCATTGCTATCACTGTCGATGATGTTTGGCATTTATAACAGCTTCCCAGTGCCAGGCCCAGATAGGCACTTTCCATGCAGTATCTGGATAGATCACTGAAACTCTATCACAGGTCCGTTAGGATGCCTGTTTTGCATAGGAAGAGACAGATTCCGAATGTTCAAGGGCTTGGTCAAGGTCACATGGAAAGGCAAGACGGAGGTAGGCCTTCGTACACTTTTCCTTCATCCACAGCAAAAGTGCCCCTTGGCAGAGGAAGCATGGAGAAGGGACTTCTTTTCACGCCCCTCCCATGGGAGGGAGGAAACACGCTCCCCAAGGGAGGGAAGTGCTTGCCTGAAGGCTGTCCATTCGTTCACGCCCAGTGTCCACAGGGTTATGAGTGATAACAAAGAGTGGAAATTATACAGATAATCGGATGAATGTTTTCCAGCTGTATGGAGCTCAGAGAATGGTCATGAAGCAAGGTTCATGAATAAAATATGAAACCGCATATACTGTATGGATCTAAAAGAGCCTGGGAGAAAATATATCAAAATATTTGCTGTGCTTCTCACTGTGGGGAGAGATTAGTGGTGATTTTTAATTTATTCTTTATACCTTTATCTATTTTTAACTTTAAAAAGAGCAGAGAGAAAAAGCAGCATTTTTAAGTAATGGCAAAAAGTGAGGGAGAATGCCAGCCCTAGCCTCTGCCAGCCCCTGGTGGGCTGGAGAAGGAGCTGTGTGTGGTGTGGGTGGCGCTGACCTGAAACTCTGCAGCAGGGCTTCCTTCTTGAGATCCTTCCAGGTGTCCACCAAGCCCTGCCAGCGGTGGCGGCTGTCCAGCTCCTGCTGCAGGGTGGACTCCATCAGGTTGATGAACAGCTGGGCGAGGGCCTTCCGGTTGCCCAGCAGGGCATAGTTCATGACCTGTGGTCACAGATGGACAGGGCTCTAGACAGGACAGGGTCTCTCTTGGGTCAGGGCGAGTGTCAGTTAGAGAGGAGCAGTGGGAGGCTGGAGAGGGGAGGTGCAGGCTGAGGGCTGAGTGTGGTGGTCGCAGGACCTGAGGGGGACTGAGGGCTCAGTGGGCACTCAAGGAAGCTTCCTGGCACTGAGTAGCCATGGACCAGGGTCTTCCTTGAAGGTTTAACCATAGACCCCGACTGCATGAGCTTCATAGCAGCTCCAAGGTCACTTCAGATGTTTGTTAAAGAAGGTGAAAGGAGGTAGGCACTCAGTGAGCTCTAAGTGTTTACCCCTTTTTATAAATTTCTTCCAAAAGCAGAGTGCTTGTGCCATCAGGGACGAGCCACATATGCTTGTTAGGAGAACCGAGACCCAATGGCAAGATGAGGCCAGAGCTAGAACATTCTTCAGCAGTTCTCCCATGGCTTCTCAATTGGGCACCCTTGGCATGGGCATGGGGATGATTCTCCATTGCATGGCACTGTTTTGCCCTTTAGCATCCTTGCCCCTGCTTAGATGGGAGTAACTTCCCCCATCCTCCCTGGTTCCAAATACCTCCACACATTTCCCAAAGCCCTCCAGGGAGGTGGCAGTATGCTGGGGCAGTAGGTGAGAACCCTGCCAAGCTCAGAGGCTAGAAATTCCAGTAATGCTTTTCAGTGGAGCCTGAGGCTTGATGCCAGCTGTACTTCCTAGCTGGGTGGCACTGGCGAGTATTTCCTCAACCTACAGATCCGCAGCCATAAAATGGGGTTCATGCTATTTATAGAATAGGGATTTCGTGACAATAAATGAGAAAAACACAGGTAGAGCAAGTAGCAAATGCAAGTTGTAATAATGAGTGAAGCATAGGGAAGGCAAGCAGTGAAACACATCCGGGACACTGAAATCCTTGACTCTCCTATTGGATAAAACGTGCACAACTTAGGAGCCCTCCCTGATCTCAGAAGACAGCTACCACAGCTGGACCCTCTTTTATTATCCTCCCAACAAATCCTGACATGTATTATAGGCAGTCTTACAATGGCTTGACATGATTTTTCAACTTTATGATGGGTTTATGAAGGTGTTAAATGCATTTTTGACTTTCTATACTTTTTACTTATGATGAGTACATTGGGATGTGACCCTATCGTAAGTGGAGGAACATCCATATTATCTTCATTTAATGACTCAGCAAGCTCCAGGCTTGGGCTGAGTCATTTCAGAAGCTTCCACATCCGGACAGTTGAGAAGGTCTGTGCTCACTCTTTGCCTGTGCTTTATCCGGGTCACCACGGTGCTGACGTGGGCTGGACCTGTCTGTGATTCTAAACACCGTCCTCTTTTCAGCCTACTGTGTTGCCAGGAGGCCCCTTATCCAGCAAGCTCAGCTCACTGCACAAGACCAGGAAACCCACAATGTGCCTTTGGGCAGCCAAAAGAGGAGTCCTCTCTCGCAGCAGAGGAGTCAGACTTTGCTCTGACTTTGGAGACATCATGAACAACCTTGAATTTTGTGCTTTCCACCCCAAGGAAAGCGGCCAGGGGGAGGGGTGCTGGGGGCACCGACAGGGGAAAGCAGTGGGGACAGAACCAAGAGGCAGGCTCAGCAATGGGCACAGACCACTGGTAGGAAGAGAGGCAAGAAGAGGCAGAAAAGCCAGACACAGCAGGCAGAGCAGGTCACTCGAAGGTGGAAACCACCCTGAGACCACCGTAGTCCCCCAACGATGACTCTATAGTGTAGCACCTATTGCATTGCACACAGTTGCTGAGACATGACCTAGTAGATGCTCAGTAACATCGCCAGTGCTCCAGACAATAGCCCTATATGAGGTATGCCTGGTTCAAGATGTCAGGGAAATATGAAATGTACTTTAGAAAGATCTCTATTGAAAAATGCTTACGATAGCAAGGACTCTGCTTCTCTACCTAAGAGACCCACCTGGGCCCCTTAGAAATGTAATAGATGAGAAGCCCACCATTCCCAAGACACCAGACACCAGGTTCGGGGTGTCCCGGGTTCCTGGTCCTGCCCCTTCTCCCATGGGCTGATCCCTGCCCAGGAAAACCACTCACCATGGCTTCTTTATTTATCAGCTTGTACACATCGGGCCGCATGAGGTATGAAGTTTTCTCTATGACTTCAGCATATTTCTTCAACACACCTTTTAGCTAGAAATGACAAGGTACCATACTTAGTGACTCATTTCCTGGAGAACTAAAAGGAAACAGAAGGATGCCTAATAAACCTGGCAAGTGACAATCACCACAGAGCCCACCTGCAGCCGACTTACTTTATTGACTCGAGAGAACTCCAGCGAGTGCAGGGCCTCATCCAGCTCCTTAATCTCCTGCTTCTGGAGCAGGAACCGCCTGGCCACCTTATCCCACAGCTCTAGCAGGGCCTATGCAGAGAAGTCTGGGTCAGGTTAGGAGCCGGTGGGAGGGAGGAAAGAAGCAGGACCCGGGTGGGGCAGGCCCAGCCATGAAGGGACCCCTACTTGGATGGTGTAGTCCTCAAGGTTGGTGTCGTTTTCCACCTTTAGGAAGAGACGGTTCATTTCTTCATCAGACTCGGTCAGCTTCTTCAAAAAAAGTCCCGCTGTGTCCACAATGAGAGCTTCCATTTCCTGCAACAGGCCAGGGGGATGATGGCCACAGCATCAGAACCCCCAGGAAGGAGAGAGCCCTCCCTGTCATAGGCGAAGTGCCAGGCATGGTCCCATCTCAAAAATGATGATCGTTGCCTAGACCTAAGGAGTCGAGGCTCGCTAGTCAGCTCACAGCCATGCCACACACTCTGCACTGAGCCCTCCTTCTTGGCTTATTTGATCCTCATCACAGTCTTCAAATTGGCTGCTGACATCGGGCCTAGCCTACGGTTGGCACTCAACAAATATTCATTAAAGAAGTGGCCAAATGAAAGAATGCCAAGTTTACTTCAGATGAGGAAACTGAGGCTCAGGTAGATGGCTTCACCAAAGCCACAGAGCTCAAGGGTGAAAGCAGACCTGGCATCTAGTTGGGAACGTATGAAGAAACATGGCTGGAGAGCCTGTTCTTGGTGCTTTGGGCACAGAGCCAGCTCCAGGAATCCAGGGCAGGGCAACACAGGTCAGAGAAGACTCAGGGAGAAGGGGACAAGTGGAAATCTGGGGCTCACGGCAATCCAGAAGGGCAAAGGCTGGTCTCATTTAGGGAACATTCCAGACACCAGTGTGTCTGGAGATGAGGTCTCTGGAGAGGAATGAGAGCTGAATGGGGGGCAGTCCATAAGAGCCCAGCAGAGCCGGGCTGTCAGCGGTGGGTGTGCCATTCTGCCCTTCATCAGAAGGACTGAGCAGGGAGGCCAAAGGCTAGGTTTGGTGTCAGACCTGGAGAGCAGTTCTGACTTGGGCCTTATGCACCAAGTCAGGTAAGCCTCTCTGGGCCTCACTGCAAAAGGATAATAACAGCACATGACCTGTAGCGCTTTTCCAAGAACTACGGGGAGCTGTGCTCACAAACACTCATAACGAGCCACTCAGGCACTAGGAGACGGTTCCATGTCTGTCTAAGGCTCTGTGAGCCCCTGAGGACCTCTGCTGGAGAGGGGAAGGGAGGCTGGGAGCCATGACACACCCGCCTTTGGAACGGCACAGGAAGGGAAGAGGAGGGAGAGGGAGGATTCTCACCTTTCCAACCTGCGCAATCTCCTCCTCAAAGCTGGCCAGAGCGCCCTCGTAGCTCCTCCTCTTGTGTTCTGCTCGCCTTTGAAAGGTGCTGGTGCTCATCTTCTCAGGAACTGTGAAGCAACAACAGAGGTGATGAGGCTGCCTTCAGAGCTCTCAGGCAAAGGCAGCACAGGCAGGCAGCCCCTGCACACCGAGGCCCGACTCAGAAGGTGGACCCGAGAGCCAGGTCAGGGTGGCAGAGGCTTAAGGAAAAAGAGAAAAGACGACAGTGATTCCTGAGTGCTAGAGGGACTGAGGCCTCAGATACATAGTTAAAAGCTGAAAAATCTCCTAAATAGTATGCACAGAATGTTTTTTTAAAAAAAAGTTCTATGGAAGCAAATACATACAGAAATGATAGCTACCAACACTTCCATAGTACTTCCTGCATAGTGGGTATTGTTCAAACTCAGCTAGTCTTCACGCTGAGGCCACGAGGTGGTTTCCATTCCTAGCCTCGCCTCACAAGTGAGGAAACTCAGTCATGGTAGGTTGAAGAACCAAGCTGGCCAGCAGCTGAGCAGGGATCTGGGCCACTTGCTTCCAAGTCTATGCTCCTGCCACATGCTCTGCTGTCCCCTTTATCCAGGTGGGAAGCCGGATGCCACATGGGTTAACCAGGGGTGGGTTGGGGTGGGGGCTGGTGACTCTTCGGAGAAGAAGAGGCGCCATTGTGAAGGGGAAGGTTTTACTTTCTCTTTCTCTCCTTCCTTTGTTTGTCTTCAGTGAACACGTATTTTTTTTAATCATAAAGAAAAAAGGTTTTTATATTAGGATAAGGTCAAACTAGGACAATGTGGTAGGAAGGAAGAAAATGCAGATGAGAAATACTGTTGGGAACTTGCAAGAAAGTGCGTGGAATCCTTTAGTCACCTGGTTTTCATCAGTAACTGCCCTCCATGCAGGCAGCTCCCCTCCTCCCCCAGCTCCCTGCACAGGTGAGGACTCTCGGGTGAGATGCTCAGGGAGAATGCCCTTCAGGTGACTGAGCTGAGGAACACAGTGGGAGCTCAGGGCCTTCCTCAGAGGAGTTGCCAGGAGACGTCCCCACCTCCTGCCCAGGTCTTGCCCTGGCCCAGGACAGGCCTGCCTTGAGGCTGAATGGAGGCTCACCCATAGTGTCCATGAGACCCCGCACTTCTCGGGCAGCGATGGTGCTCTCACTCTCTCGGGCTTTTTCTCTCTTGGCTCTTTCCTTTTCCCTGAGACACAAGCAGAGAAGAGTGAAGTCCCGATGCCATCCATGGCAGCTCTGGCACATAAGGGCACCAAGGGGTGATTCTCCAGAGGGCCTGTGGACAGCAGCAATGGACTAGGCACACCCCAATTCCAGAGAGCCCTGAGGCAGTGCCCAGGTTCCCAAAAAACGCCACTTGGGGTCCCCTGCCAGCAGACACCGTGGGTCCCTAGGTGAGAGGTTGGGTTCCTGCCTTCAGGGAGCCTGCTCTGGCTCTGGTGGTGAAGTGTGGATGATGAGCCTGAGACACTTCCCAGCTGGGGAAACTGAGGATCAGAAGGGGTATGAGCAGCCCAGTAAAGCCAGATCATGCTAGCTCTTGGCATGCATCCTTATTTGCTCCTTCAGCAACCCATCCTATGATGTACTTGAGGTAACCCTATTTTCCAGAAAGGGGGAAGGGGCTTATAGGAACCACAGAATGCAACAGAGAGGAGACTCCAAGATCCATCCTTGTGACACTAAGGCCCATGGAATTTGGGTGAGGGAGGAGACAGCTGGGGTTCCAGGAGGAACTATTTCAACAGGGAGAACCAGCGGGGTGGATGTGACATCAGCTTTGGAATTGGCATCTGTGAATGCCCTGTCCATGGGGCAAGCACCACAGAAATCCCGCAGCTCCCAGTGACTGCTGCCATTCCTTGGGCCCCCCATATGTCCAACACTTTCCAGCCAACTTCTCATTTAGCTCTCAGTGCAGACCTAGCAGCGAGGAAGTTGCTGGGCCTGGGCTGCAGCTGCTGGGGCCGAGGCCAATCTTCTAGAGAAAGGTCTTTCAGACCCTGTCATTCTAAATGCTCCTGGACCAAGGCAGCCCTGTAGGAGCTGAGATGATGACCCCTGCTGTCAACTCTGGCTTCTTAGTCACTTGCTCCAGGGACTTGGGGCTTGTTTATACCAGTGGTGATTTACCCCCTGGCCTGGGCTGGTCTCCATCCACCCAGGGATCTGCCCTGTGTAATGAGCATATAGGTGGACTGTCCTTGGCTGGCTGACTCTTCAAACATCTGCACCCTTTGCTTTGATGCCTGAGGAAGACAGGGTGCCCTGGCTCTGCCACTCATGTGTTCGGCCCAGTCTGGCCTCTGCTAGCCCTGCAGAGTGTCTAGAGGGAGCTGGGCCTGATGGGTAGTTCCTCTAGATTCCCACCTGGGGCATCAGGCTCCCTGTAACCCTGGACCCCCACCTGGGGCATCAGGCAGGGTGACATGGGCTAGAGAACGCTGATCTCGAGTCTGGGCTTGGGTGGGCCAGTGGATTTTTCCATCTGTCGGGAGTTAAGAGCATGAGGGTCAGAAGCTTTGGGGGTGGCTTTCCTGGGAAAATTCAAAGGCCAGGTCAGGGCAGAGAACTGTACTCATCAAGGGGTCTGTCCCTGCCCCAAAGAGGATGAAAAGAACCACCAAGACAGGCAGAGGAGGCCTGCTTTCTATCCCAGAGTCCCAGGCCCAGCAAGGGTTTATGGCTTGTGTAGAACTCAAAGTGCCTAAGGGAAGCCCCACGCCTGCTCCATTCTCTCAAGAATTCTGGGAAGAAGATCTGTTTCTTCCTTTCCCCATAGCTGAGAGTCAGAGCTCAGCAAACTGAAGTGGCATGCTTAGGAACCGCTGAACCTGGAAGTTCACAAGAAACTGCTGATCTCCATGCCTGACCCCACCTGCTCTCATCTCAGGGAACTGCATTTCTGCTGTTCACCCAGCACTCAGGCCAGAGACCAAGGGCTCTCAGGAGCTCTCTCCTCCCCTCCAATTCATCACTAGGTATCATGGGTTCTGCCTCCAAGAGACACCCGAGGCCCATCGCTGCTTTCCCTCTCACAGCCACCAGTAAGGTTATGAGGACAGCTGCAGTGTCCTGTGCCCTGGCCTTCCTGCCTCTTCTTGAAGCCCCCTACATTCTGCACAGAGCTGCCTGAGGGACTTCAAAACTGCAAATCAGCCGCTCACTGAAGTAAAGTTCAGAATACTGACTGTGGCCTGAGAGGCTGCTCCCAGACTCATCTCCTGCCCTCTCTCAGGGTCCACTTACCTTCAGCCTTCTGGAGGGGGCCAAGACCACCTTTCTCAGAGCCTTGTGCCCATACTGCACCCTCTGGTTTCAGGTGATCCCTTTCCTCAGAGAGCTTTCCCGGCCCCCATCCCATAGCCCCTGTCCCCTTAGTTAGAGCTTTTCTGCCATTGGGGGGATGTGCTTATTTATTTACTTTTGAGGTCTCAAGTTTCATAAGGGTGGGATCCCCACACCCAATGCCTGGCCCTAGGCACTTAATCAATAATGATTGTGGGAGTGGGAGAATAGCGGCAAGAGAAGCAAACCACCCTGCAAGGTAGGTATTAACCTCCCTGCTTTAGGGGTGGTACTTGAGACTTCACTCCTACAGGCTACTCATCTTGTGCCAGCTCTTTTTGAGTGTTTGAAGGCTCAGGTACTCTAGTGCATGGGGGTGAGGCATGGACAGCAGGACCTACCTGTGGAGAACAGGGTTTTCCATGATCCAGTTGTTGGGGAGGCTGTGCATCCACTTCTGCTGTCGAGGAGACATCACCTCCCCTTCAGGAGTCTCCACCTTCTTCATCATGGGTATCCTGCCACTCTTCAGGGTCACAGAATGCTCTGCAGCCCGCTTCCTGGTGGCCGCCAGGGAGTGGACCAGCTGCACCTGAATCCAGGGAGGACCAGGGATGGGGGAGTGGTCAGAGCTGCTGACTCCCCAGCACTCTCAGGCTGATGGTGGCTGTCTAGAAAGACATCCAGAGAGCTGTATAGAAAGGCACTTTTCAGGGAGGCCTTCAACCCCAGGGCATATCCCTACAGCAGAGCTCTCCTTCCAGTAACAGTCACCCAGCCACTTCAACGAAGGCCTCTTTTTAAGAACCTTAAATGAAGATTAAGATGAACATCTCAGCCTTTTCTATAATCACAAGAAATTGGAAAAACAGAACTGACAAATAATAGGGATTGGCTGAGTAAACATGGTATGTCCGTTTGATGGAATGTTAGGCATTTGTTAAAGATGAGACCCACAAAGAATTTTTTATAACCTCAGGAAATGCTTAGGAGACGATACATTGTTAAACATATCACTTAAACACGCAAATTAAAAATTATAAGCAAAATTATACAGTATGATCTCAAAATTTAAAATGCATAGGAAAAGGCCCTGGAGGAAATATGCCAAGAGTTAAGAATGGCCTTAGAGACAGCAGGATCGTGTGAGTGATGTAATTGCTTTTTGGTTTCTTTAGACTTTTATAATTTCCAGAGGTTTTACAGAGAATTATTTAGGGCTCAAATTAGGAACGCAGAGCCCTTTTAAATAAGCAGTACAGAACTTCAAAGGAAGGATTCGGGTCTGTGTGTTTCTGTTAAGATCTTGTTTTGTCTATACAGTGCTTCAGAGAAGACAAGGCAATTGCAATAACCTACACTGTTGTCAAGAGGGCTTCACTTCAATACAGTTATGGGAGTCCTAGATCAACAAGCGGGCAGCCACTCAGCACGGTGAAATACATGGGTGCCCACGGGCATAGAAAAGGGTCTGTGAGATACTGTCACGGAGAAAAAGCAAATTTCAAAACACTAGCACAGAATGAAGCCTATTTTTTAAATACAAAAATTAGACATATTCTTATGCATGGGAAAAAGAGAGGTCACCCAGTGGTTCCATCCAGGCTCTTTCTGAGTAATTTACATTTAAAATTTTAATTTAAGTTTTCTAATTTTCAAGAACCGACATTCTAATTTTGTATTGGTACAAATTTAAGAACCAGTAAGAATTATTTTTAAAATCAAAGTAATTTCAAAGCCCTTGTTTTATTCAATTTCCAGTAGGGAAGCCCTGGGAGGGAGGGAAGTTTGGAAGAAAGCAAGGGAAGAGGCACGGAGAAAAGGGGGACAGACGGCGGCTCCTACCTCAGCCTGGAAGATCTGCTGGTAGGCTTTCCCACTCGGAACCTGGGTCACCTTCCCCACTGACGACATCTTGGCCGCTGGCTGTATGCCCCTGCCGGGAAGCCGTCGTCCAGGAAACGCGTCTGGGCTTTGGTGTCTCAATTCCAATTCCTGAGGTTGGGAAACCGCCCGTCCCAAGCTCAGGTTCAGGTCCAGGCGGGACGACGTCTGGCCTCGAGGCGGCACCCCAGGGCGGGACTCCCGGGGAAGGACTCTCTGCTGGGGGATAGGGGCCTGGGGAATGTCGACTCAGGGTCTTAACTTTCAAGGAACGGATGAAACTAACCTCAGATGAGCTCCGAACTCGAGCAGGAGGCCGGTTCTCCCCGCCGCGCAGGGCGCAAATCCGAAGGGACTTTGGGAACGCGAATAACACAGGATTATTGTTTGTGCTTCACTCTGCCATGCTCTTCTGGGAAAAGTTAACAGCGCTCAAGATGTCGGTTGGGACTGGAACTCCAACGCGGCGCTGAACTCTCATCAGGGACCCTAACCCACCCTCCATGGGACACAGGGAAGGAGAATTGGAGGGAGAGAGTAACCTGATTCAGGTCACGCTAATTAGGCGCCTACTGTGTGCTGAGAAGACCCAACCAGCCCCTCCCATCCCCCTCCCTAGCCCCCCAAATAGACTGAGCAGCCGCTGGACATCCCCCTGAGCCCGGCAGATTGGAGGTAGGCCTTGCGCCCGGCCTGGGCGCGTCCCTGCCTGCAGAAAGCACCTCTCAAGGCAGCCAGGGACGGTCCAGCGACAACTGCAGCTGGACGCCCATGGTCTCCAAGGCAACGCGGAGGGGAGGGACTGCCCTGGCCCCGCCCACGCTTTTCTTCCCAGGGAGGGGAGGTTGCTCTTAGTAATGGGAGCGCCCCACGTGGAGTAGTAAAACTCAACTACTTCCTTCAATGCCAGTTTCTCCTCTCCACAAGGACTACAATCCCAGGGCCGCCAGGAGCAGCACGATTAAATGTTCTGAAAGGTGGTAGGATATATGAGATGTAGCACTGAGCCATCATGATCAACAAAGTCCATCCTATCTTATTTGCCTTGGTTAAAACCAATCTCTGCTGGGAGACAGCATATGGTAGTGTTTGCCTGTAAGTTAGAAGCTGAAAGACTCTGGAAAAGACCATCTGTTTCTCAGTTTAAAAGAGGTTGAGAGCTCAAAATTCAGGGATCAAGGCTTGCCTGGCCAGAGATGAAAATGCTTGTGGTTGGCACTGAACGTGGCCTAGGGTTTCCCATATATATGAGACACCCAGCGCCTTCTTACAGAATCCCTCCCTTTGGCAGTGATATGTTACGATTGCTAATAAATGCTCATTCTTCCGTCCTGGGTTTTATTAACAAGGTGAAGTACTGTAACAAAGATTAGATTCACTTTAGCTGGAAAAAGAAAACGTGTAGGTGACTGAGGGAAGGGATGAAAACACAGTAACAAATAGGTAATGTCCAGGAATTATTTGCAGTCTCATATCTCTTTCCCATCCAAGGAGGCCCTACTGGCTTTGGCCTTGAACGTTAGAAACTATTTTCCCTACCCAGATGCTTTCTGGGTTCTGGTTCCAGGCACATCTGTAATTTAGGGGTTTCTTTCTTTTTAAAAATTATATGGCTATAAATAGTAGGCATGGACATGTCAAGTATGGCATTTTGTTTTAATTGAACTCCACATTTATTGCGGAAAATTAGAAAACAGAAAAACTTCAATGGAGAAAGTAAAATAACCCATAATCCTGCCACTGAGAATTTACCTCCCTTAACTTCCAAGTTTTTGAGACTGTGTGTTTGAGTTTGGATCAAACGTGGAAATTTGTGTTTGCCTTTTGGATGGCATTTCCATTCTCCTCCCAACCTGATAATATCATAGTTGGAAAGACTAACCAGTTAGAGATCATCTGGTTAGTCCACCTCCTGTGTTTAGATATGGGCAAAAAGCCAGAGACAGGGAACGGAAAGAATGACACCAGGGCCTCTGGATCTTTTTCTTGTAGCTCAGCATCACTTTTGATATTTTCCCTCTCACTCTTAACTTTGAAAATGTCTCTTGACCCCATCTTTTCCTTCCTCTATCCCAGACTGTTGTCTGTCTTCTGCATAGTCCAGACAAAGCAGAGCAATGAGGACCACCACAAGAGCAAATATTTAATGAGAAGATTTAATGCCTGCAATAACTATGAGAAGGGTGCCTTAACTAACCCATTTTATAGATTAAGAAACTGAAATTCAGAGTCAGTGACTTGGCCAAGATCTCCAAGATAGGAAGATCTAGGATATGAATCTAGACCCTGTAATTCGAGTCTTGAACCACCTGATCTGTGACTAACCAGGAAAAAAGTTATTTAATCAACTGATTGGATGTGCATGTTGAAGCATAGCATACATATCTAAAAGCATGGAAATCATAAGTGGATAGCTCAATGAATTATCTGAAAGGAACGTGCCTAGTAACCAGCACCCATAAGAAATAGAGCATTACCAACTCTCCAGAAGCCCCTTTTGTGTACCTGTCATGTCACTGCCCTCTCTTCCTGCAGGATAACAAATATTCTAACTTCTGAATTAGTTTTGCTTCTTTAAAAATTTTATTTAAATGGGGACACTTTTATGTTGGGCTTATTTCATTGTGTTTGTAAGTTTCATACTTTTTTTTTTTTTTTTTTTGAGACAGTGTCTTGCTCTGTCACCCAGGCTGGAGTGCAGTGGCACAATCACAGCTCACACTGTAACCTCAAACTCCTGGGCTCAAGCAATCCTCCCACTTCAGCCTCCCAAGTAGCTAGAACTACAGGCATATACCACTATACCTGGCTAATTTTTATTTATTTTTTCGTTGAGATAGAGTCTCACGATGTGGCCCACATTGGCCTTGAACTCCTAGGTTTAAGTAATCCTCCTGCCTCAACCTCCTAAAGTGCTGGGATTACAGGCTTGAGCCACCAGGCTAAGCCCATATATACATTTTAATGTGTCTATAGTTTATTTCTGTATAGTATCCCATTATTAAAAAATATATACCCCATTTTGTTAATCCTTTCTATTATTGAAACACATTTGGATTTTTTCAATTTGGAGACTACCAATAATAATGCTGTTCTGACCATTCTTTTGCATGGTGAACATATGTAGGCATTTTTATTGGGTGTATACTTAAGAGTGGAATTGCTAAGTCATAGAATATGTGTATGTTCATCTTTAAGAGATACTACCAAAGAATTTGCAAGTGGTTGTATCAGTTTACACACAACAGTGTATGAGAGTTCCAGTTGCTCTACATCCTCACCAACACTTGATATTGTCTCTTGTTTTTATTTTAGCCACTACATGGTAGTATCATATTATGGTTTTAATTTGCATTTTCCTGATTAGTAACAACGTGGACACATTTCATATACTTGTTGGACATTTGGATGTGGAATGTCTTTTTGTGGAATGTCTAGTCAAATCTTTTGCCCAATTTTCCTGGCATATTGTCTGTCTTTTTTCTCATTTATTTATGGGAGTTAGTTGTATATCATAAATATGAGGCTTTTTCACATAAATCTGGCAAATATGTATTCCCATTCTGTTCTTGCTTTTTTACTCTCTTGAAGGTGTCTTTTAATGAAGTGATGTTACAATTTTAATAGGTCCTAATTTATCCTTTTTTTTCTTTATGGCCAGTACACTTTGTGTCCTACCTAAGAAATCCTTGCCTGCCTCAAGGTCATGAAAATATTCTCTGATATTATCTACTGTAAATATTGTTTTAAACTTTCACATTTAAATTTACAATCCACCTGGAATTGGTTTTTGTTTATAGTGTATGAGTTAGGAGTCAAGATTCATTTCTTTCCCATATGGAGAACCAGCTGACCTGGGCCACTTACTGAAAAGACTATGTTCTCCCTACTGTTCTGCACACCTCTTTCATCATACATAAAATGCCCAAATGTGTGGGTCTGAGTTGGGCTCTGTATTCTATTTCTCTTCATTTCTATCCTTGCACTAGTAGCCCAGACAGCCTTCATTACTATAGTTTTAAACTAAGTCCCAATATCTGGTAGTGTAAGTCCTCCACTTTCTAGTAGGGTGCTGAGAGTGGGGCAGGAAAGTCATTGGGTGGGGGGTTCAGAAATGTTCTCATTGAGGTGACATTTTTTGCTGTGACCAGAAAGACCAGAGGAAGCCAGCCCTGCCCAAGTATTTGTGTGATGGTTATTTTTATGTGTCAACTTGACTAGGCTAAGGGATGCCCAGATAGCTAAGAAAACATTTCTGGGTGTATCTGTGAGGCTATTTTCAGAAGAGATAAGCATGTGAATCAGTAGGCTGAATAATTTAAAAAATGACCTACATAATGTGAGTGGAGATCATCTAATCCTTTGAAGGCCCAAGTATAACAATAAGGTGAAAGAAGGGTGAATTCTCTCTCTCTCTCTCTCTCTGAACTGGGACATCCAACTTCTCCTGCTTTTGGGCATCGGAGATCCTAGTTCTCATGCCTTCTGACTGTGGAATTTACACCAGTGGCTCCCCAGGTTCCCAGGTCTTCAGACTCAGACTGAATTACATCACTACTTTTACTGGTTCTATTGCTTGACTATAACATAGTGTAGGACTTCACAGCCTCTGTAATCATAACAAATCTTCTCTTAGCTATCTGTATCTATATATCTATATCTATCTCTCTATTTATCGTATTGGTTCTGTTTCTCTGGAGAACCCTAACACACACAGATTTTGACACTAAGAATAGAGGAAAAGAATTTTAAGGATCAGTTTTCTGAACTGGTTTTGGGGTTTCTGAAAATGGCTCTAATCTGTTTAGATATAAAGATGCTAATGACTTTATTTCCAGTAGTAGAGAGAGCACTGATAGTCCATGTAGTGAACTATTTATAGAGATGTGCAAAATATCTGGATTGGGTACTTCTAATTAACTACTTATAAGAAGGAAAGAAGTAAGTAAGTCTGTGTATGATACTTCCAAACATTTTTTGAAAACTAAGAAATATAATAATGTCAGTTGATTGCTTTCACTACTGGATAAAGAGGTGAAAGAAAAGCTATTTGCGTCAAGTATTTGAATTCCAAGCTCAAGAGCTACATAAATGACTTAATTCAGAGTGTCTAGGTAAGCCCTGAGGGAGAGACTTATCTCCTGTAGTTGCACAACTGAAATTACTGAAAATCAGACATAGGATCTTATCCCAGCAATTGGATGAATTACAAGCCAGTTGAACTCCAAGCCTCCCAGGGTGTCCACTGTTAAAGTTCAGGCCTTCATTGGGAAACAGGGTTCTATACGTTGGGATGGGGATGTGAGAGAAAATTTTGATGAAGCTGGGGACATAGAGCTTCTAAATTTTGAAGTCTTCTTTGCCAATGGAAGAGGTATCCCCACTCCCAGAAAAAGGGGCTTTCTCACTCCCAACAGAAATAGCTTCCCACCCACAGTAGTATCAGCCATTCAACCTCTATCTGAGGGCATCAGCCCTGCATTGTCTGAAGAAATAACAACATTATATGAGTTAATTACCATGAAAGATAATAATGATGATTCTTCTCAAGATCTACCCCCACCACCCCTCTCTAGACCTCTAACTAGACTCAAGTCCCAGCAGGCCCCTAAGGTTAGGTACAAAGTGTGACGCATGAGGAGGTACACTACACTCCAGAAGATCTGCTTGAGTTTACTAATTTATATAAGCAGGGATCCAGGGAACATGTGTGGGAATGGATATTAAAGGTATGGGATAATGGTGAAGGAGCATAAAGCTGAACCAGACTGAATTTATTAAATGGGCTCACTAAGCAGAGATTTTGCAGCTTGAGAAGTTAGAAAGAGCTCGGACAATTTGTTTGGTTAGTTTGCTGAGTCATGGATCAAAAGATGAGCAAATTGGAAAAGACTGATCTTTCTTGGTTTAAAGTAGAAGGGACTTAAAGGCTCAAGGATATTGGAATGTTAATGTGAATTTGTCATTTAAAACCCAATCACCCACACCGAAGGGTCCAGAAGACATGTTTTTCTCCAATACTTTGAGAAATACATTTGTGAGAGGAGCTCCAGTATCCTTAAAGAGCTCTGCAATTTCTCTTCTCTGTAGGCCAGACCTTACAGTGGAAACAGCAGTCACTCAACTGGAAAACCTAAATGCAAGGGGAGTATTTGGATTTTGGACTGGCAGGGGTCAAGTGGAGGCTCAACAGCCCAGACAAGGTGGGCTAAATTACCATAATGAATAGCTGAGACAAAGAAACAATCAGAATTATTTGACTTGCACAGACCTATAATGTTGGCTACTCATTTACACCAGCAGCTTCCCAGGTTCTCAGGTCTTCAGACTCAGACTAAATTACTTCACTACTTTTCTGGGTTCTTTTGCTTGACTACAGCATATTGTAGGACTAGTTAATTACAGTGTTCTTAGAAGTGAAATAGGAAGTCTACTAAATTCTTATATGATCCATATAAGCAGAAAAATTCCAGGTCAAGTCACCAAAAGTCTAATTTGAATCTAAAAACAAAAAATCATGTCTCCTCAATCAATTCCAAGTTTTGGGCCTGTTTATACACTTGGAACCCTTTGAATGAAGGGGAAGTTGGGCCCCCTCAAGGAAGGACACAACTGAAAATTTAGACAGTACTGTTAATCTCTCAGCCTTCCACAAGGGACATACAGCTCTTTACCAAGGTAACTGTGTATTGAGGAAAAGGAAATAATCAGACATTTCAGGGGCTGCTGGACACTGGCTCCAAACTGACATTGATTTCAGGAGAACTGAAACATTCTTGTGGTATCTTGATCACCCTTCTTTGCCGTAAGATATCACACTAGTCTATTACGTTAATGACATTAGACTGATTGGACCTAATGAATGAGAAGTAGCAACTACTCTAGACTTATTGGTAAGACGTTTGCGTGTCAGAAAAGTGGGAAATAAATCTAACTATAATTCATAAGACTTCTACCTCAGTGAAATTTTTAGGGGTTGGGTGGTATGGGGTATGTCAACCTATCCCTTCTAAAGTGAAGGGAAAGATGTTGCATCTAGCTCTTCCTACAACCAGAAAGAGACACAATGCCTGGTGGGGCTGTTTGGATTTTGGAGGCAACACATTCTTCATTTAGGTATGTTACTCTGGCCTTTCCAAGTGGCCCAAAAAGCTGCTAGTTTTGAGTGGGTTAGAAAAATAGGAGAAGGTTCTGCAAAGGTCCAGGCAGCTGTCCAAGCTGGTCTGCCACTTGGTCTGCCACAAGAACCATTGATCCAGCAGATTTAATGGTACTTGAGGTGTTAGCAGCAGATAGGGATGCTGTTGAGAGCCTTTGACATCCTATAGGTAAATTGCAGCTCCTGTCTTTAGGATTTTGGAGAAAGGTACTAATCATCTACAGATAACTAATCTTCTTTTAAGAGATGGCTCTTGACCTGCTACTGGGACTTAGGAGAAACTGAATGCTTGATCATGCATGGGCCACCAAGTTACTACGTGCCCTGAGCTGCCCATCATGAACTTGGTGTTATCTGATCCATCAACCCATAAAGTTGCCATGCACAGCAACACTTCATCATCCAATGGAAGCGGTATACATATATATATATGCGTGTGTATGTGTGTGTGTATATATATGTGTGTGTGTGTGTGTATATATATATGATTGAGCCTGAACAGGACCTGAAGGCACAAGTAAGTTACAAGAAGAAGTGGTCCAAATGCCTGTGGTTCCTACTCTTGTTACAACGCCTTCTCTCTCCCAGCCTATACCTTGTGGTCTCATGGGGAGTATCTAATGTGGAAGTGAACAATACAAAATGGAGTCACTTGTGTCAAAACTCTAACCAAAATGGTGTCAGGGAGGATCCATAAAGCAGAAGCCCTCATGCTTGCATTCTGAAATACCTGCATATCTCCTTCATACCTTGTTAACAGAATAACAGAATAGAACTTATCACAGAAATTTTCTCTGACCTGCAGTATTTCAGATAAGACACTTGGGCCGGGACATTTGCCTAGAAACAGCTATCTTCTCCCAGTGAACTAACACCAAGTCCTGAAATTAGTCACTGAAACCAATGAGTTTTGTTTTAGAGCAGTCTGCATGTACTTCTTGATGATCATATGATTTCAGTCTTTTAAAATTTATTAAGACTTTAAAAGGGCCTAACATATGGTTTATCCTGGAAAAGGTTCCATATACACTTGAGAAGAATACATGTTCTTTTGTTATTGTATACAGTGTTTTGTATGTATTGATAGAACTTATTGATTTATGGTGTTGTTCAAGTCCTCCATTTCCTCATAAATCTTCTGTCTGGTTTTTATATCCATTGAAAGTGAGGTATTGGCTGGACACAGTGGCTCATGCCTGCAATCACAGCACTTTGGGAGGCCAAAGTGGGTCGATCACTTGAGGCCAGGAGTTCGAGACCAGCCCGGACAACATGGTGAAACCTCATCTTTACAAAAAAATACAAGAAAAAAGAAAAAATTAGCCAGGCATGGTGGCATAGGCCTGTAGTCCCAGATACTCAAGAGGTTGAGGTGGGAGGATTGCTTAAGCCCAGGAGGTGCAAGTTGTAGTGAGCTGAGATCATACCACTGTACTCCAGCTTGGGCAATGAAGTCAGATCCAGTCTCACAAAAAAAAAAAAAAAAAAAAAAAAAAGAGAGAAAGAAAAAAGAAAGAAAATGAGGTCTTGAAGTCTCTAACTATTATTGTAAAACTGTCTATTTCTCCCTTCAATTTTGTCAATTTTGCTTCATATGTTTTGGAGTCTAACGTTATATATGCATATATGCATATGTTTATAATTGTTATATATTCCTGGTGGGTTAAACCCTTTTTCAATACATAATGCACTTCTTTATCTCCTTAACCCATTTTTTTCTGAAAATCTTTTTGTTTTGATAATATCTAGCCACTCTGGCCCTTTTTCGGTTATGATTTGCATAGAATATCTTATTCCATCATTTTACTTTCAATCTTTTTTGTTTACAGATCTAGAATAAGCCTCTGGTAGACAGTATATAGATGGATTATGTTCTTTATCTTCTCTGCCAACCCCTGCTTTATAACTGGATGATTCTAATACATTTAAATTTAAAGTAATTACTGAGAAAGAAGGATACACTTCTGCTATTTATCGATTTGTTTTCTGTATGTCTCATATGTTATTTGTTCTTCAATTCATTCATTTCAGTCCTTTTGTGTTTAGTTGATTTTTTTATAGTGTACTATTTTGATTATCTTCATTTCCCATTTCTGCATGTTTTTAGTTATTTTCTTAGTTGTTACCTTGGGTATTAAAATTAACATCTTAAACTTATGACAACCTAGTTTGACTGATGCCAACTTAGTTTCAATTATAAACAAACCCTGCTCCCATACATTTTCATCCCTTCCCCTTTATAAAGTTACTGTCATAGATTGCATTTTTATACATTGTGTGCCCAATAACATAGATTTATCATAAGTGATTTATGCTTTTGCTTTTTTAGTCATAGAGGAAATAAAGGCACTCTAAATGAAACATACAATACTACTAGGTTTTCTATTTATTAATGAAGGTGCCTTTATCAGTGATCTTTATTTCTTCACATGGCTTTGAGGTACTATATACTTTTACTTCCGCATGAAGAACTCACTTAAAATATTTTTATGGCAGGTCTATTAGTGAAAAACTACCTTGACTTTTGTTTATCTGGAAATATCTGAATTTCTTCTTCTCTCAAAGGATACAATTTTCCAAATATAAAATTTTTGATTGACAGTTTTTTCTTTCATCAGTTAAAATATATCATCACATTACCTTCTGGCCTTCATGGTTTCTGATAAGATATCCACTGTTAATCTTATTGAGGATCATTCACTTGTGATGAGTCTTTTCCCCTTTGCATCTTTCCAGATTTTTTTCTTCATCTTTGATTTTCAACAACTTGGCTATAATGTGTTTCAGTGTATATCTCATTGAGTTTATCCAGCTTCATTAAGCTTCTTGGGTGTGTAGATTCATGTCTTTCATTTAATTTGGAAAGTTTTCAGCCATGAATTTTTTCAAATATTTTTCTTCTCATTTTTCTCTTTCTTCCCCTAATGGGACTCTTATAATGTGTATGTTGGTTCTTTTGATATGTCTCACAAGTTCCTCAGGTTGTGTTCATGCCTGTGACCTTGAAGGCTACCCAGGGTCTTCAGACACCCTTGGTGTCTTGTCTGAGCCTGCCTGATGGTGGCATGGGAACAGGTAGTCCTGAAGCTCTACTACCTAAGATTGACACTGGGTTCTTTTAAATATTATGCTTCTGTTAATACATTCTGTGTCTACCTCATCTGATCCCTAGAAAGCAATGAGGCCTAGTGGTCCCAAATAAAGCTTCTTCATGTTGAGTGTCTTCATCTAGCATGATCTCCAAACTCCCAGGAAACTTCAAAGCTGGAAGGTATGCCTTGCCTTTTCCCCAACACAAATAAGAATGCCCTATGTCACATCCAGCTCCCATGTCGCTTCCTCTGGAAATTCTTCACTAACTTTTCACAGGCAGAATTAGCAGTTTTCTTTTCCAAGCCTCCATAGAACTTATACAAGCTGACGTTATTACATGCAGTGGGTTGGATCACAGAGCGCTGTTTACATATTAGCCTCCTCAATTCACTGCAAGGTTTCCAGTGGGTATTCACTCACTATTCATTCACACCATGATGCCAGGATTGATTTTGGTAAGTGAATTCATAGTCAAAAGATTTATTCATCTTGATCTCATTATTTTATTGATTCCAAGATCTGATTATGTTATAGGTATGTGGTTGGTGATAGTGAGCAAAACCTGAGAAGGCCTCTTTCTTTATGGAGCTGATATTTTAGTGAGAGGGTGAGCAGATATTAATCAGATCATCACAGAGTGTTATATGACAAATAACAATAGCTAATATCTATTGAGAGTTTAGGATGTGTGAGACACTATCTTAAGAGTGTTTGCCTCTATTAACTCATTTTTTTCCTCAAAACAATTTTAGGTGTTAGGGGGTATTACTGTCTTTTTATAGATAAGAAAAGTGAATAAAGGCAAAGTAATTGGGCTGCTATCACACACCTACAAAGTGGTGGCATGGGAATCCCAACACTTTGAGTCTTGGTTTTCTCAGTTTCTAAAAAGCAGGATGATGAAGCTCGGTTAGAGATTAAACTAAAAAGAGACAATGCTGGCAAACACCTAGCAACAGGACTAGGTTTACATTAGGTGCTTAACAATAACAACTGAATTACAATTGCTCATGAGGGGAATGGGGATTCCCCTTTGCCCTGTTGGTGGGATCCTCATAATAACTGCAGAAGCTTCATAAGGAATTTTGAATGGACAGATTTTGTACAGGTCCTGGGCCAGGTTTTTGTGCTTCAGCATGAAATGTGGTTAAGTACTGGGCTTTGCACAGGACAAATGTCCTAGCGTCCTGGCACAACGTTTGGCCCTTCTTGGGATGGTCCTGGCCAGCCCCTAGAGCTCTGTACCACGACATGTCACATGACTCACCCTCCTCAAACATGCTTGGGGCTTGCTTGCTCACACTTTACTCTTGTGATCCCCCACCTAGAATACCTGCCTACCCTGTCTTTGTATCTTCAGACAGGTGGCTTTTCCAAGTAATCCCACCCTTATTACAGAGAATCTGTGCCTCTGCTTTATGACTAAGGCCCAAGTTAGCTCTGATCCATTCCTCATTCCAGTGGCAATGGGAGAGAAAGCCTGTGTGTGCCTGCTTGTCCAACAACATTGGGGCCAGGATCATGGATTTCCTTCTCTTGCACCCACCATAAAGCCTGGCAAGAAGGAAGCAATGAGGATACTGAAATCCACATTCTGTTCCAGAGAAAAATGGGATCTGATGGTTAAACTCTCCTGATGTACACATTTTACCACCTTCTCCATTGACATAAAATTCTGCTTTGTAGGTAAACTAAGTGCTTTTTAACAGGTAACTCTCCAAGGATGCCTACCCACAACGGATAGTGGAAGTCATTAATGGGCAAAGTTTGTTCAACAGATTTTTCTTTAGTTTTTTAATCTTTTTTGCCAAGGGAGTGAAATAGTCCTGAGACTTCATTCCTCAGCCCAGGTGGCCATCCCATGAGTGGCCAATATTGTCTGCCATCTGCATGGATGGTGCTGTGCCATCCCATTTCACTGCAGGGGACAGCTTCTGGTTAGATTGAGCCCTCTCTTGGTGGCAGATGTCCTAGCCTGGCTTTGGAGCAGATGATGGGGGCCAGCGTCAGCTCTCCAAGCATGCCATCAGAATTTGGGATTCCTGGGAACTGTGCCCTGATTTTAATTTTCTGTGTATGATGAGTCTTGGGTTGTTGATTAGGGTCTGCAACAGGAACCACCTTGTTCTGGACCTAGCTGAGACACGGGGACCTAGGATAGAATCACAGCAGACAGACTGAAGGAGTGAGGGGTCTCAGGGAGGGGAACTCCCTCTCCAAAGTGTTTGCAAGGGCTGCCTGGAATGTGTAAGATGTGGCAGAAGGAGCTGGACTGGGACTCCTGGGGACATGAGGGAGGTTGAAGGGATGTAAGTTGTCCTTTAGAATTGAGTATCTGCAGTGTTGGGAATAGCAATTAACACAGTCTGAGCCCTAGCGAGGCAGAGAGCCTCAGAGATCTTGTGGTAAGCAACAGGGCAGAATCATCAAAATGTAGCCTCATCTTAGAAGGCATCTGCCATGTAGCCTGGGATATGGGTTGGAGACACAAACAAATGGGATATGGAGGACTCCACTAGCAGAACTAGAGTTCATTTCCAGGAACAAGGCAGGAGGCCACCTAACAGGACAAGGACACAAGGCCTGAGTGGGTCCCATCGTCAGGTTGACTGGGAGCTAAGCCTCCTGGGCTTCCTAGTTCAAGGGCACCCAGGGCATGGAGTATAGAGAAAAGGAGCAGGAAAAATGGAACCTGGGGCACCTCAGGGATCCCGGGGAGCCTTGGGGTATTTACTTCCTGCTGTCTGAATCCAGCATAGGCTCAAACAGGAGCTGTTACCTGCCGATTGATTTAGGCACCAGTATTTGGTGGTCTGCTGCAGTTTCTTCTCCTTGTGATTTGCGATCAGGATGTGGCAAAAGCTGACGAGCACAGGGTTGGTGTGATAATGGTCCACATAGAGCATCCCGATCCACGCACTGAACCCTGAAATCCAGAGGCAGGTCAGTCCAGGCAGTACCTCCTGACGTGGCCCCATTTGTGCTTTTCATGATATAACTATGAGCCAGTTTGCTCTCCATTGGTGCCTGAGTCTTTTCTGAGAATCTAGAAAATGAGGTATAAAGATCTGCAAGACTTTTAGAGATCATATTCCAATCTGCCCATTTTATGGGGAACTCAAAGCTCAAAGGGTTAGGAGCTGCTGTGGTTAATCCCAAGCAAGCATCAGTACATTTATTGAATAGATGAGTGAATGAATGACTAGGCTCAAAATAAAATAAAAACTACTTTTGCTTCATCAGAAATGGCTTTGAATTTGGAGCATTTCAACTGAACAGAACATCTTCTGCACTGTTTCCAACTAACAACACTAATAATTCTGAGACATGTTCTTCCTAAAAATTTTCAGAGCTGTGCATTCATAAATTAACTTCTGAGTGTTCAGACAGAATTTGACTACATTTGACTCCTCCTCCTCTATACCCCAAAGGTCTGCCAAATGGGCAGGAATGTAATAGCCTTGAATTCTCTTTTGACCAGGGTGCTGAATGTGTCTTTACTACTCAGCTGTATAGCCTCCGCTGGAAGATAAACTCTGAGCATAAATGAAAGGCATGAACTCCGGACCTCTGATACTTGTCTTCCCAGGCAGCTGCCACAGAGGTGCAAGACCAGCCCTCTCCAGAGAATGTGACCAGGTGGGTGCTGGTCACTTACCCATGTCTGCTCCCTCATAGCCATTCTGCATGATAGTCCTGTCGATGCGGGCAATCAGCCACGTGCCAAGGAGGCAACTGATGAGCAGCCTGGAAAGGCAGGCACCCAGGCCCAGTAGCACGTTGTAGAAGAAAAGGAAGTAGTTGAAGTTGTGGAACGCTTTCCTGCAAACAGAAGCCAGCCCAAGGCATCACCTTTCAGTAGAGCAAGGTGGCTGGGCAGGTGGGCTCTGGAGTCCCCCAGACCCAGGATCAAATCCTACAGGTTCAGGCTCAAAGCTTTGTGACCTCGTGTCTCAAAGGGGAGCTGACTTCCCTCACCTCACAGCACTGGCGTGAGGAATGGCTCAGGTACAGTGTGGGGGCCGCTGAGCACATTGAAGGATGAATGTCAGTGGGGACAGTCATTGTTTCATGTGATCCTTGGGGTTTGAGGCTTCCTGCATGGTAAGAAATTTCACGGGGCTGCAGCTGGGTCATTGATTATGGTAGAGGGTGGGGCTTCCCCACTGTCTGTTGCACCAGGGACTTATTCCCAGCTGCAGCTGTTCCAAAGTCTTCCAAAGGAAATTTCCCAAATGACCACTTGATCATGTGGTTTCCTGTTGTCTCTGGAATAAAGCCCAAACTTTGCATGCTGAGTTTTAGCCCCCTCACTGCCCCCCAGGGGTTTTCTGGTCTTGTCACTTTGTGTCCCCTTCCTGTCACTCACTAAGGCCACTGCATGGCAACCGTTTGTGATTCTCAATCTTCTAACACATCCTGCCCTTTTGTGGCTTCCTGCCTTTGTCCTTGTGGTGTTGGCTGCCAGCCACACCCTCTCCTCTTCTCTGCCTGTAGAAATCCTACCGTTCTGCTGACCTCAGCTCCAGAGACCCATCTGCAGTGGTGTTAACCACCCCTGCCTCTCCTCCTCCAGGTTTCTCTTGTATTCCTTTTGCACTCCCTGGCATCCTCTGTCCTTGTTTATGTGTCTGTTGTCTGTTCCAGTGGACTGAGCTTCTCACAGGCAGATTGTGCTGGGATTATTTCTTTACCCTCATGCCCATGTTGTCCCCCCAATGAATGGATGGCTTTGAATGAATGAATTAGAAAGGATTTCCATGTGCCAAGCACTATTGTTCTAAGTTCATATTTTGACACATTTCATCCTCACAACACCTCTTTGAGGTATGCACAATTATTTGTAAATGGGGAAACTGAGGTTCATAGATGTTGAGTAAGATCCCACATGTCACATGGCTCCTAAGGGGTAGAGCCAGGATCTGGACCCCGCCAGTCCAGCTCCAGAGCCCACCACTAACCCACTGTACCTCACCCTCTCAGAGAATGTGGGGCCCACCCAGGAACCTGGCATGGGGGACAGGGAAGAACCCAGAGATGGCTGAAGCCAAAGGCCTACAATTCTCTCATTCCCTCCTTCACCGTCACCTGTTGTTGAGAGCCAGGGGCTTCTGCTTGTCAGCTGTGCCCAGTTTTGGCTGTAGGAAGAAGCTGGCAGCAATCCACATCTGCAGGATCATGAGACCCACGACGATGGATATGGTGAGGCTGAAACACAAGGTGGGGCCATCCTGAGGCAGCCTTTTCCTTTCTGCTAGATCCTTCTCTGATGCCCAGTGAGAGAGACGAGACAGGTTGACCACCCGGCAGAACAATGATAATGTGAATTCCATGCTTTACGCTTACAAGGCATTCCCATGCTCACTATGCAGAGAAAATCGAGGCTCACAAAGGGGAGGTGACCTTCCCAAGACCACATGGTCAGGTCTTCTAGCTCCAGACCACAGACCATTACTCCAGGATTTCACGGATGTCCCTTTCACCAGGGGTGGCAGCTAGGTGAGCAGTTTAACAGGTTGGGAATTAAAAAATGGAATGGGGTTCTTGGAAGTTCCTGAGAATACCACAAGAGAGTGGACAGGACAGGCTCTGCCTCCAACTCACAGGTGGCAAGTATGGAATCAAGAAGCTCAGAGCAGGGAGGGGCCCCAGAGAGCACTGCATGCTGTGTTGACATCCCCTGAGTGGCAATGAAAGGTAGTGGCTAAAAGGAGGCTTTGGTTTCAGATTGCCCAGCTCCCAATCCTGAGTCCTCCCCCTGCTTGGAGGAAACGCTCAGTCTCTCTGTGCCTCTGTTCCCTGGTCTGCAAAATGGAAGGTAACACAAGCACCAAATTCATAGGCTGTTATGAGAAAAGATGCATACTAAATGCTCAATGAAGCCAACATTCACTTTGTCTTCCAGATGTGTAAGCTGAGAGGCAGAGAAGTGGAGTAATTTACCCCAGGTCACACAGCAGATCCAAAAGCTTTGCCAGGATTTCCTGCCTCCTTCCATCATACTGTCTTGCCTCTCATTTTACCTTCCTAAACCTCAATTTTCCCAGCTGGAAAATGGACGTACATGTATTCCCCCAACACACACACACGGTTGTGATGGTGTTACGGAATGGTGTGAGAGGCAGTCTTTTGTGAATGCTGTTTCCTCTCCCCATAAGTTGCTATGATGGGCCATCTCTGGGTCAGAGCCAAGACCATGGGTCCACATAGCAGCTGGTGGGCACACCAGCTCTCAGAACACGGCAATGACAGGATACCCGCCCAGCACTTACATCCCGATGCCCAGCCCTTGCAGCATCTCCAGGCCCTGGTTGTGAACGATGGGCAGCACCAGGCCGTACATGATTGCCATGCCACATAGGCTCTGCACCACGTGAATAATGAGGTAGCCTAGGAATGAAGGGAGCCGGTGGTAACTCAAGGTCCTTTGTGAGCCACCCCCTATACCCCTCCTTGCAGGCCACCCTCTACCCTTCTCCTGCCAGACACCCTGGCACGCTTGCTTATCTGTTTCTTCTGCCTGGCAAGGCCTCACCTTCCTTCCTGTTCACTTCCTACTCTACCTGCTAGGTGCAGTTCAAGTGTCAACTCCCCTAGAAGGCATCTGAGCCCTGCCCTGGGGCTGGATAGTCATTTTCTCCTCTGGGTCACCACCACCCTTAGCATATGTGCTCCCTGGGTTCAGGACGAGTGGTGAGGAGGACCTTGAGACTATGTTTCTCCTTCTGTCCTGAAGGTCCCTCAAGGGCAGAGGCTAGGGCTGCTTCTGACCACCTCTCTCCTCCCCACTCACGGCCAGGACTCCCTAGGTGATGAAGGCATGTGTGTTGAATTGGATGGGTCACATATCGGCACTTACCCCATAGAACATAGGCTATTTGCCAGCCAGAGTACCTTGCAATGGCCACCTGAGGTTTCAAAGGAAAAAAGAGGTCTCAGAGCAGGAAGAAAACTTCATTACCTCTGCCACATGTGCCCAGCATCCCTTTCTCATTGGAAGTTCACCCACCAACCCAGTGAGGTGGGTGTCACGCTCACCCTCAGGTTTTGGCATACGGCTTAGTCTCAGATCAGAGAGAGACCTTGGCAGACTCACCACGCTCGCTGAGGAGGCCGGGTTATGGAACTTCAAAGGAAGAAAATGTTTATCTCCTGCCCATAGCCTCTTTATGTGCTTTCTGGAAAAGATGTAGGACATTAAGTAGTGCCCATAACTGATGGTTCTTTGTGCATAATTAGAGTCCCATAGATAGCACAGGAAGGCCTACAGGGCTGATAGTAGGCACCCTAGCCTCCCTGTACTGACTGCAGCTCACCGGGTAGCCCCAAGTTGCCTTAAAAGTCTTGATCTTTAGTCTAGATTATATTTTATAAAAATAATGTATATTTATTGAGTCATAATGGTGACTGAATCTGATAGATGAGATTATGTGTGGCTTGTTTCTTTTTTCTTTCTTTCTTTCTTCTCTTCTTCTTCTTCTTCTTTTTTTTTTTTTTTTTGACAGGGTTTCACTCTGTCACCTAGGCTGGAGTACAGTGGCACCATTTTGGCTCACTGCAACCTCTGCCTCCTGGGCTCAAGCAATCCTCCCACCTCAGCCTCCCAAGTAGTTGGGACTATAGGAACATGCCACCATGCCCAGCTAATTTTTTTTATTTTAACTTTTTGTAGACACAGGGTCTCACTATACTGCCCAGGCTGGTCTCAAACTCCTGGACTCAAGCCATCCCCCTGCCTAGGCCTCTCAATGTGGTAGGATTACAGGTGTGAGCCACCGCACCTGGCCTATTTTTCTTTCTATATTTTCTTATTTTTCTATGATGAATATATATTACCTATGTAGTAAGATTTAAAAACAGTTGAAAACATAACCAGGTGTGGTGGCATGTGCCTGTAGTCCCAGCTACTCAGGAGGCTGAGGCAGGAGAATTACTTAAACCTGGGGGGCAGAGGTTGCAGTAAGCCAAGATTGCGTCACTGCACTCCAGCCTGGGCGACAGACCAAGACTCTGTCAAATAAATAAAGTTGAAAACAGAAAACCAATTTCATTGATTGCCTAACCTTATAACAATGTAAAGGAAAATGACAAAGGGGAAACAACCCCCCACAAGTCACAGCTTCATCTTTCAGTGTTCTAGTCCAGTCCTTGGCCCCGTGCATAAAGGTGAGGTTGATAACATTATGTTCATAGTCTACACTCATATTTGTGTCCCGGCTTTTTTACTTCACATTCTATCTCCAGCAGTTTTCAGCCTGTTTTGTACTTTTCATGACCACTAAATTGGAAAGACTTGGAACAAATACAGAATGCAAAATCTCAATAATAATTTTTGTATATATTACATGTTGAAATGATAATATTTGAGATATATTGGGTTAAATAAAACATTATTAAGATGAATGTAACCTGTCTATTTTTACTTTTTAAACAGAGGCTACTAGAACTTTCAAAATTGAACATGTGAATTTCATTTTGTTTCTGTTTGGCAGCATGGAGTTGAGTGTGGTACCACCAATACATACAACACACACAGAGCACACACTCATATTTGCATTGTGCATGGAAAATTTCTGAAAGTGTGCACAGAAAACAGTTAACAGTGGTTAGCTTGGGGCAAACAATTCGGGGTTTGAGTAGGAGGAAGACTTACTTTACACTAAACATTTTTTGTAATTTTTTTAAAGCACCTGTATGTAGGCTGGAATAATAAAAACTAAAATGCTGGCACAATGCTACTGCTCTGCAGTTTGTAGTGTGATTCTCATCCTTGGTGTCCTCTGCCCCATGGTTCAGATAAGGAAGCAGGACAGGGATCATCACTCTTGGGTGACAGGTGGGGGCAGGGGCAGCCTGGACGGGAATGCAGGCCTCCTTTCCCTGTGCCCTCGACTGTACATCCATGTCCCTGCAGCTCCCTTTGCATCATGCTTGTCCCTGGTTGTGCTCAAATGTCTCAGTGAATATCTCCCAGCCACATGCAGACTAATGAGGGAAGGAGCAGACATGCGCCCACATCAGGCAGGGCAGAGGGAATAGCAGTATCCAGACCATCTGTGGGGTCCATTGAGTAGAAAGTAGAGACAGGGAGCAAGGCAGGGCTGGTGGAGAGCTGGGACCCTTCCTGCCAGGAGAGTCTTCTTGTGGGTGTCCTCTGCAAGAGACTCACCCTTTGGGCAGGCAGATGAGGAGGATGTAAAGGCAGGGTGCTCTTCAGAGTTGGAAATTGGCCTGGGCTTCCTGTAAGACTGTGTGTGTGTGTGCGTGCGTGTGTGGTGTGCGTGAGAGAGAGAGAGAGAGAGAGAGAGAGATGACCAGCAGGTACCTAAAACCCAACTGATATCTGCTTGCAAATGCTCACAACATGTTTAAAGCTATTCCCTCTTCCTATACTGCTTTTCTTGAGATTGATGCCCCTTGTCCCCTTGATTCAATATTCATTGATGTTCCCTTGAGCCAGATTCACCTGCTGGGGACCCAGTGTTACTAGCCCTGTAGAGCAAGGCAGGTCTGATACCCAGTAGAGGTGTCTGAGTGTAAAAGAAATAACAAGGTATCTGGGGTCAGAAAGACTTGATCGTCTGCTAATTGCTTGGGCAAGTTATTTAATTTTGTTGATTTCCAGCTTTCTCAACTGTAAAAATAGGGATGAAAGGACTATCCCTCAGAGTTGTTGTGAAATTCAAGTAAAGACTCTAAGCATAATGTTAGCTCAATGTAGAAGTTCAAATCAATAATGCTTTTCTTCTTCCTACCAAAAAATGTGGTTAGCCCTGGATCTTGCATTCACTTCCTAGGCCCACTGAAGGCACTATTGGAGATTCTGAGGAAAGCTTGTCATACATATTTCCGGTGAAAGACACACAAATGACTCTGAGAGTGCTTTTACCTGTAACAGACCAAAATGTGGAACAGATAGCTCACACACGTGAGAGAGGCAGGCAAAATGGTCGCCACCCAGACTCCTGAAATATGAAAAGTGATATGAGAATCCTTGAAAAATAAACATGAAATAAAAATGCAGAATCCTGCACCAGAAAATTCTAAGCAAATCAAGTAGACTTTAACACACTTCTTGTGTAAGTAAACTTTTACTCACTTTCTGTTTTATTTTAGTTGCACACACCCTTAGTATACTTCCTGCATACTCCTCTCATTTTGTACTAGTATTTTCACTCTACAGTGAATAAAGGAAGAGAAGCTGTGGAGTATTTCCCATATATCATACATAGCCTCTGTCCATGAAAAACATATTTGACCTCTAATTGATTGCCACTTTTTTGGGAGGGGTGTTGGTTATACCTCAACCAGGTACAAAGATAGCTGGGATCAAGATGTCTTGGCTATTCACTCACCCACCCTTCAGCAAGTTTTGATATTGACAATCTAATTTGCTTTTAGAGAGACTGTGTAAGTTCATAAAAGAGGGATGTAGAAACAGGGAAGTAGGATGATTTGTTGGTTTAAAAACTTCTGTAGAAGTTGATTATCAATAGGTGCAAAAAAAGTATTTGACAAAATCCAACATCTCTTTACAATTAAAAACATTCAACATCTGGTGTTCTGTTGCACAGTACAGAAACTACAGTTAACAATAATGTGTTATATATTTCAAAATACGTAGAAGACAGGATTTTGAATGTTCTCACCATAAATAAATGATAAATGTTTGAGGGGATGGGTTTACTGATTTAATCATCAGTCAATGTATATAGGTATCTAAACATCACATTGTAGCTAATAAATATGTACAATTTTTATGTGTCAATTAAAAACAAAGCAAAACAAAAAAAACACTACTCAACTTATTAGGAATACAAAATAACTTCCTTAGCCGATAAAGAGCACTGCTAAAAACCCACAGCTAACATCACACTTAGTGGTAAAAGACTGAATGCTTTCCCCCTAACCTCAAGAACAACAACAACAAAAATATCTACTCTCACCAATTCTAGCCAAAATTGTACTAGAGGTTCAAGCCAGTGCAATTAGGCAAGAAAAAGAAAATAAAATGCATCCAGATTGGAAAGGAAAAAATAAAACTCTATTCACAAATGCATGATCTCATATATAGAAAAACTAGGAAATACATAAAAAAAGCATTAGAACTAATAAATGAGTACAGTAAGGTTTACAGGGCACAAGAGAAATACATAAAAGTCAATTGTATTTCTATACACAAGCAACAAACAATCTGAAAATGAAATAAGAAAATGATTGCATTTACAATAGTATCAAAAATAATAAAATAATATTAAATTTAGCAAAAGAATGTACAACTTGTACACTGAAAACCACAAAAGATTTTGAAAAAATTTAAAGAAGACATAAAATACTGGGAAGACTTCCCACATTCACATATAGGATATTCATTGTTAACATAGCAATACTACCCAAATGGATCTATAGATTCAACTCAATCCTTATCATAATTCAAATGCCATCTTAGCATTAATTGACAAGCTAATCCTAATATTCATATAAAATTGAAGGAACCAAGAACAGGCAATAAAATTCTGAAAAAGAAAAAGAAAATTATAGGACTTTCTGTTTCTAATTTCAAACTTACTACAAAGTTATAGTAATGAAGGCACAATGATACTGACATAAGGACAGACAAATAGATCAATGGAATAGAATTGAGAATCCAAAATAAACCCTCATACTTATGGTCAATTTATTATCAACACAGATGACAAGACAATTCAATGGGGCAAAAAATGAGTTTTTTGACAAATGGTGCTGGAACAACTTGATATTCACATGCAAAACAATGAAATCAGACTCTTACCTCACACCATACATAAAAATGAGCTCAAAATGGATCAAAGGCCTACATGTAAGAGCTAAAACTAAAAAAGTCTTAGAAGAAAATATGAGAAAAATCCCCGTGACCTTGGGCTAGGCAATGGTTTCTTAGATATGACACCGAAAGCACAAGTGATATAAGAAAAAACAGATATGTTTGGCTTCATCAAAATTGGAAACATTTGTGTTTCAAAAGATATCATCAAAAAAAGTGAAAAAGTAACCTACAAAATGGGAGAAAACATTTTCAAATCACGTATCTCATAAGGGATTTGTATACAAACTATATAAGCACACTTACAGCTCAATAAATAAACAGACAAATAATCCAATGTTTACATGATCAAAGAATCTGAACAGACATTTCTCAAAAGAACATACACAAATGGGCAGTACATGTAAAAGTACATGTAAAGATACCAGACACTATTAGCCGCTAAAGAAATGAAAATAAAAACAATAGTGAGATTCCACTGCATCTCCACTAGATGGCTATAAACAAAAAGATGGATAATAATAAGTGTTGACAAGGATGTGGAGAAATTGGAATTTCCACAATGCTAGTGAGACTAAACAGCCATGCAGCTACTTTTGAAAACAGTCTAACAGTTCTCCAAAAGGTTAAACATAGAGTTGTCATATGTTTAACAGGCTATTCCACTCCTAGACATATACCCAAAATATGTAAAAAATATATATATAATGCTTGTACATGAATGTTCCTAGCAGTATTATTTGTAATAGCCAAAAAGTTACAGCAACCCAAATTTTTATCAACTGATGAATGCATAAATAAAATGTGGTATATTCATAAAATGGAAGAGTAACTGACAATAAAAAGGAATGAAAAATAATTTAAAAATTTAGACACATGCTATGATATGGATGAACCTTGTAAACACTGTGCTATGTGAAAGAAGCCTGTCACAAAGGGTGATGTATTGTAAATAGGAGGAATAAGTTCAAGAGATCTATTGTACAACATGGTGACTGTAGTTCATAATGATATATTCTACAAAAATGATGAATTAATGTTAAGTATTCCATCACAAAAATGGTAACTATTTGAGTTAATGTATTTGTCAATGAGCTAGATTTAACCATTTCAAAATGATATATACTTCAAAACATTATGTTGTACAGAATAAATACATACAATTTTATGTCAGTTTAAAAAATAAATAAATTTGAAAAAGAGATGACATTATCATATTATTCCATTTCTACGATAGATCTGGAATAGGCAAATCCATAAGGATATAAAATAGATTCGTAGTTGTTTAGGACAGGAAAGGTTAGAGGGAAATGGGTCATGATGCTTTGGGGAGGTGACGAAAAATGTTCTAAATGGTTGCACAATCTTGAGAAAATACTAAAAACCATTGAATGGTACACTTAAGTGGATGAATGTATGGAATGTGGATTATGTCTCCATAAAGGTGTTTCAAGGCCAGGTGCAGTAGCTCACATCTGTAATTCTAGCACTCTGGGAGGCCAAAGTGGGAGGACTGCTGGATTGCAGGAGTTTGAGACCAGCCTGGGCAACATAGCAAGACCCTGTCTCTATAAAAAAAAAATCAGCAAATTAACTGGGTGTGGTGGCATGTGCTTGTGGTCCCAGCCACTTGGCAAGCAGAGTGGGAGGATTGCCCGAGCCTGGGAGGTTGAGGCTGCAGTGAGCCATAATCATGAGTCTAAGCCTGAATGACACAGTGATACCCTCTCTGGGGGAAAAAAAAAAGTTTCTTAAAAAGAAAGAAAATGAAAGCAGATTTCCTTTCCTTTCAAGTTCCAAATGTGTTCTTGTCCTTGTCCCAGGATCACTAGGACTAGGCAATTGCTATATTCCAAATCTTAACCAATCCCAAAACTGCCATAAATCCCACCCCAGAGGATGCAGAGGAAAACGTGTTTGGAGGGGAAGGATGAGACGAGTCTGGCTACAAGAAGGGTGAGTGTAGAGTTGCTCCAGCTAACAGCACGAACACCTTATGCATTTAATTTAATGCCTTTATCTTCCCAGACAAAGGTGAAGTATGGTCAGCTTGAAAGTTTCTCTTGGCAAGTGGGTAGCTATTTTAAAGCTGGAAGAGACCAGGATAAAGAAAAATTTAATGTTTTGATTGTCAAAATGTCTATATGTGTGATAAATACATCAAAACATGAGTGAACATGGTGATATATTCACCATAAAGCACAGAGACCAAGAAAGTGAGGTTTCCTTTAAATTTTTTTCTGAAAACAGAGACGAAAATGTGTATTTCTAAAAGTAAGATTTAGAATGGGTATCACTGAAATTAAAGATTAGAATATACTCTCTCAGTGTTATACTCAGGGAATCATTATGTTGAACATAAATCTCCACTGAAGATGAATAAAATTGTTGAAGGGCAATAGGAAACTATGGTACTGTGGAAGGGGCAGTATCTGTTCAGTGCTCCAGTAAAAGGTAACTTTCCATGACACAAATATGTGATTTCACAGATAAGGAAACTGGGGCCAAGAGAGGGGTCCTGACTTGTCTTATGACACCGAGTGAATGTATCCAGGCATCTTGTCTAGGGTCCTTTCTCATCTAGGAATAATGAACAATTCTCATCCCTCCACAGGCAATAGACATATCACTGGAATATGTCATTTTCAAAGAAAGTTTCCATTTTAAGACAAAATGCCTTTCTTATTGCCTAGGGCAAAGGACCTGAACAGACACTTCTCAAAAGAAGACATACCAATGGCCAACAGGTATATGAAAAAATGTTCATCATCACTAATTATCAGGGAAATACAAATCAAAACCGCGATGAGGTACCATCTTATACTTGTGAGAATGGATACTATCAAAAAGACAAGAGATAAGTGTTGGCAAGGATGTGGAGAAAAAGGAACTCTAGGATACTGTTAGTGTGAATGTAAATTAGTACAACCTTTTGTAAAATAGTATGGAGGTTCCTCAAAAAATTAAAAATACAATTACCATATGATCCATCAATCTCACTACTGGGTATATATCCAAAGGAAATGAAATCAGTATATTGAAGAGATATCTGCACTACCATTTTCATTGCAGCACTATTCACAATAGCCAACAGATGGAATCAACCTAAGTGACCAACAACAGATGAATGAATAGAGAAAATGTATTATACATTATATACAATGGAATACCACTGAGCCTTTAAAAACAAGGAAATCCTGCCATTTGTGACAACATGGATGAACCTGGAAAACATCACATTAAGTGAAATAAGTCAGGCACAGAAAGACAAACACTGCATGATCTCACTTATGTGTGAAATGTAAAAGAGGTGAACTCATGAAAGCAGAGTAGAATGGTGGTTATCAGGGGCAAGCAGGGGTGTGTGTAGAGGGGTGGGACTGGGGAGATGTGGATCAAAGGATACAAAATTTCAGTTAGACGAGATTAAGTTAGAGATCTATTTTTAAAGTGACTTCCAAGTAAAATTTGAAAGATATAAATACACATTTCACAAAGAAAAGTCATTGTTTGGTGTTCTATTTTTTTCCAAATGGAAAATACAGAAACATTTTAGTACTTGCCATTGGCATTGAGACAAAATGGGCAATTTAAGATGAGAAATTTTTCAGGGCATGTTCATTTCAGCTCCAGCTTCATTAAAGAAAGGACTGTGTCTTGACCCCTTTGTCTTTCTAGTCAATCCAGGGAGGTAAATCAGCTCTAACACATTTTTCTCCAAGTGTGGTCATCTCAGCCAGGTATATCAATGCTAGCAGCCACAAATACTACATGTGTCCACCTGCCATCAGTTACAAGCCCCTCGCTCAGTTTCCCACACAGGTGTGAGAACAGGTGGCTTATGGTTTTACCTTTACCTTTGGTGACGCTGATCAGCTCTTTCACCTGCAGGATGACTGGGGTCAGGACCCCTGAATGGTTCGTGAAGGTGATGTAGCTCTCCAGCTTGTTTTCAAACACGTCCAACTCATCTCTCACATACACAAACACGCAGAACTCGATGACAATGAACTGGGGACACAGAGCAAAGGTTTTCAGGTCTCACATGAGTCCAACTCAGCATGGGAATAACATATGGTTTTCCCCTTGGGGTCAAGGCCAGTGTCTTCCAGCCATTCAAAACTCTACTGAAAATGATTCTAGACACTGGCTGTTCTAAGATGAATGGCATTTTGAGTTCTTGGGAGACAGGAATCACTTCATGGTCTGTTCTTTACCCTCCAGCAAACAAGACAAAGGGCCCACAAGGGCTCAAGAAACTCTACAAACATTCATGGAACCAGTGAAAAAAGAATGACTAACTTTGAGTAAGGTGTGATCTGGGGGACAATTGCAGCCCTATCTCACACTGATCCCCTTCACTTATCTTTGCAGGAGCTACACTGGAGAAATGTACAAATGTTTCTTGTACAAATGTCATGGTTGCCCAACATCTTATCATCCTGTTGTCATGCCATTGTTTTTGTAGTTCCTGCTGCCAGTTCACTCCACAAACCCAATCGTGTTTATCTCTGAAAGTTGAGTTCATACACTATCATGTTCATGCAACTGCTCAATCTTGAATGGTTTGCTAAACTTCCAGAGCATTTCACTTTATCCTTTCTCTCTCTTAAGATGGCAGGTCCCTCATACCATGTCTTATCTCCTTCTCATAGACCATGAGCTTCTCCCAGCCCAGGACTGAGCTGAATCAGCTCTCTGTCCTCTTCCAACTCTTAGTCCAGTGCTTGGCATAGAGTAGATATTCCATAAATACTTAAAAAACAATGCAATTCCAAATTTGTTATTCATTGTCACACACAACTGTAGTTGTCCCTTAAAATCCATTCTCCCTTCTTTGGGCACAGAGCTAGACTACATTTCCCAGCCTCCCTTATATTGGGTATGGCTACATGACTAGGTTCTTGCCAATGGAAGAGGAGTGGAAGGAATATATGATACTTCCACACCTAGTCCATTGAAACCCTCCACAAGCACCTCTCCTTGCTTTGCCCCCTTCTGTTGACTATGTGCAGATTGTGATGAGGTCCTCTAGGATGGTGAAGGCACATGATGGAAGAATTCTGGGTTCCTGAATGACCGCACAGAGGACTACAGCTTCCCCTACCTGAACACACAACTCACCACTGTTGTGGAGGTAAAAAATATATACTGTTAAGTCACAGGAATTTAGGAGGTTATCTGGTACTTCAGCATAACCTACCTAATACACTCACCTAAAAACTTAATCACAGGATTTACTTCAATAGGTATTCTCCTACTACATTTAAAATGAACAGGAGACAATTTAGCCTTGCCATTTTTATGCATCCATTTTGACCCTACTTTTGACTTAGCCAGTTTATCTTAGATAACTTTGACCACATAAAATGTTTTGATTCTATGCTTAATAAAACATTGAAGTCAGAATTATGCCAACACTAAAATGTCTTGTTGAGAAAGCAAACTTAAAAAAGAATGCTTAATCTGCTTAAAAATATAGTATAGTAAACCAATTCTAGTTATCTGCTTTTATTTTTTAAATAAAATGAATTCAATTATTAATAAGTTCAATAATTTTAAATTCAATTATTGAAAAAGAATTGAAATTATTTTGATCAGAATCAATTATTTTACATTTAAATGATTTGATTTTTGCTCACAGAAGAATTTATTGATCACAGATTCTACTATTGTTAAGTTTTCTTTAGGGATCACTATTTCTACCAAGTAAACTTTCCTGGCTCAAATTTTGCATATCAAAATATTCTTAAATATCTTCTTCTTCTATCAGGTTTTAGCTGATAATAAATTTCACCATGTGGCATTTTAACCATTATGAGTCTTTTTTTGTGGATTATTTTTACTAGTCATATTCACCATGTGGGTAAAAGTGTCCTTGGAATCAAAATGGTGAGTTTGAAGCACTGTACTTCTTTGATTTACCAAGATTCAATTTTGACCCAGCTCTTTAGGAACATACTGCTTACTTCAAATACTCCATAACCCTAGCCCCAACCCTGCCCCATTTATAAAATATAAAAAGGTTTTCTTAGAGCCCCTTACAAGATACAGGCAGATGAATGCCAACACAATGGTTCCAATCATTCTGCTTGGAAATTGAAAGCAGGGATCCCATTCATATATCCTGGTTTGGAACCAAGACTTTTTTTTCTCTCTGTGGATGAGAAATAAATATCAAGAGATGAGAGGCTGGTAGGAAAACAAATGCCTGATTCATCTGAAAATAACCCCACCTTCTTTTTATCTTAGATTATATTATAGAAAGAGACCACTGTTAGCTTCCATGGTTTTCATTCTCCCCTTATTCTTAAGGACAAAAACTGGATTTTATTTTGGGCAGAAAATCACCAAACTAAAAGGTTAAAGTTCCCAACCTGTCAGCTAAGAGTGACCAGACTAAATCCAGGCCAATGACACGTGACCACAAGTGTGGTGTGGAACTTTGGAGAGGCTGCTCAGATGGAACTAACACAGCTGGGAAAGCTTCTTTGCCTTGCCTTGCCTTGCCTGCTGTCTGAAATGCAGATGTGGTGGCTGGTCCAAGCTGGAGCTCCAGCAGCCACATTGGACCATGAGACAGCATTGAGGATGGAAAGCACATACATGATGCTAGAACAGAAAGACAGGTGATTGGTGAACTGATCCAGGGTCAGGATGGACTGCTCACCTTCAGAGTTATTTTATAAGAGAAAATAATATATCTTTATCTTGGTTGTGCCACTATTATTTTGGGTTTTCTACTACATGTAGCCAAACTGAATTCTAACCAAATTACTAGCTTTGCTACTGTGTGACCATGGACCAGACACGTCCTTTCACTGGGGCATATGCCCACATGCATAGTGAAAGGAGCAGATGTGGTGGTGGCTTATACGATTCTGAGATCTGGTACTTTTGCCTGGCAACATCTATATCCTCGTCTACTGGTAACAGCACCTCAGTTTTGTTTTGTTTGTTTCTTTTGTTTTTGTTTTGATACATGGTTTCACTCTGTTGCCCAAGCTGGAGTGCAGTAGCATGGTCACTGCTTACTGCAGCCTTGACCTCTCAACTCAAGTGATCCTCCCACCTCAGCCTCTCAGGTAGCTAGGACCACAGATGTGTACCACCACACCCGACTAAATTGTTTATTTTTTGTAGAGACGGGGTCTCACCATGTTGCCCAGGCTGGTCTCGAACTCGTGAGCTCAAGTGATTCTCCTGCCTCAGCCTCCCAAAGTACTGGGATTACAGGCATCAGTCGCCATGCCTGGCCTAACACCTCACTTTTAATTTGGGGAGCCACCACTCTCTGACCCTGGGTCTTAGCGGGTAAGTGATGCTGATCCCACTTCCTGGCTCTGGGGGAAGGGGAGGGACATGTGACTCAGGCTTAGCCAATCAGTGTACTCCAATCTCTGCCACAGTAAGTGGTTCTGGAGTGGCATGTGATCCAATTTGATCCAGTGAAACACATTTGTGGGACTTTTGTTTGAATAACTGGAAAGGAGCATTCATCTTTCTTCTGGGCTTAAACCAGGAGGGTATAAATTTAGAGAGTCTGGGCGCCACCATGTGGAGGAATCCCACCTAACTGTGAGGCCCACACATAAAAGTAGAGCTGAGGGGAGATTGAGGGAGAGAGACCTAGTTCTGACGATATCAATTAAGCCTCTGGATCCAGCTTGCCTGAAACTGACTACCTCTAGACATTTTAGTGATGGGAGCCCATTAATTTCCTTTCTTGCTTTAATCCGGTTTGAATTGGGTTTCTGTTTTTAGCAAATGAGAGTCTTGACCACTATAGTGCCTTTCTGGTCATCCCAGGATCTGCTGCATCATCAGGGCTCATCAGAGTGGGTGCAAACTTGCAGGCGAATGAACAGAACTGTGGCTTACTGAGGGCGGGGTGTCCTCAGGAGCTGCTTGACGTGCTCTGCCTGGTGCGTTTCCAGGACAGACTTTTCTTCCTGTAAGACAGCAGACAGGCTTACATTTTGGCTCACAAATTCTTGTTAGGGTTTTGATCTTGTTAAGGGGGGGCAATGGCCACAGAGGGCAGGATTTGGGGTAGGAGTTGCTCTTTTGGATTTAGCCATGCTGTGGTCAAGATAGGTCTTTTCCTCTCCCCTACACCCCACTGTTGAATTTGCCCCGTGTCAAAGAAGCTATGTTTGACAGTGGTTAAGGAAGAGGCTCCACAACTGAACTGTCTAGATTCCACTTCTGGCTCTGCTACAGGTTAGCCATGTGAAAGGAAAATATCTTGGGTCCCCAAAATTACTAAGCTAAAGGGAAAAGTCAAACTGGGAACTGCTTAGGGCAAATCTGCCTTCCACTCTATTCAAAGCCACCCCTCTGCTCACTGAGACAAATGCATATCTGATCAACTCCTTTGGAAAGGCTAATCAAAAACTCAAAAACTCTCATCTTCCTATGACCCGGAAGCCTCTTCCAGTTGTCCCACCTTTCCAGACTGAACCAACGTTCATCTTACATATGTTGATTGATGTCTCATGTCTCCCTAAAATATATAAAACCAAACTGTGCTCTGACCACACTGGGCACATGTTGTCAGGACCTCATGAGGCTCTGTCATGGGCATGTGTCTTCAACTTTGACAAAATAAACTTTCTAAATTAACTTAGACCTGTCTCAGATTTTCAGGGTTCACAGCTGGGTGACCTCAGGCAACTCAACTCACCTGTCTGCATCCAAGTTTCTGAATTCAGAATGTGAGGTGTAGTAACAGTACCTGCCTCTCTGGCTGTTGTAGGGATTAAACACATCAGTACATGCAGTGCTCATACTTAGTACTCACCACCTGGAACTCCCAGCCGAGGTGCACCCTCAGAGCCTTGACAAACATATGCAGGAAGCGGCCCAGCAGGAAGGCGAGGCACAGCAGCGAGGGCCAGTAAAACATGAGAGTCTCATACTTCCCCACAAACTGCAACAGAAGCAGACCACAATGTGGCTCCAGGCAGATGGGGCCAAGCCACCTGCTGAAGCTGCAGGACTCTGCCTGCCCCAGCTTGCTCCAGCAAGGCCCCCTCTCTCAGGCTTGTGAGTCAGTGGCCAATCCCTGACCCCCAAAACCCCCGTTATCAGAATGGGCAGTGAACTTGGAGCACAGCAACCCTGGATTCAAGTCTCGGCACCCCCATTTTATTTTATAAAGCTAGCTTTCCAGTCTGGGTGACAGAGCAAGACCCTGTCTCAAAACAAAACTAGTTTTCAAGGTATATTTTCCTTATTAGGAAGCTATTAATGAGTACTCCTTTTGGAAAATATATGAGTGAGAGAACCAGAGGTGGGTAGGTAGATGGGAGGAAGAGGCGGAGAGGGAGAGGGAGAGGGACTGAGAGGGAGAAGGAGAAACAAAGAGAGGAAGAAATGGAACGATGGAGGTAGAGAAGAAGAAATAACCCATAATTGCCATAAGGCTGAGAGCAACACAAGCTGAGGGAAAGAGTAACAGTTCTCTCAAGATGGTACTTATTGGATTTCTGTGTTTTTAGTTTTATTTTGATGAAAAAGATGGTTTTCCACTGTCTCAAAACAAGTAATGTTGTGACTTATCTCTTACACTTTACTGGTTGGTTTCATGTTTTTTACATTTCCAGAGTCATATTTCCTCCCATGGGAAACTGGGGTTTGACGTTGTGATGTTAAAGTGCAGGATGGAGATATGCTGAGATGCAGGGCTCATGTCTTCCCTTGATCCTCCTCTCCAACTTATGCTTATGGCTAGATATGACTACTGTCAACACTTCTATGTCTTGCATCTATATATCTATATGTACTAAAAATTGAGGTCATACCAAACATAAAGGTCTGCATATATGCACTCCCGGCCCAGGTGGCTTTCTTGGGCTCCCCACAACCTGCCTGGTAGCCTTTCTAGGTGCACTGTGACATCCCTCTTTCAACTCGCTCCTTTTCCGGGGTCCAGGGCTAAGGAGATGAACCAGTTCCCACCAACTCTGAGGACAATGCATGGCAAAGTTGGAAGGGGCTCATCTGGTCCAAGTCTTCCACTTTATAGAAAAAGAGACTGGAGCTGTAGAGAGTGAAAAGAAATGGACTTTGGAGTCAGCCAGACCTGGCCTCAATACCCAATTCCACTGCTTCCTATGAGTGACTTAATGTACTTGAGCCTCACTTAATATACTAGTTCCTCACCTGTGAACTAGGTTTGATGAACTTCCCACCCTTGCAGGGCTGCTGTGAGGAGTAAAGGAGAACACACCTCTCTGTGAATGCACACCTTGATGAACATGGGGTGCTCTACAAATGGAAGCATCATGAACAACAACAACTACCTTTTCATGCAAATGAGGAAGTGGAGCCCCAGAAGTGACAGAGGCTTGTTCAAGATCACACAGCAAGTTGACCATGGTGATAGGACTGAAAACCCCAAAAAAGGCCAACGGAGACTCACCTGCCCGTGGGGACACTGTGAAACTTGAAGAACGGTGACAGCAAACCTGCAGGAACAGAAACAGAGTTGGGGGTCCTGGGGTTCCCTCCCAGCACAGCCCCAGGAGCAGCCCCTATGAAAATGGCTCAGATCCCACCTACCCACACCTACCTGTCCCCCTTGGGAGAGCTAATGCCCAGGCTTCCATGGACATCTCTCCTGGATGAGCCACCCTGCTTGTGCTAAAGTAGGCGCACACTAAATTCATTCATTCACCTGCCCTCATGGAGGACATAGTCTTAGAATCCATGATCACAGAGCAGGAGGCCCTTAGAGAGTTTATCCTCCCTTCCCTCATCATTCAGGTGGGACCTGGAAGTCCAGGGTTGGCAAGGGATTTATCCAAAGTCACACACGGGCATGGGCAGACCCAGGTCTCCTGACTCCATGGCCAAGGCTCTTCCTACCTCTATGTGATCTGTTTGTAGACTGCTCCAAAGTCATAAGCCTTGACGCTTTACCCCACCCCCGCCCCCACATACATTCCTGGTTCTGTTCCAGCTTGGGCCGTACTCCCATGATGCCCAAGCTGCTGAGCGATTCCCACTACCCTGTTCTCTCCTGGGCAAATGTCTGTCAGAGGCTGATGAGATGATATTATGCCACATCTAACCCTGGATACCCTCCATTTAAATATCTATAAGGCAGATCACTTACAAACTTTATGACTGTAGCCACTGGTATGTCAGTTGCTTGTAAGGCCCCTGCCTGTCATCTCTAAGTGGGAGAATCCCAGCCTCATAGAAAAATGCTGGATGGGGGAAAGAGCCCAGCAAAGGAGTTGGGAACAAGGAAATGAGTCTCCACAGCTGGAGAGTAGAATTGTTGGAGGCGTTTTCAGTCAACAACTGTTCTCTGGTGCCAGCTCTGTGCCAAGTCTGGTGCCCGGCACTGAGGGCACAGAGCTCAACATGAAGGTCAAGAAACTTCCATCTGGTGGGAGTGATTGTCCTCGAAGCAGGAGTGTACACTTATCTCTAGACATGACCCACAGAGGGAATGGGGACATACAGACAAAGAGGCCAGAACACCTGGTTCACACAAGTCTGTCTTGTTCTCCAGTGTATTTCCTGGCTCGTAGCAGGGATGTAATGGTTGTTGAATGAATAAGTGGATGGATGAAAGAATGTAGGAGTCTTGTATGGCTGGAGGTGTGTGCTAGACACTGTTGGGGGATGGAGGGAAAAGGAGAGGCCAGACTGTGATGGCCCTGAATGCCCAGCTAAGGCACGGGAACTTCCTCCAAGGCTCCCGAGAGAAGCCATGGCAGCATTGATGAGAAGCCTTGAAAAGGGCTCCTGAGTCTTCCAGTGGGGCCCCCAGCAGCTAACAGAAATGAGTTTTCCTCAGGAATGGAAAACCAAATACCATCGTCTTACTTCTAAGTAGGAGCTAAGCTGTGGGTGCGCAAAGGCATACAGAGTGGTATCATGGACTCTGGAGACTCAGAAGCGGGAAGAGTGGGAGCAGGGAGAAGGATAAAAAGCCACAGATCAGGTATAGTGTCCTCTACTAGGCTGACGGGTGCACTAAAATCTCAGACTTCACCATGATACAATTCATCCTTGTAATCAAAAACCACTTGTACCCCAAAAGCTATTGAAATAGAAATAAATAAAATAAAATTATAATTTATTTGGAAAAAAAAAAGAAATGAGTTTTCCTAAATCCCTGACTTCTAGAAACATTCTAATCACAAGTAGCCTTGTGTGAAGCAGATAGAATGCCAGCCTGGCCTTCTGAAGCCTCCAATGCAGTCCCCACAATGGGAACTTGGACAAGTCACTCCTGCCCTCCCTGGGCCTCAGTTCTGGGCAAAGGTGTCCCCCAAGAGGAGCTCTCAGATTACCTCCAGCCCTGTGCCCAGAGTTCAGTCACACACAAGAAGTCGGGGGAGTGGGGGCAGGCAGAGACCATCTTACCAGATCAGAGAGTAGCAGAAGCCCAGGATGGAGCTGACCAGCTGGAACTCCGACGAGAGGCAGGCAAAGAAGGGGAAGTGGGACAGGCCGACTTCAATGCCTCCAATCAGAAGCTCAAAGGCTGGGAAGACAGGGCCAGAGATGCTGTGAGCTTCTCTTACCACTGGGTTCAGGGGAGTCCCAGGGAAGCTGTGGTACCTCAAGCTGACCCCCAGTCAGGAACGGCCCCAGCTTAGGGCCAACAGGAATGACTTTCATTCGTTCATACAACAGGCCCTTCCTGGTCCCTATTTGGAGCCAGGCACTGGGCTTACTATTGACATGAAGGAAAATTGGTCCCTGTACTTGGTAAGCTCACAGTGTGATAGATGCAGACAGACTACATAAACAAACAGACAAATGAACAATCAAAAATAGTGACTGCAAGTGCACCAGACTCAGAGAGAGGGGCTATGGTATGTGCAAAGCTGCTTGTTAACTACAGCACACTTTACATATAAGGGAACAGTCACGTTAATCCTGCCACTAACTAGCTCTGAGATGGACTAACAGCATCCAGTATAATCTAATCATGCATGATGATTAGATACTTTCAAAGTGTCTACTCTGAGCTGACTCCTGGGCCAGGAACTCGGGACAGGAGGAATGGACAAGGTTCTTGCTTTGAGATGCTGACAGTCCAACAGGGGAGACAGGTGGGAAAGTCAGTGGCATGAAATGACCTCTAAGGTAGGGACATTCAGCCTACTGCGAGGACACAAAAGATGAAGCCACTGACCTCACTTGGGGTATCAGGGAAGGCTTCCTGGAGGCAATGCAACATAAGCAGGAGACTGTACAATGGAGAGAAGTAGGGAAGGAAGGACATCAAAGGATGGGAGATAATTGGCTGGTCGGTACATACGTGAATGTGAGTGCTGGAGGGCTGGCGGGAAAGATCAATACAAAAACAATAATTGCGGTGAGGATAGCAGTTGCAGCAGCAAAACATTCTAATCTCCCTGAATTCTCCCCATAGAATCAGAGCAGCTAGAAAGACAAAACTAAAGACTCACAGACAACATCTGCAACAAATCTAGGCGACAAGACCCATTTGATGTCAATGTCTGAGTAAGAGGAAGTAGAAGAAAGGCAACAGGGGTTCTGAAGGCCCAAGAGCTGAAGAACTCAAAATTTGCAGCAGATACTAACGAGAAAATGCAGCTGAAGGCCACGATTCATAGGTGAGTGTAAGTAGACCTTAGTAGGATCTGAAGATGCTGGAGTTGTCTGAACCCCAGGAAATTCCTATACTAATAACCTAAGGCCCCTCCCAGGACAAAGCCCTTTACTGAGCATAAATTGATGGCAGTGGAATCCAAAATGAGGAGTAGCTGGGAAATAAGGTGTGTGGACAAGGGTGGAAAAGACAGGCAGACTCAGAAAGTATGAGGAGATGGATGGATAGATAGATAGATAGGTATGTAGTAGATAGATGATAGTAGATGGATGGATGATAGATATTAGGTAGATGATAGATAACTAATAATGATAATGAGATAGATAGATACATAGATAGATAGATAAAGACAGAGATATAGTCACATTGTGAAAACAAAAAAGGAAACTCTAAAGCCATAAAACAAGAAATAATGTCTGACCCAGCCTTCCTTTTTGAATTTATAAGAAAACTTATTTCACTTAAAAATGAGGCACAGATGGGTACCTGTAGTCCCAGTTATCGGGGGACTGAGGCAGGAAAATCGCTTGAACCTGGGAGGCAGAGGTTGCAGTGAGCTGAGATCATGCCACTGCGCTCCAGCCTGGGCAACAGAGTAACATTCCATTTAAAAAAAAAAAAAATTCAAAGTTATTATTTAAAAAAAGGATAAGGAGCAGAAAAATATCACCAGAGATCACAAAACCACTCCAGAAAGAGGCCTGTAAGACAGATGGAAACTGTAATCTAATATTTCAATATAAGCTAAAAAAATTAAGAAAATGATAGCATCTATGAACAAATAATCTATAAATCAGAATTTGAAAAACTAAAAAAGGAAGTGATTAAAGAAAAGAAAGATTTGATGACAGGTTAGATAACTCAGGAAAAAAATTAGAAATACAAGAAAAAAATCATTTTAGAAATGAAGACCAAAGTAAAACAAACAGAAAATTGGTATCCTGAATATATGAAGACCACATGAAAATAAAACACACACTATATTTACACTTCCCCCTGAAACAAAAACCAGACAAAATATATAAAACAACTGCTTTCAAGACACTGGACTTCAGGCAGCAGAGGACAACGATCACTGAAGGACAGGAAACAAACAAGGTGAGCCCCACAGTTTCCCTACCTTAATGCAGAATGCAGTACAGGCAGGGGAAACCCAGGCAGAGCCCTGCAGTTTGCCTGAGTCTCAGAACTGAGACTCTGGGAAGACAAAGACAGCTAGAATTCGCAGGAGATAGTACTGGAGAGGAGGGAGCTGCACAAAGAGAGAGTTCTGGGAGACAGATATCTGTAGATGGTTCCCCTGAGTCTTCAGCTGAGTGCTGACCAGCAGGGTTGTGTAGGAAAGAACCACTTGAAAAGATTAGAGGTAAACATGTCTGCAAGTCACACAGCGCCAGGATAGTGCCTGTTCTCACCAGCCAGACTGAAAAACTTCATGACATCAAAAGCACAAGCAAAATTTGGACTTCCTCAAAATTTAAAACTTTTATGTATTAAAGGACATTATCAAGAAAGTGAAAAGAAAACCTACAGAATAAGAAAGCATTTGCAAATCATATATCAGATAAGGATTTGATATATAGAATATATAAAGAACTACAATTCAACATCAAAAAGATAAACAACTCAGTAAAAAGATGGCCAGGACTTGAATAGACAAGTCCCCAGACAAGATATACAAATGACCAATAAGCACATAAAAAGATGCTCAGCATCACTAGTCATTAGGAAAATGAATCAAGACAATAATGAGATGCTATGCACACCTATTAGGATGGTTATAATCAACACACACACACACACACACACAGAGAGAGAGAGAGAAATAAAACAGTAAGTGTTGGCTAGGATGTGGTGAAATTGGAACACTTGCACATTGCTAGCAAAAATATAAAATGGTGCAGCCATGGTGAAAAGCAGTGTGCCAATTCCTCAAAAAGGTAAGCACAGATTTGAATTAGCAAGTGACCCAGCAATTCCATTCTCAGGTATATAACCAAAAGAATTTAAAATGGGGACACAGATACCTGTGTATCAATGTTCACTACAACATTATTAACAATAGCCAAAAGATGAAAACAACCCAAATGCTCATCAACAGATAAATGGATTATTAGCCATAGTATAATGCAGTATATCAGCCGTAAAAAGGAATGAGGTTCTGATCCATGCTACAACATGAATGATTCTTGAAAATATTATGCTAAGTGAAAGAAAGCCAGGCACAAAGTACGAACATTAAAAGAAATGTCTCAAAGAGGCAAATTCACAGAGATAGAAAGTATATTAGAGCTTATCAGGGTGATATGGTTTGGCTATGTCCCCACCCAAATCTCATCTTGAATTGTAGTTCCCATAGTTCCCATGTGTGGTGGAGGAATCCAGTGGAAGGTAACTGAATCATGGGAGGGCGATTTTCCCCCATACTATTCTCACTACAGTGAGTAAGTTCTCACGAGATCTGACAGTTTTATAAAGGGCCTCCCCCTTTGCTTGGCTCTCATTCTCTCTCCTGCCACCATGTGAAGAAGGACATGTTTGCGGTTTGCTTCGCCTTCTGCCATGATTGTAAGTGTCCTGAGGCTTCCCCAGCCCTGCAGAACTGTGAGTCAATTAAACCTCTTTCCTTTACAAATTACCCAGTCTCAGGTATTTCTTTATAGCAGCATGAGAATGTACTACTACACCAGGGTCTGAGGAGAAGAGGAAAGAGGAGTTATTGCTTAATAATGTTTGGAGTGAGGAAAGGTTTTGAAAATAGATATTTGGAATGGTTGCACAAAATTGTGATTGTAATTAATGCCACTGGGTTGTATACTTAAAAATGATTGAAATGAAAAATTTATGTTATATATATTTTACTACAATTTTTTTAAAGGAACAGAGCATCAATTATGCAACAACTCCAATGCCCTAAAATTGTAGTCCTCAGGAGGGAAAAAGAGAGAAAAAATATTTAAAGAAGGCCGGGCGTGGTGGCTCAAGCCTGTAATCCCAGCACTTTGGGAGGCCGAGACAGGTGGATCACGAGGTCAGGAGATCGAGACCATCCTGGCTAACACAGTGAAACCCCGTCTCTACTAAAAAATACAAAAAACTAGCCGGGCGTGGTGGCGGGCGCCTGTAGTCCCAGCTACTCGGAGGCTGAGGCAGGAGAATGGCGTGAACCTGGGAGGCGGAGCTTGCAGTGAGCTGAGATCCGGCCACTGCACTCCAGCCTGGGCGACAGAGCGAGACTCCGTCTCAAAAAAAAAAAAAAAAAAAAAAAAGAAATAATGGCCAAAATTTCTCCTCCCTTCCTTTCTTTTCTTTTCTTTCTCTGTCTCTCTTTTTCTTTCTACTTCCTTCCCTCCTTTCTTCCTTCCTTCCCTCCCTCCCTCCCTCCCTCCCTCCTTCCTTCCTTCCTTCCTTCCTTCCTTTCCTCCTTCCTTTTTTTTTTTTTTTTTAGACACAGACTTGCTCTGTCACCCAGGCTGGAGGGCAGTGGTGCACTCTGGGCTCACTGCAACCTCTGCCTCCTGGGTTCAAGTGATTCTCCTGCCTCAGCCTCCCAAGAAGCTGGAACTACAGGTGCATGCCACCACAGCTGGCTAATTTTTTTGTATTTTTAGTAGAGACGGCATTTCACCATGTTGGCCACGCTGGTCTTGAACTCCTAACCTCAAGTGATCCACCCACCTCAGCCTCCCAAAGTGCTGGGATTACAGAAGGAAGGTCACTCAGACTGGCCTTCCTTCCTTCCTACAGGGTCTTGCTCTGTAGCCCAGGCTGGAATGCAGTGGCACAATCATGGCTCACTGCAGCTTTGACAATCCAGGCTCAGGTGCTCCTCCTGCCTCAGCTTTCCAAGTAGCGGGGAATACAGGCATGTGCCACCATACCCAGCTAATTTTATTTTTATTATTCTAGAGATGAGATCTCACTATGTTGCCCAGGCTGGTCCCAAAACTCTGGGCTCAAGAATCCTCCTGCCTCAGCCTCCCAAAGTGCTGGGATTATAGCCAGGAGCCGCCTCACCATGCCCAAAATTTTTCTAAATTTGAGGAAAATCAAAATGCATAGATCAACAAACCCCAATCATGAGAAACATCAAGAAAATTAGACACATAGTAATATAATTGTTCAAAATCGGTGTTTTTTAGAAAACAAGCTTTCTCACTAATATGAGGAACAAGAGAAGGATGCTTGGTCGGATCACTTGTACTGAGCATTGTATTGGAAATTTCACCCTCTGCAATTAAGAAAAACAATAACAATAAAATAAAAGACCTCTATATTGGAAAAGAATGAATAAAACTACTGCTTTTACTCACAGATAATATGATGTAGTATGTACAAAATACTATACAATCTACAGAAAAAAAGCTACTGGAACTACTAAGTAGGTTTAGCAAGGTTGTAGAATATAAGATCAACATACAAAAATCAATTTCTATATATTAGCAATGAACAATAAAAAATATAAAACAGATATAAATCTGACAGAAGATGTGAAAGATCTATTCACTGAAAACTACAAAACATTGCTGAGAGAAAGTAATGAACTCTAAATAAAAGGCGATATATATTGTGTTTATGGGTCAGAAGACTCATGATTGTTAAAATAAGTTTTCCCAAAATGGATCTAAAGATGTGCAAATGATGTAATCCCAATTTCAGCATTATTTGTATAAATTGACAAATTTATTCTAAAATTCATGTAGAAATGCAAAGAATCTAGAATAGCAAAAACAACTTTGAAATAAAAATGTATCTGAAGAACTAATACCACCTGATTTCAAGACTTATTATAAATCTATAATAATGAAGACAGTATGGTATTGGTGCAAAGATAGACAAATAGATCAATAGGAGAAAATAGAGAGTCTGAGAATAGACCCATACATATGTGACCAATTGCTTTTCAACAAAGGTGCAAAGGCATATCAGTGGACCAAGGACAGACTTTTGTAGCAAATAGTGCTAGAATACTTTTTATTTGGCAATCCAAATGCAAAAAATAAAAACTTCAATCCACACCTCCTCTTATACACTATATGCAAAAAAAAAAAAAAAAAAAAAAAAAAAAAAATTAGCTCAAAATGTATTACAGACCTCAAAGCAAAATTTGAGGCTATAAAACTCTGGAAAAAATATGGGAGAATATCTACATGATCTTATGTTAGGAAAAATATTTCTTATATGACACCATAAGCATGAGCCACAAAAGAAAAAAAAAATGAGTCAATTGGATTTCATCAAAAGTAATGTCAGCTCCTCAAAGGAGTTTGTTAGGAGGAAGAAAATTCGAGCCACAGATTGGGAGAAAATATTTGCAATTCATATATGTGTATGATAATGGTCTCATACCCAAAATATATTTTTAAAACTCTCAAAACTCACTAAAAAGAAAGCAAAAAACCCAATTTTTGAAAATAGGCAAATGATTTGAATAGAAGCTTCATCAAAGGAGGTATAGAAATAGCAAACAAGCACATAAAAATATGCTCAACAGCATTAGTTGCTATAAAAATGCAAATTAAAACCACAATAAGAAACCACTATACACTCCTTAGAAAATTTAAAATTTAAAAAATTAAATTTTTTTAATTTAGAAACTAAAATTTAATTTAGACTGTACCAGTGTTGGAGAAACTGGAACTCTCATACTGATGGGGATAATCTAAAGTGGTACAATCACTTTGGAAAGCAGTTTGACAGTTTCTTTAAAAGTATGATCTACTATATGATCTACGTAATTCAGCCTTTAAAAGTATGATCTACTATATGGCCTGTGTAATCCAAACATTCTACTCATAGATATTTACTCAAGGAAAATTGAAGCATGGGTGCATGAAAAGACTTGTACACAAACGTTCACAGCAGTTTTATTTGCAATGGCCAAAAGTGGAAATAAATCAGATATTACTCAAGAAGTGAATGGATAAACAAACTGTAGTCAATTTATACAGTGGAATACTACTCAGCAAGAAAAAAGGATAAACTACTAACACATGTTACATGTGTATGAATCTCAAAATAGCTATGCTGACTGAAAGAAGCCAGACCAAAGAAAAGTACATTCTGTATGATTCCATTTATACAAAATTCTGGAAAATGCAAACTAAGTAGATTAGTGGTTGCTTGTAAATGAGGGCAGTGACATAAGAGGGGACGAAAGGGGAGATTACAAAGGGGAACGAGAAAATCTCTGGGATTCCTTATCCTGATTGTGGTGATGGTTTCATTGATGTAAACATTTGCCAAAACTTCTCAAACTGTGTACTTCTAAGAGGTGTGTAATGACATATTATTTTGGTTTTCATTTGCATTTTCTTAAAGACTAATGACCTGTTAGTAGGCATTTGATCATATAGGCTTGGAGCCCATGAGAGAAAACTGTACTGGACAGAGAGGTTTGAGAATGATTGTATAAAGGAAAAGTGAACTTGTAGCTTAGAGTTACACTCTTTCAGAGGGAGCATGAGGCATGGGGAAAGATGACACCTCAGACTAATGGCCAAAAACATAAGCATTGTTATTTGAGGAGGAATAGGGCTCATCAATATCAAGAAGGCAGCCATGGTTATGACACAGGAGAGCTTTTGGCAGGTAGGTGAGGAAGAACATACTTCCTAAGACTTGATACATCATATCTAAAGGACCTCTGAATGTAACTGGGGGAAAGCCCCACAAAGAAGCTTCGAAGATTTGTGGGCTAGGTGTTGACCTTGGGCAAGTAACAGGCTGGCAAGAACATGACCATTCACAGAGTTTATCCCCTAATCCCAGAGAGCGTGGGCCATGTGGTCTCTGAGAGCAAGAATTTCCATGATGTAGTTTCCAGCAGGTGTGAGGCAGCCCTAGTACCTCGGGCCCACTGCGGGATCTGCAGGGGCTGGTAGCCTTCTGAGAACAAAAACATGACCTTATTAGCTGTGGCCCCAAAGGCGATTCCATAGGACCATCGGTTACTGAAAGTGCCCACGAAGTCCAGAGGCCTGCAAACAATAGAAACAGTTTGTGAGGTCAGAAGGTGGCTCTGAGACATTCCCACAGATCATTGCCAAAGTAGTGATCCCACCCTGAGGAGGGATTATTGAATAGTCAGCTGCTCAATGCAACTGACATTTCATGGGGCCCACTGTGCCAGGCCTAGGGGTAAGCATGAGTTCAGGGTACTGAAGTAAGGAGGACAAAACTCTTCCTCTGGAGGAGCTCCAAGACAAGCAGGAGATACAAGCAAGGACACCAGAAGCCTTGAAAGCAAAATGGGATGAGTTTCATCTATAAGAGACACAGACAGAATGACTCAAGGACCAAAACAAGATGTATGTCTGAGAGATTTGGGGAAGCCTGCCCTCATACAGCCACATTCTATGAGAATTCTTCCTTCTAATATCCCCGATGAGGGTATAGGTATTGTTTGCTATGTCTGTGCTTGAAGAAGTAAATAATAGGCACCCTAAAATATGTCACTCTGGCATATCAGCTATTTTGAGTTAAAGACGTTTAAAAAACAGCAGGTACAAGAAGATCACTTTGACCCTCATGCTATTTCTTAAGAACAGGAGATGAAATTTCTATGCAAAAAATGCTCTCCCTATACAGAAAGAAAATAACATTCTTATCATCAGGGACAGGAAGTTGAGGCCAAGAGAATTTGGTACAGACTTTATTTAAATAACTCTTGTCTTCTAGTCTCCCCGCACAACTTAGTTACTTTTTCACAACTTAACTATCCTTTGTCTAATTCCATGTGTACGTATTCAACTCTAACTGTATGTTTGGGTCTTCACTTCACCATAAGTGCTCCTGTGTCACATAAAACTTACATTAAATAAATGTGTATACTTTTCTCCTATTGTCTTATGTCAATTTAATTATCAGGCCCAGCTGAAAATATTAAGAGAGATAATTTTGCCTCCCCTACATAATCATGCCTTCCTAGCCACAGTTGACTAGACTGTGGGCCTGTCTTTGGATGGACTGATCAGATGTCTGATCTTATATTTTGAATCTGTGACCCTAAGGACATGAACAAGTTAGCTGTTAAAGTACTTGTCTGGAAAGTCATAAAAAGCTGGGATCACAGCCAATGCCAGGGAATAGCCAAGGTTACAGGGAAGCAGAGATTCTAAGTCAGAGGGGAAAATGGCAGAATGATGCTGAGGAGGCACCAGTGACACAGAGGGGCAGAAAGAGAGAGAGAAAAATCAGTCTCCCACAGATTCCCATCTCAAGAGATCCAGTTCCCATGAGGCCTGTTCTATTGGTTTATGTGAGACCTCTAACTTTGTAAAAAAAAAAAAAAAAAGAAAAGAAAAAGAAAAAAAGAAATCCTTTGTCACCAGGTACAGTGGCTCACATCTGCAATCCCAGCACTTTGGGAGGCCAAGATAGGCGAATTGCTTGAACCCAGAAGCTTGAGACCAGACTGGGCAACATGAAACAACAAGAAATCCTGTTTCTACAAAACACAAAAATTAGCCGGGTGTTGTGGTGCCCACCTGTAGTCCCAGGTACTCGGGAGGCTAAGCTGGGAGGATGGCCTGGGCCCAAGAGGTTGAGGCTGCAGTGAGCCAAAATTATGTCATTATACTCCAAGCTGGCTGACAGAGCCAGACCCCGTCTCAAAAAAAAAACAAATAAATAAATAAAAAATAAAAAACTCCTTTCTCTTCCTTTAATGTAAACAAGCTTGAGTGAATATCTGTTTCTTCTAACCAAGACAGCTTTGTAAAGGTCAGAGGAAACAGTTGCATTTGGGGGAAGAAAAAGGTCTCTTTGAATGAAAAGGGCCATTTAAATGGGCCTTAATGAAAACTCAGGAGGGAAGGGAGAGCCAGGCACTGCAGGCAGGGAGTCCCATTGGCTCACTCACTCACCCTCACCTTTAAGGCTCAGCAGAAGGAGCACACCTTCCAGGAAACCTCCCTGTTCACCCACCGCCAGTGAGGCTACCCCATCTGTGTCCCCTCAGCATTAAGTTCATGTCCCTGTTCAGCATACCTCTGTTACCCAGGCTGGAGTATAATGGTGTAATTTTGGCTCACTGCAGCCTCAACCTCCTGAGCTCAAGCGATCCTCCCACCTTAGCCTCCCAAGTACCTGGGACTACAGGTAGGCGCCACCACACCAGACCCTTTTGAGACAGGGTCTATGTCTGTCATATTATTTCCTCTCTGACTTAGAATTTCTGCTTCCCTGTAACTGTGGCTCTCCACTTGTTTAGTAAACTATAAACCCCTTTGGGGTGGGGACCTAGCACTGGACCTTGGAAAGAGTAGGCGCTTAGTGCAGGTTTGTGGATGTGCATTTTGTTTAATTGAATCAAATTGTAATCAAGATCCCAGCTATCGTACTTAAGAGCTATGTGAGACTCAGTTTCCTCATCTTTAAAACCGAGATAGAATACCCTACTCTGCCCCTATCACAGTCATTGTGGACAGCAAATGACGAACTGCTTTATCATCTGCAGAGTGTCACACACATGTGAGGGGTTATTGCTCAGAGAAGATAGTGGGCCAAAATTATCAGACAAGCAGGGGTTTAGATGGGAAAGCAGCCAGGGAGCAAGTCAATTGTGTCATTATCAATGTAATTCAAAGCAGTTGAATGTAACTGCTATGGACCTCCTACTTTTTATAAAGTCCTGTGCCAGGCCCTACATGTTAAATGCCTAGGGCAGAACTGAAGGTCTTTATCCACCAATTCAGTCTCTTTCTATGCCTCAACCCATGGGTCTCAGACCTGGCAGCTTGGAAAGTGTGGACTGCCCCAATGGGTGGTATCCAGAATGAATCTTTCACCTGCAGCTCAGGTCACCCCTTGCCTCAGTTCTGACATCTGTGCTTTCTCGCTCTTCTCCAGAGCCCTTGGCTGAGACCTCAGCATGTCCACAGCTTGAGCCTACTCAAGTTATAACACTGGAGGGATTCAAAAGAATATAAGGCTGATCTGGGCTAAAGCTCTTGTCACTTGTTAGCTGCGTGGCCGTGGGTAGGTCACTTAACCTCTCTGAGCTTGAGTTTTCTCATTCCTTGCATGAGGATAACAACTTCTACCATGCTAGATTGGCAAGAAGATTTGTTAGAATAATGTAGGCAAAGCAAATGGTTCAGTGCTTGGGTCACAGATGGTGTGCAATAAATGTTAACTGCATGATGATGAAGATGATGACAAGAAGTGATGAAACAGAGACACGAACAATCAGAACTCAAGGAAGAATGTGATATGAGCTGCAGAGACTCAAAATGGCAGAGCTAGAAAAGCTCTGAAAGCTCTCCTGGTGCATGACCCATGGTGCCATCCTAACAAGAAGCTTTGCTGTCTCCAGTCACAGGGAGCTCTCTCCCTCCTGCCTCCTGAGGTAGCCATAGTCTCAAGTGTGGGAAGGTCTTTTCCATAGTAGGCTGAGTCTCTGTGAGATGATTTAAGCATCTTTGAGCAGCCCTGGGTGCTGATAGCTGCAACGGCTTGGAAACTAATTCTGAACTCCGAGAGCTTTGGTTGGGTTGGGGCATGGAGAGGCAGGGCTGTGCACAGTGGGATAGAGGTGGAGGAGAGGTCCTGGTAGCTATCTGACTTCATAATTGGCATTGGCTCCAACCACAGGGTACCCTAAGCTGTAGGGGTTGACTGAACTCACATGATAATGCCAAAGCGGTTCCCCAGCAGGTAAGAGGTATCATCTCTCTGTCTACGATGCTCTCGTCTTTGGAGGAAGGACAAGATCAAAATGATGAAGAGCTGTAAGAAGAGAAGATGAGAGTTAGTGGGCATGTTCATCCTCAGCATGGCCTCTGAGCCCTCCCTGAAAACAAATGTGTGGGTTAGCAGAGTGCATAGAACATTAGTGACACCTCAAACTCCAGAGCCAGTGGGCTGACTGCATGTATCCTTGAGCTACCAGAATGTTCTGTACTGAGTTTTCCTTTTTGTTGCCCTGAACAGATGTAGGTTCAAATATGGTCTCTCTCACATCCTAGTTGAGAGGGAGATTTAACTCTCCTGTACCTCAGTTTCCTCATCTGTCAAAAGGCAGTAATAACTACCAGGTTGCAAAGCCTTCTTTGCTCCTTTTCTGTGGATTCAGTCATGTTCTCACAAACGTGATGCTCTTTCTCTCTCCTGCCTTTATCAGAAACTTCTTGAGAATTGTCTACACTTGTGTCTCCATTCCCTTACCTCTCACTGGCTCCTCAACCCCGAACCTGGCTTCCACCCTCATCACTCTGCTGAAACAGCTATGGCCAAAGTCATTGATGATCATTTTGTGGCTTGGTCCCATGTATACTTGAAGTCCAAATCTAGCTTGAACTCTCAGCAGCATTCTACAGTGTTGATCATTCCCTCCTCTTTGAGTACTCTTTTCCCTAGGCCTTCACCAGCCATGCTTTCTTGATTTTTCCCCACTATTTCTCAGCATCCTCTGCTGGATCACTCTTTACCCCAGCCCTCGCTCCAGAGTTCCTTATAGCTCAGTCCAAGGGCTACTCATCTTACCTGATCTTCTCTGGTGATCTCATTTATGTCGCCCAGGCCGGTCTCAAAGTCCTGACCTCAAGTGATCCTCCCACCGTGGCCTCCCAAAGCACTGGGATTACAGGGTGAGCCATTGTGCCTAGCCTCATGTCCTTGTTTTAATGACAATAAATACCCAGAAGACTTAAATTTGAATCTCCAGCACTGACTTTGTCCATGAGCTCCAAAACTATTTAACCAACTACACAGTTGATATTTCTTTTTAATGTATTGAAAGCTTCTCAAAGCTTTTATCAAGAGCTTCAGTATGCGTCTTTTTTTTTGAGACAGGGTCTCACTTTGTCACCCAGGCTGGAGTGCAGTAGCACAATCACGGCTGACTGCAGCCTCAAACTCCCAGGCTCAGCTGATCCTCCCACCTCAGCCTCCTAAGCAGCTGGGACCACAGGCACGTGCCATCACCCACAGCTAATTTTTGTAGAGATGAGGTTTTGCCATGTTGCCCATCCTGTTCTCAAACTCCTAGACACAAGTGATCTGCCTGCCTCGGCCTCCCAAAGTGCTGGGATTACAGGCATGAGCCGCTGTGCCTGACCAAGTATGTCTTATATCTGCCTCAAACCTGGATCTCTTCTAATGTTCCTTAATGAGTAAATGGCAGCTAACATCATCCTTTCAGCTGCGCAAGTTAGAAACCTAAGTCATCCTCAACCTCCCCCTCTCCCTAACCTTCCTATCAAGCCCATTACAATTCCTATTGTTTTCACCTCCTGAACTTCTGGAGTTGACATCATCATCTAGGATGTGATAAAATCACATCTCACCTGGATCCCCGCAAGTCTCCCAATTGGTCTTCCTGCCTCATCTCTTCCCCACCTCCAACTCGATCTCCACATTGCAACCAGAGAGATCATTTAAAAACATAAATCTGATCACGCCACCTTCATGCTGGAAACACTTCCATTATTTCCTACTGTACTTAGAATGAAGGCAAAACTTAACACAGAGCCCCATAGTGCTCTGCCTGGCCTGCCCCACCCACCTCCCCAGACCTCTCTGCCTCAATTCTTCACCCCAGCCATGGCTGAACTTCTCAGCTCTTCCCACTCTGCCTTCTCCCTCCATCCCCAGAGCCTCTACATGTGCTCTCCCCTTCTGTCTGCGATATCCTTAACTGTATCTTCCAACTGACCTCAGAGCCATCATTACTTCATTGGAAAAGCCTGTTTGACTCTCCTAAAAGTCCAGAGGCCTGATCCTTGGGCCCGCAAAGCCTTCTTCTGCCATATTTTTGGTACACAGTATAAGAAATTTTAGAAGGAAACTCAGCTGATCTCTCTCCTCTGACCTATTCAGGTCTCTTTGGGAGTCTGTGTTTGGCAGCAGCCTAGCTGCCCTTTCCTGTCCTCCTCATTCTTCCCCTGCCTTTACTTACTGATGGGATGAGGGAGTAATGAAGGAAGAGCTCCATGTCCACCGAGCTGGTACAGGTGCCATTTAACTGCCTGGTCCTGCAAAATGGCCAAAAACATCACATACATATCATCAGTCATTGCTGTTGTCATTCATCCTTTAGCCTTGAACATCACTGTCAAGAAGTTTGGCCTAAGACCATCCGCTAAGACCATCTGATCTTTTTAAACTTCACTTTCTCAGAGCCAAGGCTGCTCACCTGTAGTGTGTCTTCCCTAAGTGGAATAATCTTTCGTATTTTTTTCTCCAGCTTGATTATTAACCAACTTCTCTGCTAACTGGAACTAAGTCCTTCATTTAGGGGCAGAATTCAGTTCTGTGGGGCTCAAAGCTTATAAAACTTTGGCATGCTTTTAAAGTAATACTATAAAATGTCTTACTTTTTCATATTTTAAGGGAGACATATGACCATGTAAACACCTAATCAGGGTTCTTCCCACTCTCCCAGAGCCTTGGAAGGGTGCTGTGTGAGTGAGGGGCCCTGAGACTAAAGCATCCTTCACAAGAAATTAGCATTGGTCAAGGTCAAGAAACATCAGCTCACACCTGAGCCACTGCTGGGCTGTTGGGCCAGGAGAGAGACTACTGGACTACAGGCTGCAGGCTCTGTTCTCTCCAGCCCCCATTATCTGTGGGACAGGACTGTCATTGTCTCATGTCTAAAACATATGGCAGTAGTGTTATGGCTTCTCTTCAAAGAGATGCCTCTTTCTGGGACTCCCACCACACTTTGTTCTTTCTGCTCTGATCTCCACAAAGCCACCACAGCACACTCTATCATATATGTCCACATTTTTGCTCATGCTTTTCCCAGCTCCTACAGCACCCACCAGCCAACTGCTGACCTTCTTTCCCTAGCCAGCACCTACTGTTCCCTCAGACATCTCAGAGAAGAGGACTCCTCTGGGGATTCCACAAGCATGGCATATTCCCCAGTAAGTCTTTAAAACGCCAATGCTCCACAGTTATGTCTAACCATGAATCTGAAATATCTGATAAGTTGTGGGGAGGGGGTGGGTGAGACCCAAACTGTCAGGTATGTGACAGAACTGTAAAAGTCAGATTTCTGCTTTTAGGGAGGTAAACAGAGCATATATTCCAGTCTCCCCACCCCATACAAAACCCTCAAAATGACAGGAAAGAAATAGAGAAGGAAAGAAGGGAGAAAGAAAGAAGGAAAGAAAGGAACAAAGAAAGAAAGAAAGAGAGAGAAAGAAAGAAAGAAGGAAAGAAAGAAAGAAAGAAAGAAAGAAAGAAAGAAAGAGAAAGGAGGGAGGGAGGGAGGGAGGGAGGAAGGAGAGAGAGAGAAAGAAAGAGAGAGAAAATGCATAACCATACTAGAAAGCAAGAAGGGGCTCTATCAGGGACATGGAAATTACCAGAAGACCCTGAAAGATAGAGAGCAACTGGGACTAGATCAGAGTAAAGGCATCAACCAACATGGCCGCAGACTGTAGGAGCACTCAGGATGTGCTCAATACCCACAGTACAAGAAGTGGAAGCAGAATGGGGCTGGCAACGGACCACAGGAGAAGGAGGAAGAGGAAAAAAAGGAGGATAACAAGAGAAAGGAGGAAAAAGAATTCTGAAACTTTAAGACAGATCTTTTGAAATAATCTAGTCAGAAAAGAAAATGAGAATAAAAATAAAAGAAAATGAGAATAAAAAAGAATGAGAGCAGCCAAGCGGGAAGGCTCAAGATGGTGTGCCTGTTGGAGACCCCAATCTGCATGAGCTTCCTTTTGGACCATGAATGAAAGTTACTGGAATTCTCCAGTCCTGTCACTCCAAAGGAGCTACTGTTTACAGATGCCACAGTGATACTGCACCTCAAGGCACTGCTTAGCAGGTTCCACTATATTCAGGAGTACCTCTGTCGGATCGTCTCACACTGCTGTAAAGGGCCACATCATCAAACAATTTTATTTAGCCATGGTGCAGTTAAGAATATTGCTCACCTACTAAGCTCACTCTTCTACAAAGTTCAAATGCAAGCACTGAAATGTTTCTCAGTTTTACCCTGGTAAATGTTTTGGTTGATGGAGAATTGTTATCACAGATTTTTGTGAAGATGTTACAGAGGGATAAGCATATTGAGATACAGTTACTTCAGCAAAATGTTTAACGTGTACAGCTGGAGCAATTCAGACAGATAACAACTGTATTAAGGACATTGCCTTATTTGGTTTAAATGTGCAGTAAGAAGAGACTACTAAAGGAGAGAGTTAAAGGAGCTGAGACACTTGCCTATCTGATTGAACCAGATATTGAGGTACAGAGAATCGCTAGCATAACTGATCACCTCATTGCCATGTTTGCTGACTATTTCAAGTATCCCAACTCGTTGAGTGCCATCACTGATATTAAAAGGCTTGATCATGATTTAAAACATGCTCATGAACTCTGCCAGGCTGCATTCAATCTCTACAACTCTCATGGAGCAAATGATGAAGACATTCAGAAGAAAAGTCTTGAGACTGAAAATATGATGGACTGAACTGTGACTGGCTTGTCGGAGTCTAGTGTCAAGGTGCAGTTACCTGCTGTCAGATGTATGCACCATTTATCGAGATCTATGCAGCAGCTTCAAAACAGTTTCTAGGATCACGTTCTGTAAAAACCTTTAATGAAGGTTTTACAAAACGTACCAGATGAAATCCTAGTAGTAGCATCTTCCATGGTATGTAATCTTCTTGAATTATCTCCAAGGAAAGAGTCAATTTTAAAATCAGAAGTTGTAAAGCTACTTTGTGGATTAACCCAGAGTGAAAATCCTGCTTTGTGAGTGAGCAGAATTTGGGCTTTAATGAATATGGCATTTCAGGCTGAACAAAAAATAAAAGCAGACATGTTACAAACCTTGAGTACTGAACAGCTATTCTGGTTATTATCAGATTCAGATTTTAATGTGCTGATGAAGACATTGGGACTTCTTAGAAATCTCCTCTTGACCTGGCCTCATATAATAAAATAATGAGTACTCATGGAAAGCAAATTATGCAAGCTGTCATCCTTATTTTAGAAGGGGAACCTAACTTTAAGATCAAAGAGTAGATATTGTGCATCTTAGCCAACATAGAACATGAGACAACAGCAAAATAATCTATTATGACCAATGATGATATCCTTCAGAAAATCAAATATTACATGGACCATTCACATGTCAAACTGCAGCTTCCAGTGATGTTTTGTATATCAAACCTCTTATGGAATGAAGAGGAAGGTTCACAAGAATGCCAGGATAAATTATGAGACATGGGCATCATAGATATTCTACACAAACTGAGTCGGCCACCAGATTCAGACCTTTGTGACAAGGCAAAAATGGCCCTGCAGCAGTACCTAGCATGATGAGAGTGCCCCTAGGCACCTGTGAGCATCCTACATCCTTGTTTAAGAAAGTACAGAAACTATTTTCATTTGATTCCTTCTATTTGCACAAGTTGCCTTGGACTACAGGGAGCTGTTGTGCAAAAGTAATTTAGTAGGCTTAGATCTCAAATTCACCTTGAGAACAATTTTTTGAAGTAGTAATTTCCTCAGAAGATTACTGTGTTTTGTTTTAGTTTTTTCTTAGCTACATGGACTCTTTATTAGAACAATCAATCATTTTCCTTTGGACCTACAGTCTTTTGCCTATGCTGCAGACATATTCACTTTGTGAGTGAGAATGAATATGTCTGTGTGAACACACAGGTGTGTGTGTGTGTGTGTGTGCGCGCATGCACGCACATGTACATGGGCCATGTATATGTGTGTATATATTTTATTTTCTTATTTTGTGTGAAAATCTCTTTTCTACAGATTTTGCAGGTTTTAAGCATTGCTTGCTCTATAAAAACCTTACTGAACTATAAAAAGTTTGAATGAAACGTTATTTTAAATACAAAACAATTGTTAAGTGTTCAATAAAGGTTATACTGAATTTTGGTCAGATGAATATTTGTAAGTAAAAAATATATACATTTCTGAACCTGAATAAAAGGAATGAAGAAAGTCTATGAGACTTAAGGGAAATCATTAAGCAAACAAATATCTGTACTATAGAAATGTCAGAGGGATAAGAGATAAACAAAGGCACAGAAAATCTATTTGACAAAATAATAGCTGAAACGTTTACAAGTTTTGGGAGAGACATGGACATTTAGATCCAGGAAGCACAAAGATCCCCAATTAGATTCAACCCGAAAAGATCTTCTCTGAGGCACATTATAATCAAATGGCCAAAAATCAAAGACAAAGAAATAATTCTAAAAGCTGTAAGACAAAAGCATCACGTCACATATAAGGGAATCTCCATTAGACTGCATATTTCTCAGCAGAAACCCTGCAGGTAAGGAAAGAATGGGATGAAATAGTCAAAGTGCTGAAAAACAAAACAAAACAAAACCCCTGTTAACCAAGAACACTATATTTAGCAAAACTATCATCCTTCAGAAATGAAAGAGAAATAAAGACCTTCCCAGATAAGCAAAAACTGGGGGAATTTATTACCACTAGACCAGCCTTACAAGAAATGCTTAAAGGAGTGCTGCAACTGGAAGCTAAAAATCAATAACCAGTAGAGGTATATTTATAATCAAACTGATACTACCCCAGTTGTTATAATGGTGCTATGTAAATCTTTCATTTCTTTAGTATGAAAAGTAAAAGTCAAATGGTCAATAAGAGCTACAATTAGTGGCTAAGGAACATGCAATAAAGATGCAAATTAAGGCAATGAAAATATAAATTGTGGAAGGAGAAAAATAGTATGGAGTATTTTTATGCAACCAAAGTTAAATTATTATCAGCTTAAAGTTGTCTATTATAACTACAAGACTCTGCGTTAGCCTCACAATAACTACGAAAAAAAAAAGAAAATTAAAACAGACACACAAACAAGAAAAAGAAAATAAACAAAGCTTAATACCACAGAAAACCACTGAACCAAAGGTAAACAGTAAGAGAGGAAGAAAGGAAAAAAGCATCTACAAAACAGCCAACAAACAATCAAATGGCAGGAGTACATCCTACTTATCAATAATAACTGTGAATA